AATGTTCAGCCCCACAGCCCCCCCCCCCCCCCGTCCACCACCCATTAGTGTTATACAACTGTACCTTACCCTGGCTTACTCACCCATTACCCACCCCACACACAACCATTTTCACAGGTTTCATGTGTGCTGCTCCCACCTGTTGTTGTCTTTACCTACACAATCTAGGTCACCTAGCTACTCACCCTCCCACGCGACTGTGCTTCCTTTCAACTTTTCATTCCGACATTATGCCTGCTTCTTACATCCCACCTTAGCCACCCCCTTCACCTGCTCACCGTCTACAGACTGTTATTGTTAGGCTTTGGGTACAATTGTATAGACAGTTTCAGTTGAATACTAGTGCCAATAATCTAAGCGAGTCCAAAATGTTGGTGTACACTGAATCTCTGAAGAATGTAATCTAGAACCCAAATTGTTAGTTAGTGGGCGCTGAATGCATGAAGAAAATAATCTAGACCCCAAAGTTTTAGTTAGTGACCATTGAATGCCAGAAAACACATAATTTCAAAGACAAAATTTTATTAAAAAGTTTTTGCAACATTTTAATATAGTATTTTTTAAGGGAGATTAACTACAACATGTTAAAGTGTGTATATGGTCTGATTCTGTAATAGATCCATGGTCACATATACACGTTTAGAGATACAAAAGTAATAAGACATATTTTTAAAGAAAGAAAACAATTCAAATTTATTTGTTAAAATGTGTAGATTTAGGATAAACATTAAAACCGAGGTGGACTTATTCAATTAATTTCGCTTTAATTAAGTTTTCAACTACGATTAAACCAATGCCGCTAAGAGCGTTCCAGACAATGGGCTGGATCTGTGCTGCATCTGTGCTGGATCTGTGCTGCATCTGTGCTGGATCTGTGCTGGATCTGTGCTGCATCTGTGCTGGATCTGTGCTCTCTTTCTTTCAGATTTGAATCCTCTCACCCACTGTCTTCACGACGGTATGGTCAGCGATGACACCTCCACCCTCTTCCACTAAACTTCTTTCCATCCTCCCCGATCAACTGTCTATCTACGCCCTATCGGTTATTTCAACGTTTTATTGGCCTCCGCTTATCGGCTGCTAACTCTTCTTCTGCGCCTGTTTCCTCTGCGCCTGCTCGTCTGCTACTGCGTTACGTTTTATCCTAGAACTTTTTGAGCGGTGAGCTTAATCCCAGCTGTTTCCCTTATATGGGGGATGTGGCTATTTTTATCCAACGTCTGCAGTGCACGGTATCAGTGGGCCAGTCCATTGGGTTCCGAGGTTACCCTTCTTTCAAGTTTCGATTTTAACAAAAATTTAATCAAATATTGGAATTGATTACTCGGCGCATTAACTACGGTTAAGTTGATATCTATAAAAAGAAATGTATAACCGAATTTATAAAATATTTTTAAACATACTAAGCATGGCACTGGTTTTGTAGCGAAATATCCCCACGGGCGATGCTTCCCCCCCTCACCTGTCGCATGTTGGCTCGTTGCCTCCGTTTTGCGGCTTGGTAATGCCGGTAGAAAGGGGGTATAGGGACAGCATGAAGCGAGCTAGGTTTCGTTTAGAGCCGTGTTTCGAACAAGGAGGTGCTGCATGCATGCCTATTGAATCCCAACAGTTAATGTTTTTAAAAAAAAAGAGTATTTACGCTACTTCCATTACGACAAACGAAAACCAAAAAAACGTGTTCTCAAGTTGATATTATGAAAACTTCAGAGCTTCGGACTAACCTTTCGCTTTCTTTCACGTTGATCACGTGCTAAAATAAAATTATTTTTTGGAATCAACAAGGAAAGTGCCCGAATCGATCAATCAGAAGTCGTTTTCAAAACATCGAAACTCCATAAATTTTGTGCTATGCTGATTTTTCCGTTGACACTGCCGACTTGAGAAGGAAAGCCACACGAGTATGGCGGCACGACGGGCAGAATCCATGGATCTATCCGAAATTCCACCATCCACAACAACAATCAGCACAGTCGCTGTCCAGGCAGGGAGAGCTAAGATAGTTCTCGCAGTACTCAGGGTAAGCTGTGGTCCAAAATTGTCACGGCTAGTGTTGTATGGCATGCCTTAAAACTGAAAACACAGCATTGAGTAGCGGTAGTCTTATCGTGGATCAGAAGGATTGTTTGAGATTTTTACGTCCAAAAGAAGATCGTTAAGTAACAATAACAATGAACAAGTTTTAGTAAACCTTACAATAACAATGAGATGTTATAGTAAACCTAACAATGAAACACGTTAATAAACCTAACAATGAAACACGTCAGTAAACATGAAAATATCAGTGAAACATGATAGTAAACCTAACAATGACAATGAAACATGATAGTAAACCTAACAATAACAATGAAACATGATAGTAAACCTAACAATAACAATGAAACATGACAGTAAACCTAACAATAACAATGAAACATGATAGTAAACCTAACAATGAAACACGTTAGTAAACATGAAAATATCAGTGAAACATGATAGTAAACCTAACAATGACAATGAAACATGATAGTAAACCTAACAATGAAACACGTCAGTAAACCTAACAATGAAACACGTTAGTAAACATGAAAATATCAGTGAAACATGATAGTAAACCTAACAATGAAACACGTCAGTAAACCTAACAATGAAACACGTTAGTAAACATGAAAATATCAGTGAAACATGATAGTAAACCTAACAATAACAATGAAACATGATAGTAAACCTAACAATAACAATGAAACATGACAGTAAACCTAACAATAACAATGAAAGAGAAACAATAAAAAAAGGGGATCGTGACGTAAGCTAGGCCAGGGAACTAGATGCAGGGAAGGGCTACAACACACGGCCGTCCTGAAACAATGTATCCATGGATGAAAGGTGGATACACATATTATGTCTGAAACAATATATCCACGGACCAAAGGTGGATACACAGTTGTCTGAAGTTGGACGTGTGACTTTTCTGTCCTTTGTCCCAAGATTGGCCTAAAAAAATGAAACATTTGAAATGATTGAGTTATGAAGTACCGGTAGCACACTAAGGAATTTAAGGGCGTGGCCGCTATTGTTTTGGTACTCCTTCCTCTCATTTTTAGTGGATCCGCCGATGCGTAATGGCGAGGAATGTTCATATATTTGTAGTCACGTTTCTGGGTTAATGAGATGCTCACTAACGCACGCGCTACAGGTCATTGAGCACACGCCAGCAATGTGTCATGGCTTTAACTCACTCATACGTTGTGTTCGGTGTGCTGCACGTCTCTGTCTCTAGCACATTTCTGTCTCTAGCACATGTCTGCCTCGGGACTTTTTGTTCTGAAACTGTATTGGAAACGAATCATAGGTCTAAACATCTAAATTAAGTAGGGATAACTGTTCGTATGTCCAACTTTCCATATGTCCAATAATCCGTTGTCCAACTTTCCATATGTCCAATAATCCGTTGTCCAACTATCCTCCCTTCCAACTATCCTCGTGTCCAACTTTCCTCCCTTCCAACTATCCTCGTGTCCAACTTTCCTCCCTTCCAACTATCCTCGTGTCCAACTTTCCTCCCTTCCAACTATCCTCGTGTCCAACTTTCCTCCCTTCCAACTATCCTCGTGTCCAACTTTCCTCCCTTCCAACTATCCTCGTGTCCAACTTTCCTCCCTTCCAACTAAACAGTATAGACATTCTATTAATTTCTAATAGGTCATAGGTCACACCAAAATCTTGTGATCTCCCTCTCTAAAACTCTAAAAAGTGAATCTGAAAGAAATGAAAAGAGTAACGACTTAATTAATAATGAAACCGAGTGACACCAATCTGGTGTCTGACTATTCAGCAATACGTGACTTGAAAGCTTGGACTATCATTGTGGGATGGCACAAGCATACAATACATAACAAACGGGACTGGAAGGCGGGTCAAAGGATGACAATGGGATGTTACAGGCTTGCAGAAAGGCGTCTCTAAGAAAAAAAACAAAAACAAGAACAACACGTCTCTTGCTTTATATACTAGGGCTTAACCGGGTGCACTTTTTGAAACCGGGTCCGGGTATGTAAAGAAAATACCCGGTGAGTCAAAGTGTTCCAAAAAAGAGTTACCTTCTCATTGTCTATCATGTATGCCGGCCTTTAAACAATGAGCCTTCAGGCAGCCCTCAACCGTAGCCATCGGCCATAAACCACTAGTCCTTTAGACAGTCCTACACCCAAACTGCCGGCCTTTAAACAATGAGCCTTCAGGCAGCCCTCAACCGTAGCCATCGGCCATAAACCACTAGTCCTGTAGACAGTCCTACACCCAAACTGCCGGCCTTTAAACAATTGTCCTACAGACAGCCCTACATAATATAGATTAATATAACAGTCGTGTCCCCCTCATGAAAAAGAAATACCTGAGTTCACACGTCACGCATGACAGCCTCCCCCCCCCCCTATTCAGTACTATTAAAATAATGCTTGTGGAAATGGGGTGGGCCCGGTTTCGAACAGGAAGCAGGACACACCAGAAGCAAACTATATTTACTAGATGTATGTGCCAAACCCTCCCTATGTTTTTGTCCGAATCGAACATAAAAATAAATGAAAAAAATAATTTTAAAAATCGTTCATTCCATCACAATGGCCTGATCCTAATTCAACTCATTCCATCAGGATTATCTTCGCCCACAATCACTCACCATTGGGATGTTCTGATCCCCACTCATCATACCATCACAAAAAAGCTAATATCACCACATACTCCCCCCCAACCCACTAACGCCACATGTTTACAACACCCCGACACATTTTTGCACCATGCCTCCATGTTACACCAGTCTATTCCAGTCATCCAACGCCCAAATTTAAACAAAAAAACGCCAAGCTGCCTCAACTTCTCTTAGATTACCGTCTGCACATTTGACTGCCGTTAGTGGTTTCATTTGACCTGAATCCGTTCCCTGGAACCGTCAGCCATTATACCATAGCACTAGAGCCGTCGGGCCCTTTATCATCGACACATTATAATTTCTTATTACGTCCGTACAACTAATTTTTTAATGCATAATTTCTTGTAATAAATAATAATTTGTTTTTAAGGATTTAAAGCACAATTTATACACCTTCTACGCAGGTCGTGCAAACCTGGGTTAAGCAAGGGCGCATGACTCCAAACAGCTTGGGACCCACTGTCAATACGTCATTATAAGAGTAGTGCAAACATAATAGAAATGTAAATATCGAGATGAACTACAAGTTACAATTCCGTTAATGTACCTCTGTTAAAACTTAATAGAGTCAATTTAAAAAATAAAAAAAAAACAGATTGCAACTCAGTATGTCTTAGGTGGCGCACTATCAAGCCATTATCAATGTTTTTGATGAATTCAGATGAACATTTTCACCCTGTATCTTAACTTAGACCAGGTTTTCACAAGGTGTCACAGGTCCAATTCTAACTTAACCAGTGCACAGAGAGATAGCGATTCTTATGAATCTTCAAGGCATCGCGGCGCACAGTTTGGGAACCTCTGGGCTCTAACATGTTTTTGTGGGTAGTTTATGACACATTCTATTGTATTCTGTGACTTATTAAAAAAAAGGACCCCTCCCACTTTCTGACTCACACAAGATAAGCGTCTGACATATGGATTTTAACGTTAAAAACGGAGTCTATTTAAAACATCAGACTGAAAAAGAAATGTTACAATTTACTATTTCTCTCTCTCTCTCTCTCTCCCCCATCTCTGACTCCTTTCTGAAACATGTTGATATCCTTTTCTTGAAAGTTATGCTACTCACATATTAAAAAAACAAAATCCATTTTCATCCCACCCGTCCCCCTCACATGCCACCCTCCCCTGACTTCCACCTACATTCTCATACATCTGTTTCTACGTCCAAACTTGGCTCACTGCTTCTCAAGTCCACGATGGACACCACATGCCAATACGGTGGAGAAGGATTGGACTAGTTAACGTCACAAACAATCCGCGTCCTAGACAAGCCGTCCTTGCCACATTTCTTGTTTCCAGTTACTTTCAAATGTGACGTCCTCGACTTTACGACATTTGCCAAAATGTCTCCTTCCTGTGTATGACGTCATATCCCCTGTCACTCCCTTAAATATAAAGTGTGTTACTATGGAGTATTAAACATTATTGCCAAGTAGACCCCAACAACTAGATATCAGATACATACTACTGATGTCGTTCTACTGTTTTTCCAATTGGCAGAAAGCAGTACCGTACTTGTTAAATCAAAAGTAGAGGTTGTATGTTAATGGAATAAGTGCCATCCTATACACGTCCAACATTGTATGATTGAAGTGCATATTCAGTTGTTTTATGATTGAAAGCTTATACTTATATCTCAAGGATCATTCAATTTACCTTCTTTAACTGCGAAACTCTTCTTCTCCGTTACAGTACAGTTTAAATATCACACGCAGTTTGAGAACCAGTTTCGTGTTCTTCTAGTATGTTTATATATATTCTAAAACCGTTTGAGAACCATTGTATTGTTCTTCTACCGTGCTGATATCTATCCCAAAACCTTTTGGTAAATCCTGTCTTGCCCATCTACCGTGCTGCAAGATATCGCATAAAGTTTGAGAACCCATGTTTTGTCCAATTACCGTACTGATATATATCGCATAAAGTTTGAGAACTCATGTCTTGTCCATCTACCGTACTGATATATAGTGCATAAAGTTTGAGAACCCATGTCTTGCCCAATTACCGTACTGATATATATCGCATAAAGTTTGAGAACCATTGTCTTGTCCATCTACTGTGCTGATATATAGCACATAAAGTTGAGAACCCTTGTCTTGTCCATCTACCGTGCTGATATATATCGCAAAAAAGTTTGAGAACCATTGTCTTGTCCATCTACTGTGCTGATATATATCGCATAAAGTTTGAGAACTTTTGTCTTGTCCATCTACCGTGCTGATATATATCGCATAAAGTTGGAGAACCTTTGTCTTGTCCATCTACTGTGCTGATATATATCGCATAAAGTTTGAGAACCTTTGTCTTGTCCATCTACCGTGCTGATATATATCGCATAAAGTTTGAGAACCTTTGTCTTGTCCATCTACTGTGCTGATATATATCGCATAAAGTTTGAGAACCTTTGTCTTGTCCATCTACCGTGCTGATATATATCGCATAAAGTTGGAGAACCTTTGTCTTGTCCATCTACTGTGCTGATATATATCGCATAAAGTTTGAGAACCTTTGTCTTGTCCATCTACCGTGCTGATATTGAACCTTTGTCTTGTCCATCTACTGTGCTGATATATATCGCATAAAGTTTGAGAACCTTTGTCTTGTCCATCTACCGTGCTGATATATATCGCATAAAGTTTGAGAACCTTTGTCTTGTCCATCTACCGTGCTGATATATATCGCATAAAGTTTGAGAACCTTTGTCTTGTCCATCTACTGTGCTGATATATATCGCATAAAGTTTGAATACCATTGTCTTGTCCATCTACCGTGCTGATATATATCGCATAAAGTTGGAGAACCTTTGGTTTGTCCATCTACCGTGCTGATATATATCGCATAAAGTTGGAGAACCTTTGTCTTGTCCATCTACTGTGCTGATATATATCGCATAAAGTTTGAGAACCTTTGTCTTGTCCATCTACCGTGCTGATATATATCGCATAAAGTTTGAGAACCTTTGTCTTGTCCATCTACCGTGCTGATATCTCTGCTGCAGTGCAGCCCTGACTCACCATTAGCAGTGTTAGGATTACTCTAATCTTTGCGATGTTCAGATTATCTGATTGCAAGGGTACCCTGGATGTGGCAGGGGTCAGGCTTCTGTCTTGTCTGCTGATACCTGTAGATGCAAGTGCGTGTGTGTGTGGTGGGTGGGGGGAAGGCAAGGTTTGATAAAATGGGGGTACATTTTTTACCAACTTCTGCTCTCTTAAGTCTCTCTATAACTCTGCTTGTCCCTCCTTCCTTTGCCCTTATTCTCCTACAAAGTTTCGTTCCACCTTTCTCTGTCCATATGCCTCATCAACATTCGCCCCAACCTCTGCCCTTATCCCTCCTGTCTCTGCCCATACCACTCTCGCACAGTCTCACCGACCTTTTCCATTATTCTTCATCTGCCCTAATCCCTTCTCCCTATACTCTTATGCCTCCCAACACTTCCCTTATTACCCCAGTCTCTACTCCATTAGCCCCTATCCCTCATAACTCTGCCCTATCTCTCCTGCCTCTGCCCTATCTCTCCTGCCTCTGCCCTATCTCTCCTGCCTCTGCCCTATCTCTCCTGCCTCTGCCCTATCTCTCCTGCCTCTGCCCTTATCCGCCACAGCCTCCTACCTCTGCCATTATCTCTCCTACCTCTGCCATTATCCCTCCTACCTCTGCCCCATATTCATTCTACCTGTGCCCCATATTCATCCTACCTCTGCCCCATATTCATCCTACCTCTGCCCCATATTCATCCTACCTCTGCCATTATCCCTCCTACCTCTGCCCCATATTCATCCTACCTCTGCCCCATATTCATCCTACCTCTGCCCCATATTCATCCTACCTCTGCCCCATATTCATCCTACCTCTGCCCCATATTCAACCTACCTCTGCACATTAATNNNNTCCTTCCTACTCCTACTCTTCTCTCTCCTACCTTTGGCGCCCCCCCCCCCTTTGCACATTCTCCTGTCTCTGTCATCATATTGTATGTACAGTTTCTTCAACATTGGCAAAAATAAACTGATTATTGCTATATAATACTATAATATAGTATATTTAGTGGTAATATAGTATATTTATAACATTTTTCTTGACACTTAATTATTGTTGAGTGAATATAATAAAATAATATGGAAGAAATTTTCTATTTGCATGCCATGATTATACCTACAAAAAAAAACAATTTATTCTTTTATTTCAATGAAATTTCCATGTAATCTTTTTTATGTAGGCTATAGTTTGAATTGTTTTACCTCTTAAAAAAGTTTTACTTTTTAAATAAAAATAAATATGGCGGTCATCATACTGCGCAACCGTACGTATCATTCATTATCAGTTAAAATTTGAAGAAATTAAGTTCATATTATTATTTTTGTGTGAGATGAGTTATAAATATTACTTTGGACGTAGAGCGACGGTTATGTAATACTTTGTTAAAACAAAATGTCATATGAAATGAGAGTTACCTTACGAAAAATTCCATTAATTTAGTCGTAGCTAAACTAAGCTTAGCAGACGACGGACTTCCAGTTCCAGACAGACGGCAGACTTCCAGTTCCAGACAGACGGCAGACGGGGATTAATAATAATTTGACAGTAACTATTCCATTATAATATCTTTATATAATTAACTATTAGTTGTATTAATGTGTATCATTTACAATTTAGGACTTGCTACCATATATACATTAAATTGTAAGACTGAGAATTAAGACTACTCAGGCTTAATAAAAAAAAATAAAGGCACTGAAAATGGATTATGGCTAATTTAATAATACTTTAATACTAAGGATCAATGACTAATGAAATGAGTTACATCACCAGGAACACTGCACTCAATTCAGGTGCTAGACCTACCGACTTTCGAAATCCAATATTATTTATTACAATTTTTATTTTTTTAAAATTGGAAGATATACCCTCTTTATTTATAGTCACAGATACCTACCATCAGCTTGACTAGGACGAATTCTTTTCCTTAAAGTTAGGGACCAAAAGATATAATTATAAAATTCATTTGTTCCCCATATCTATCAGTATATAAAAACGACTCTTATCTTATCAGTTATCTTATAATTATAAGTTATAAGTGACTTAAAATTAAAATATGTAAACAACTTGTGGTCTGGCGTATCGGCCATTATAACAGAAATGTGTTAAAGTAAGTCTGTCATAAGGGCAATACCCACTAGAACTCAAAATCTGCTAAATTGACCACGCCCAACCCAAATGGATGCTAAATTTTTGCATAATTTTATAATATTTAGATTAGTAATCATGTGTGTACATTGAGATATGCTATCAGTGCAGCTTTGAACTGCGATTCAGTTCTTTGCCTATGCCTTGAGTTTAAGTTCTATGCCTTGATCCAGTTCTATACCTTGAGATCCAGATCTATACCTTGAGATCCAGTTCTATGTCTTGAGGTCTAGTTCTGTTCCTTTAGGTCCATTTCTGTTCCTTGAGGTCCAGTTCTATGCCTTGAGGTCCATTTCTGTTCCTTGAAGTGCGGTTCTGTGCCTTAAGACTATAATTTTGAAAAAGGATGAAACGTGTTGTAGTTCCATTGCCTTGATGCTGTCTGACTAACATTTCGTTCCCCAAGTCTCTCCCACCGGCACGTGCCGTGTTCTCTCCTTACACACACCTGGCCGTGCCTACAGTCACCTTGTACCCCGTAGCTATGGCAACACCTTTCTGGCTTATCTTGTTGGCATGTGTGCTGTGTCTCTGATGGTGGGTTATCTTTGGCACGGGTTGGGGGATGAGGAGTGTTGCCACGTCATTTTGGGATGCAGATCAATAAATATTGGATATCTGATGAGATTAAGTTGGACGATCCAGTAAAGCTGTGCGGTCATCCGTTGAGTAGGTGGGGGGCTCGATGAAAAAAAACAAAAAAACACTCACTCTTTGTTGAATAATTGTTACACTATTGTTCTCCCTTGACAGCCTAAAAGGGATAGTTAATACAAGTTATCCCTTCACATTTCCAATGACAGAAAAGGGTGAATAGTTAATCATAATTCACAACTTTAAGAAATAAAATGTTCTTGATTCACGTCACTAATAAAAACGTTTCTCCAGTTGCTGACGCTGAAATATGTCTTGGAATGTTGTTAAAGGTCTCAGTCGGGAGTGTGGCTGTTTCAGGATTTCCTCAGAAGACAATAATTTATATATATATAAAGATAATATATATATCGTGAATGATTGATGGTTTGTAGATTATTTCATTTATCATTTTATTTAATTTTTAAACGTCGGCTGGCATTGGGGGGTCGGGTTGGGGTTGACCTCTGCTGAAAGATCCTCAAGAACTATACTCACATAATAATAATACATTGTCTTGTTAAGACACCCAGACTTACTGAGTAGTCATAACAACAATGTACGTGGTTTGTGAACTGGCTCTCTAACAGCTATGTAAGCTTTTTATTTTCAGTCTCTTACCTTAAAGTCCATCTCTCTTTTTTTTTTCTATTTTATGTGTTCATTTTCGTAGCGACAATTTCACTGGTGTAATCCTTTTCTGACCCAATACACCCAAGTCCATTTTTCTGCTTTAGCTAGCCTGTTAGTCCACACGTTTGGGCTTTTGTTGTTACCGGAACTCCACACTCTCAGCTCTACGTGTGTCTGACTTATCATGTCACCCAGCTGTCTTGATCTAAAGCCATTTATTGTTCGATTGATAATGTCTGAATTAAAAAAACAAAAACAAACATAAAACCCAAAAACAACAGCAACTATACACAACACATCAATATTATATCAAGGTAGCAGGGATGTTAGGAAAGAATTGGTGGAATCTTTGAAAAGACGATATGAACACGACTTTTTGAGATATGTGTTTCGAGTCCCCTAAGCACTAATTTTAGACTACAAAAATAAGTCATATGATGGCTCTTATTGTACATCGTACATCTCCCATCTACTAGGTTTAGAAATTATCAAAATGCTTTAGGTGCTTTAGGTGTTATATTACAGTCCTATTAAATTATTATTATATATATAAACATATAAACATTATATATATAAACCCCATTTACTATATATATATATATAGTAAATGGAGTTCAGATAGTAGCCCATTAGAAGGTTATATAATGCTCCGAGATTTCAGAACAAAAATCAAAATGCATTTAGAAAAAAACAAAACAATTTGAGGAGAGCACCATTGTGTGAAACGTTAGTGCCCATTATAGAGAACATGAGTACACAACTATAGTATATGTTTGTCTGAAAAATTACACTGTATTTCTTTGTGTTACTTGAATACAAGCTACTTCATGGAAACGCACTAGGATTTATTATCTTAGCGCTACACTCCAGTACTGAGAATAATTTGATGAACCCTTTGCACAAATCGTGTACCTGGATTCGCCCCACCCAAACTTTTGTAAGCAGTGGGTAGAGAAACTGCTTTATTTCTGACAGCAGGCTCAGACGCTATACAATATAAACTATTCTCGTTGTTGTAGGAAATGACTCATTGGATCTTGGAGGCTCTTGAGCAGCTAATAAGTTTCCAGAAATAAAGAGGTCCACTTGTTGTTCCCATGATTTTATTTCCCGCCCCCTCTGTGCACTGTTGAAGCATACCAAAATAGACGATTCCTCATCGTGTGGTTAACTTAAGAAACAAAAGGCTTAATCTTTTTTAAATAAGTATGTATTTTACTGTGAATTTTTGGTGAAAAGAGATGACTCTTGAGACAAGCTGATTATTAGATTCCTTTTTGTGTGAACTTTTAGAAGTTGAGATAAAGCTCCATATAGTTGTATCACTTCTTTTGCACGTGCTGAAACATTTTTTTTTAAAAACCGCAGTGATGCTAAATAATTAGTTTCGTACATTATTTTGATGCTAAAAACGCATTTAAACCAACGTTGTGGTTTTGAACCATTTATGCATGCACTCGCACATACATTAAAGAAGCATTTATTCACTTTCCATAGTGACGAATCTAAGTGTCGTGTTAGTATGGCCTAGGATTGCATACCCTATCAATGTTGAATTATTCCCCTGGTTTCTTCACAGAGCTCAGAATGGGTCCGGGTCAGAGTTCACCAGATGGAGCCGGACCTCATGGACGTCGGGTCCAATCTGGAAGAAGCTCTACAACTGCAGCGAGAACATGAACAGCTCATTGCTAGGTTAAAGGTCAGTAACGACTGCAGTCTATGTGGGCGTCTGTTGGAGTGTCTGTGTGGGTGGCTGTAGGAGGGTGTGTGTAAGGTTATGGCTGTCCTTGTGAGTGGATGTCTGTGAGAGCGTGACTATGAGGGGCTCTGAGAGTCTGGGTGTCTGAAATTGTGGGTGTCTGAATTTCGTCTGTATGAGATTGTGTCTGAGATTCGGTGTGTCTGAAACTGCGACTATCTGAAATTGTCGCTCTCTGATTTTGTGTGTCTCTGAGATTGTGGGGCAGTCTGGGACTATGTGTGTCTGAGATTGTGTGTGTCTGAGATTGTGTGTGTGCGTGAGAGTCAGTGAGGCTGTCCGTGTAAATGTGGGTGGGGTCGTGGAGAAGAATAACTGAGGGGAGTGACAATACAACGCATTTTTGACATAGTGTAACGGTGCCATTTTCACCTACTGTTAAATAAACGTGGTATGACGGTGTCATTTTCACCTACTGTTAAATACACGTGGTATGACGGTGTCATTTTCACCTACTATTAAATAAACGTGGTATGACGGTGTCATTTTCACCTACTATTAAATAAACGTGGTATGACGGTGTCATTTTCACCTACTGTTAAATAAAGGCAGATCAAGTATTTTGTACCGAGCGCATAGAAAGAAGTGCGTGGGGAGGAGAGGGTTGTTTGGCATTACACAGTAATTCTGGTGGCACACAATACGTTTTCCTGGTAACCCTAGTGGAATGGTAGAAGATGCTTTGTAAGAAGACACCCCTGACATTTACCACGAGCCAAGGTACGACTGGCAGAAGTTCAACAAGACAAAGTCATGATGCCTTTAAGTAAGGGGATGTGGAGCTTACTAATATGACGCGTCTTTGGAAGCTTTGTAATATATGTTTTATTACTTTTTAAAACACATTTGCTCTCTTCATTAATTCAAAGTATGGCTTATACTTAATGTATGTGTGTGTGTGTGCGCGCGCGCGCGCTTGTGTTTTGTGAGTAGGTGTGTGTGTGTGTGTGTGCATCTTTATTTTGTGAACGTTTTAATGGGAATGCCTCTAACCATCTACACACCCACTGTCTTTTAAAATCAGGCCCAGTAACTTCCAGTGGCATACAGTTGATCAAGTAGAGGACAGATTTGAATTTAAACCAAACAATTCTTCAAAATAGCAAAACGTTATATTCAATCAAACTATATCACCTAAATTAGAATTAAGTTAATATTTTTTTAATAATTAAATTTCATAGATTGTATTCTAATGACATATTAGCACTCAGGGCCGGATTAAGCCATCTTGTATTCTAATGACATATTAGCACTCAGGGCCGGATTAAGCAATCTTGGTGCCCTAGGCACAAACCCACATGGGTGCCCCCTGCTGCCCCGGGCCCCCCGATCCTCCACTGACTGCTGGTATGTTCATTATTATGCAAAAAACTAACAAAGAAAACAGTTGTGAAATGTAAACACATGTTTCTACTATCACTCATATAAAACCTACAATAAGGTATTTGTGTATTAAAATTAATAGATGTGCGATGCTATATACACATTTTTCTTGACGACTTGTGGTGCCCCCAAAAGCTTGGTGCCCTAGGCACGTGCCTTGTTTGCCCAATGGTTAATCCAGCACTGTTAGCACTTGTAATGGGTCTGTTCATGACACGCACGAGCCTCTCTCCATTAGCTTTGAATCTCCCAGTCGAAATAAAGCCGTAAAGCCTGCAGTTTTATGTTGCTACAGTTGAATGATACTGAGGTGAATTCAATTTATCTTTAGATGCCTGACCTTCTCAAAATAAAACATTTGGTTGTTATTTTCTATCTTAAACAATCGCAGACGTTCGTGTCTCGGAGTTCACGCGTTCAATAAAATCCATCCTTACCCATTACATAGTTTATGAATGTATATTTTGATGGACATCTGATTATTCTGATCAAGGACATGTTGTAAAGGAGTAGAGTCTGCTTCTCTCAGCTGAAGCGAAATAAGTGCGTTTTAACATTGAACTACAACCGCCCCTCCTCCCCCCCCCCCAACCACCTCCTCGAACTACTCCGCAAACAAAATAGATTTGAAATTGAGGGTGTACTAGAGAATATGAATTCCTTGGAAAAACGAAGTTAATAGGCTTGGCATTTACCATATTTTTGTTGCCTGGTGCTCAGCCAATGTTTCACCTGCTCACTTGGCATCGTCTTGCCGGGCCACAACCTCCACAACGGTATACCATTACCGTATGACGTGGAGCCGCACCGCACGGGCTCGTTACTGGGAGACGGCAACGTGTTTCACAATGTCCACCTCGGCGGGGCTCGCCATCTTAGCGCTTGGTTGATAAAATCTCTCTACTGATTCTTCAGCGACGTTTGTCTCTACCTTGCATGCCATTCACATGATATCCATGATTTTGGCCAGAGCCACGGAATAGGAAGAGACGTTTTGATTTCCACCACGCATCTCATGCAAAGTCGGGCTTCCGCATTTGATTTCAAGGGTATTTTCCCCCCAACTGAACAATGGTTCAATAAACGATCAGTTTTAACAGCTTTATCCTTATTACAAAATATTTGTGGAAAAAAAAAAAGATTACACGAACTATCTTTCCCTATGATAAAATAGGAGAGTTGAGGGGTGTCAGATAAGAATGGGGGCCTGTTTGTACTGTGAGTAAGTTTGTGTAAGAGGAGTCTAGTGTGTATTATGAGTAGGTGTGTGTTAGTGGGGGTCTGGTGTAGAGACCGACCGAATTTCGGCTTCGGCACCGAAAGTAGCCATTTGATCACTTTCGGCCTAGTTTCGGTTTTGGTCGAAACTGAAAAGTTAACTTTCGGTTTACTTTCGGTTTCGGCTGAAAGTCATTTTTAAATTTCGGCCTGGTTCGGTTTAGGCCGAAATAAAAAAAAATCACTTTCGGTCGCTCTAGTCTAGTGGCTAATGTCAGTAGTTGGTTTGAGGGATCTACTGTGTTTTGTGAGAAGTGTGCGTTTCGGGCGTCTAGTGTGAGTAGTTGTGTTTGAGAGGGGTCTATTGTGTATTGTGAGTGAGTGTGTGTTGAAGGGTGCCCAGTGTGTACTGGGAGTCGATGTGTTGTAGAGATATGGGTACGAGTCAAATCTTCATTCATGCCAGGAAATCTCGCAACATGCTTTCGTGTGATGTGTTGTCGTTGGCAACTATGACGTCAGTGGCAATGTGTTGATTGCTGTGTGTAAAGCTGGTTGGCTTGTAGGTCTGAGGGTGTATATATAATCTGTGTTGTAATATGTCAGCTTGGTTTTCCAAACTTTGAGTGCACATTGAAAACAACCGAAAACAAGCTCCACCTGCCACTTCTATTTTCACTGCTCCTTTTTATCTCCTCTGTTATCGTTTTTCTTTTCTGTCTTCCACTTGTTGTCAGACCTCGGCATCTCAAAAATACATCAAACAGTTTTGAAAGTAAAATGATACGGACAGTTTGAACCAATTTTGCAAGTATCTTAATAGTATGTCTTTTAAAATCATTGAAAAAACGTGACGTAGACAAGGGATGGAACTGATGGATACACGACAAGGCAAGTTAATATACACAATTCTAATGCTATAGCCGACTGTGATAGTCTATTGGATGGAAATTATTATCTCACGCCGCTGCAGCTGTAATCAGTGACGTAGCTAGGGTTAGTGCCGCTCGGGGCGGACCCAGCATTTTCCCGCCCATGTTACAAAAAAAAACCCCTCTGCAATTGGTAGGATATGCCGCACCTCTCTATAGGAAGAAAAAAATACCGTCAGGGGCGGGCCGCCCCCTCCTCACCCCATTCCTACGCCACTGGGTAGAGTGAAAAACACTGAGGCGTAGGATAGAATAAAAGCTTCATGTTTGCTCACTGACAACTACAAAATACTATATAGAGAACATTTATATCACTATTAACTACTTTATAGGACTATCCTGTACTTAAACTCATTCAGTAATGACTTTTCCATGCTGTACTTTTACAACCACCTACCAACTTTTCCTCATTTATTAAAGTTCGTGTCTGAGGCAGAGAATTCTACCCTTACAAACACGACTCTCTCCTCTCCCCCCCCCCCCACTGCCGCTCCCGTGAGCTCATCCTGAGGCCATGAGCATGCAGGTAATACTGCTAGCGCCTGGCTCTCAAAATAGCTTCTANCATTTATCTACCCGTGTCCCCCCCCCCCTTGTCTAGTTTATAGCTGAGGGGTTTAGGAGAGCTCGTGCGGCACGGCGTGACCACATCATGTTTGATTGTTGTTTTTGACTTTGAATGACTTGGTGGCGTGACCACATCATGTTTGATTGTTGTTTTTGACTTTGAATGACTTGGTGGCGTGACCACGTCATGTTTGATTGTTTTTTTACTTTGAATGACTTGGTGGCGTGACCACGTCATGTTTGATTGTTGTTTTTGACTTTGAATGACTTGGTGGCGTGACCACGTCATGTTTGATTGTTGTTTTTTACTTTGAATGACTTGGTGGCGTGACCACATCATGTTTGATTGTTGTTTTTTTTTACTTTGAATGACTTGGTGGCGTGACCACATCATGTTTGATTGTTGTTTTTTACTTTAAAAAAAACTTTGGTGGCGTGACCACATCATGTTTGATTGTTTTGTTTTTTTTACTTTGAATGATTTGGTGTCATGGGATTGTGAGTGTTATTGCGTCAGCTCATTAAACGTGTTCCCCACTACATTGACCTAATTGCCGTATCTATTCTATTGAGAAGATGGTAAGAAACGTCACTGTTGTCCATGCGCTGGGTGTGCGGTCAGGCACACATGAAATGACTGGACTTTTGTCTTTAAATAGATAAATATTAAATTTCCAGCTTGGATATTATGCTTGGAATAGTTAAGAAGGACTCCACTAATGTCCACTTTAATTAAGGAAAAGCAAGCAAGCTGCAACAAAACTCTAAATTCCAATGAATTAATGCGAAGGTCAGGGAAAAGGTGGGGGCAAAGTGACCTGAATCGAGTTTCGTAACTGTTCTGTCGGACTCGAAACAGGTATGTCCAACTTTGACCATGTCGTTGGGGACAATCGTATGTAAATGTGAGCTAGCGTTATGTAATTGTGAACCATTGGTTATGCAGGTGTGATTGTGTAAGACGTACACGAGGTCAAAAGTTTCCCTGTTACGTAAAGTCATTTTCCTGACATAAAACGCTGCACAACCGTCATCGCGATTACCTGGATTCCAAAATCTCGGAGTCAGCAGAAACTACGGAAATGGTGGATACATTAAAGGGTGGAGTGGTGGTGTTGGGTTTGGGGTGCGGGGGGGGGGGGAGGGATGCCGGCGGACTCTGGCGGTTTGGGGTTTGTTTTATCTTCTTATAGATGTGACATTGATACAGACTCTTAGTGTTTGCTTTCGTTATACCCATCTAAACAGCTAAATGTCATAATGTTTTTGTTGAGGTTGAGGTTTGGGTTTTTTATTTAGTCTCCAAGCAAAACCACCGTCCGTGTCATTGTGGTGGGGGGGGTGGGGGGGTGGGGGTGGGGGGGGGGGGGGGGGGGGGAGGGATGCCGGCGGACTATGGCAGTTTGGAGTTTGTTTTATCTTCTTATAGATGTGACATTGATACAGACTCTTAGTGTTTGCTTTCGTTATACCCATCTAAACAGCTAAATGTCATAATGTTTTTGTTGACGTTGAAGTTTGGGTTTTATATTTAGTCTCCAAGCAACACCACCGTCCCTGTCATTGTGGATGTTTGGTTAATGTCCTGTGACAGCTTACGACTTGTCTTTCTACTTTATCCCCTATATCTACGGTCTTTCACTTGACGGACTCGGTCTTTCTCTTTGCAACCTCGGTCTCCATCGGAGACTTGATGCCACTGTTGCGCCGCTAAATAGCATTCATCATCCGTGTGAGTAGTGGGACTTAGCCGGCTCTCAGCTCACGTCCTTGTTTTAGAATGGTGCATGGAAATACTGTTGATAGACTAACAGTTGTAAACTGTTGATAGACTAACAGTTGTAAACTGTTGATAGACTAACAGTTAAAAAGGGCGGAGGGGTGTAGTTACAGAGTGTTTTTAAAAAAAATTAAGTGACCCGGGGGGAGGGGGGGGGGCAAAAACTTCGGGTGGGTGGTATAAATAGGTAAAAATCTAGTCTATGTTTAAAAAAGAAAACGGGTTCACTGTGATCTCCGTGGCCAGGCGTGCCCAAGATTCACGTCTAGTTGATGTATTTCAATGCAGATTGAAACTTTGCAAGATATAACCAACAGATGTGATGTTATACATTGACACTTTTTAGACTTAAGCGCTGACAAAATAGATGGAAATAGCTCAATGGGGACATTGTATGCTTTAATGTGCATGGAGTGTTTATGCAACACAATATTCTTGGCAAGGACAGACTGACATTTGAAATTATGTTTCTGCTTTCAGTCAAAAGAGGATGAAGTCCATCAGCTTCTGCGGACCATTGATGCCCAGGCTGACCAGAACCGGTCCCAAGTGGACGTCCACAACGCCATGGCGGACACACTGGCCGAAGCCTGGAAGGACCTCAACGACAAGCTAGCGTACAGAGGAACACTCTTGGAGCAGAGTGTAGGCTTCCACCAGAGTGCACAAGATGTGAGTTGAATGGTGGTCCCTTGAGAAAGTGATCAAGTCATGGAAGTTGTACGGTTGACTTCCCTTTTTTAACACATAGCTCTTTTATTAAAATGTTTTGGAGAGCACAAATAGATCAGGTTGCTTTAGGTTTGGAATTAAAGTTTAGAATTTCTCTCACATAAATTGATGAGACTTTTTGAAATGTTCCCAGCTGGCCTCTTCGATGGAACAAGCACAGAAAAACTTCTCCAAAGTTCCCCTTGCCACAGATGTGGAAACAGCACAGAGACTTTTAGACCAACATCTTGACATGAAAAATAGTGAGTTCTCATTGTATTATCAGAGCCTTGGGGAGCCGGTCTAGACTTAAAGTATCATTATGTAAACATCTTGTTTCCTCATGAAAGATGACTTTTGTTTGTGGATTGGCACTCACAACATAATGTCACACACCTTTGATCATTGGATATCAAACAACTTTGATCATTTGATCGAAGAGGGGTCTAAGAGATTTGTGTACAACAATATACACACGCTAGCCATTGCTAATACTCTGTCTGCTTTTCAAAAGCCCTTTCTCAAACATGAAAGAAAAATTGACATGTTTTTTGTCAACATAAACCACTTTAAATCTAAATTTTCTGAATTGCAAAACACAGGAAATACTTTAAACACATTCTTAACCATCTGGGTCTATTACCATGATTATTATTTTTTTTTTAAATTATGGCGTAAAAAAAAATTTAACACAAATATTATATAGTGTGCTATGGTGATATGAAAATTAATGTTTAGAATAATAAACCTTGAACAAATTGTCCAGGTATTCTGGAAACTTCTAAGGCCACCCTGGACATGGGTCAGTCCCTGCTAGACCAGATTAAAGAGATGGGTATGCATGCGGACTTTGCCAACCTCCATGCCACCACTGCCGCTTGCTATGGTATCGAACATCTTCTGGAGCTGCTGCATGACAGGCGGCGCCACCTGGAGGAGCTGTGGAATCAGCGCAAGATACGACTAGAGCACTGCTTACAGCTCTGTCAACTGGACCAGGAGGTTAACAAGGTCAGTTCTAGCCTGGTGAATTCCTTCACTGCTACAAGAGTAACTGTTTCCAATTTAACTATAATATGAAATAATTTTGCACTTCATATATAGCTATTCTCTATACATTTTTTCTCTTATGAGTTAAGAAACAAACAAAAAATATTAGAATTTTGTTTTACTGTTGGAAATAATTTGTAACACTTCTACTTAGCTTTGTATAAGTATTTAAAGAATAATAAATATTTAAGTCATTTTAAAATGATTTAATCCTATACATGTATGTTTTATTTTTTACATGAAGTATGCCTAAACCATTGTAAATGCCGCTACTAAACTCATAACTTTACAGTTATCTCAGTGAACACATTTGATTTATTTCCAGATTTTGGAGTGGTACCGTGGAGTAGGCAACAATTATTTACAGAACACCGAACTGGGCAACTCATACCTTGAGGCCCAACACATACAGCAAGACCATAACCAGTTTGAGGCACATGCCAGAGTAAGGACTTTTTTGAACTATGACATTTATACAAAATGACACTGAAATGGCATATTAATTACCATACCCGGAAATGCTATACAATTTAATTTTCATCAAGAGCAAAATAGGAAATCTTAATTTTATTCTTTGTTGAACTTCTGTAGTATGGTTATTTTCTAAATCTGTCTGCACTAGATCTTCTGTATCACATTCCTTCTATTCATACCCCAAAATGAAGCCTATGATTTTTTACTTATACTAATGAAATGATCAACTTGGTTATCAGGAATCCAAACAATGTGTGGTTTTTTAAATCAATGTTTTCATTACTAAACAAATGTGCGCTATTGTTAATGAACTAATTCAAAGATTTAACTATTAAGAGTTTAAAAAAAAATCATTACTGAAATTCAAAAGAGTTAAAAATATAATACATAATTTATCTTCTTTTAAACAGGAAGTACAAGAGAGTATGCTTGGACTTCTCAGGACAGCTGATGGACTTCTGCGTCGTGCAAGTGTTGATGCAGAAGGAATCCGTCAGCGCCTCATTGCAGTAGATCGCGAGGCAGAAAGCTTCTCAAACCGCCTTGACAACAGACGTAAGAACATCACAATGGCGGTAGCTTTCTTCAGACTCGCTGAAACGGTGAGGGTTTTTATAGTGAGACATAATCATGTGAATTACCTTCAACGGACAATTTTTTCTTCTGTTAGATTTTTTTTTTTTAAATAATTAAAAATTAGCATCTTATTAATAGTGTGATATTTTCAAGTGGAACTCAAAAGTATACAAATGATGTTGGTGCTTCAAGCATGATTATGTTACTCCTGTTACTAACTCAGTAGGAAGCAATGTTCCCTCTAAGATTTGCTGGTTTGTGTGCAAAATCATACAGTTGTGTGCAAGGTTTGACAACATCAATTTTTTTATGTGCAAAATTTTAAAGCCCACAAACACACACTTACATGGAAATTTGCTGCGCGGATACTCAAAACTGCTGCGCGGTGTCTGTGAGATAGCCACGCAGCTTAATGGGAACATTGGTAGGAAGCCAAGACCACTCAGCCTGATCTCTTTCACGATTACAGTATTTCTCTTGTTAATTGAGACCAGTGGGATGAGGACCCCTCTCTCAAATGCATTCAATATTCTATTTGTGCTTAGTAGTACCTCAGCAAATTAAAATTGTTAAACATATACTGCTGTTGTCTGGAGCTGTTGCACACAAAGACACATATGTACATTGCATAAAACATTGATATATACATACCGGGTTGACGAAGTCAGACATATTGCTATTTTGTAAACCCTCTTTTATAAACTTATTATTTGATAGATAATTGATCAATAAACCATTGTAAGTTCTCAATAGTCCAATATTTCCTCTTGCCAGGCTCTAAATAAACTAGGGGAAGTGGAGTTCCAGCTTAACAACATGGATCTCCCAAGAAACAGCGCAGAGTTGGCAGAGCAACATTCACGCTTGTCTCAGGCCATCGTTGATTACTCGACCGAAGCGACTCACGAAGGTCGGCTGCTGCTTGAGAGGGTCAGTAGCACCGACCAAGGGGCGGATGGCGTGAGACGAAAGGTATAAAATAATTTTGATAGAAATTACATTTTTTGAAAATATAAATGAAGTAAATGAGTTACAGTTACAAAGATATAAGCTTTGACCTGTGATAGAGAAACGAGTTTTAAAAGTTACTGTAATCTCAGCTAAACTTTGAATACAAGCTGACAGATCTAATTAGTTTTAGGTTTTTTTTCATAATAAAAAAGAAAACTAATCTTTTACTGTCTCCTAGATGGATGAGCTCCTGACCAAGTGCACACTATTGGAATCTCTGTGCAAGGCAAGACGTGCGGAGGCATGGCAGAGAAGCCAGGAGTACCTAACCTATCAGGAGAAATACAACAGCGTAAGTCCTACCTCTGTGACTGTTTCATAAGATACTAGGTCACATATAGGAATCTGAATCTGTTCAGTATTAGCTGTTGTGTATAAACACAATTTGTTGTCCACAAATCTCTGTAATGTCATTTACAACATTTTCTTTCCAGCTTCAGACCTGGCTTCTACAGATAGGACAGAATATTGTGTCCCGCCACAACTCCATGGGAACGAGCCTTGCCAGCGCTAAAGACTTTTTAGAAGTTCATGAACAACTAGATGAAGATATCAGGGTAGGTGTACATTGTTTGCTGTGGTAAATTACAAAGAAGAAGAAGGAAAGGAAAAATTATTTATTACATAATAAATGTGTTAAAAAGTAATGTGTTAAAACAATTATCATTAATTTATGATCGAATCGTCTAAATATTTGTAGGCAAGAGATTTTTCTCAAATATTTATGTCATATAGATTATGGCTTAACCTGGGAATAAACCTTGAAGTTGATTAAATACATTTCTACTATCCTTCTGATTAGGACAAAAATGCAGAGTTATCAGCCTTGTCTGCTGCAGCATCCAGACTGGTTCAGTCAGGGGACCAAGCTGGACAGCAAGCTGCAGATAAGGCACGCGACATTGAACACCAGTTCCAGCGACTGCAACGTGTTGTTGAGACCCGTATTCAGTTGGCCCTGATGTATGTCTCATTTCATCGACTCGCACAGCAGGTGAGAATATATTTGGCTTAATAAAGGTGGCTGACCGGCATGTACTGGTATTTAGTGTTTGCAAGTTGAAATATTATTGTGTTTTGTTATAAGCGGATTAATGATTTTATAACTCTTAGTTTTCATCAATGAAACCGTTATAATTTGGTATTGTAATATTTTTGTCTTCAAATTTTTAAAGGTTTTACTGTTATTAACAAAAATTATTTTCTTGATCTAAAAAAAAATATTTTGTTTTTGACGACCAGTAATAAATTAATGAATACCTTACTTGTGTAACCATTTAAATACCCTTCTATAACCTCAATTATGTTGAAAAATTTGAAGAAATTATTTAAATATACCTCAATCCAACAGCTGTCCAGCAACCTTGATGCCCTCGAGCACATTGTTCGGTCAGAGACGGAAGATTTACAAGAAATCACAGACACTGCTGTACAAAACCTGCGTGAAATGTTTTCGAACACAAGACACATTTTCGACGACCTCAACCTTAAGGGGAATGAATTCTTGCAAAATGCAAGCATGGTAAAATATCTAAGCTGTTGTGAAAAAATGTTTTCTTAGATAGTCTTGACGAAAAACAATTCATTGCAGATCTGGCTCTTTGAAAATGATATCTGTCCATATTCATTTGGTTATAAACGTTTCGCAATATTGATAATTTAAAAAGTACTCTGAAAAGAAGAGAAAAATATTGACTGTCATTTTTTATTTCCCAAAGGTAGAAAACATACATATCAATGCAATAATTAAAATAAATAAAATGTTTGATAAACATGTGTGTAATATATTTTGAGATTGAACCAATGTAAACCATCTGCCCTTCCTTTGTTAAAGATTACCGACGACTCCAGCTTGGACATGAGGGGCCCTGTCCAGACAGTTGAGAGGATTCTGTCAGACAGTCGCTTCTCCTCAGTGGTCAACTACTGGGAGGCATGGGAGCAACATGTCATCTCCAGCAAACAGTTCAAATCTCAATGGCATCAGTTTGTCCAGGAGGCTAGAAGGGTATGTGCTTTTTTATATCTTACTTTGGCTTTCTTGTAGAAGAGAATTTGCCAATAAAACCTCATTTGACAGTGATATTTGAGATTGAAATTTGATTGAAAAACTATTCCGAATTTAACATAAAAATTTGATTTTAAAAAAACACCAAACCTTCATTCAAATTGATATTTAAAAAAAAAAAAATTTTTAGGTCAGGTAGAAACTTGATTTTTAAAAAATAAAGTTGAGATAGAAATTATTTGATTGGAAAGCAGCACTAAATTCTGTATTAAAATTAGATTGTAAGACAACAGGATTCTTGCAAAAGTTGCTGAAATAAGCTGAAGATGTTTCAAGGATATTGTGAAATTTTTGTTTCTTATTTAGGTAAAAAAAAATAATATTTTTTTTTGATTATTGAAAAATGTTAGTAGCACCACATTGAAATAATAAAGATGACTGACTAACATGGTCTGATTTTAAAAAAATAAAAACAAACATTTCATTAAATTTTAAATAAAAACAATAGTAGATGATATAAAAATTGTTAATAAGTGTTAAAATTAAAAATAACAAATTTAAAATTAAAGCTGCCTAACACCTCTTAAAAATTTGCTTCACTGCTTAAACTTATGTGACACATCTTTCTGTACATAAAGAGATATTTATTAATTAATATTCACCAGTAAAGTATTACGTTTGGTTCATCGCATGGTATGCAAGAGAAAACAAGATGAGTGCGAGTGTTTGTGTGGGAGATGTTACCTACTGTCATTATTTTGTGTGATCACTGCTAACAGCACAGCTTGCATGCTATTACATTCATTGTTGGTGGCATTAAGACCATTAGCATTAAAATGAACTTATAGGGGCTATTACCGGTAATACCATAGTAGCAATTATTATATTTCAGTGTTAAGTATATGGTCATATTGTAGACCTGGTTTTTGAGGTCTGAACTGAAAATGTACACTAAATAATGGCTATATGAATAATAGATAGAATTTTAAAAATATATTTAAAATAATTTATTGTTTAAATTCCTTGTCAAAATGACATATGAGAATCCAGCACTTATTTTAAAGGGCATACCATAATGCTTTTAGAAAAGTGAAAATTATTAACTTTCTGAACCGAAGATTGATCAATAATTCTTATGAAATGGACTGTGAAAAGTTGGAGCCCCTTTTTTCATATAATCTATTCAGAAAAGTGAACATTTCTCCTAATTAAAAATCCCACTATGTTTTATTATGTCCACAATAACTGCACATGTAATATTTTACACTCATGAGCTTCATAGCATCTGTCATAACTGTGATTGTTAATCTAACATTGGGATCAGTACTGTCCCCATTATTATCAAGTTGTTCTCAGTTTGTGCAACTCTTTTTCTCTTTGAATTTTTTCTAGATGTAGTCTGGTGAAAACATTTTTTTTTTCAGCCTGCCTTTTTTTTGTGTTCATTCCTACGTGGTTTTCTGATTAGAATTTAGCTGTTGGTTTTGTGAAATTTTAATGGTTGGCGTTCAGCACAATGCTGCTTTATTTATTGATCCAGATAGATCGTACTTTTTCAAATGTTTCAAAACAACAAGAAAAGAACTGAAGGACACCTGGTTATTAAGTCCTCTGGACAGATCTGCTGGACAGCAGTTTTCTCAGACCTCCAGTCATGTTAAGCCATAGCTTTGATTCCTGGATATTGTTTATATCTGCATAAATAAACTAATTTAAATGAATATTCTTTAAGCAGATTGTTGAGTGGTGTTTGCTCGTACCAATTAAATTGAATGTTTTCCAAACATGATGGTCATGTTGAGTATACACCATGAATTCTAAAAGCATTTGGCTAAATTAGGCTACAAAAAGATACCATTCTCGTTTCTTGGTTGTGATTTCATGACATAAGTAGTCATTTACCTAGAGGCCCTGAGTCCAGAGTTGCAGGGTGAAGAATTGTTCCCTCTGCATTGCAATTATCTTTTTATAGTGTGATGGACATTATATAATAAGGTGGTGGACATAATATAATATGTTCACTTGTATTTCATTAACTATAAAAATGTACTTCTTAATTAAAATTTCAGGTGTTTCCCAAAGTTCGTTTTACTTTGAAAAAGTACTTCCTCGCTTTTTAAAAAAAATTTTTTATTAAATAGATCAAATTTAGTTTTCTTTACATCAAACTCTTCAATGATCACACGCCTCCTAATCCTTCGGAAATGGAGAAATAAACTTGTTCTCTTTGTCGTTTCAGACAATCGATAGAGTTTTGCAAATTGAGAACGACTTTTTCCCACTTATATCAGGCGAGCTTGGCGATTCGTTACAACAGACCAATCAGCTGCAAGCTCGCTTGGATCACTTTGTGCCCATCTATCAGGTAGCATTTTAGATCATTATTAACAAGCTGAGCTGCCGGGTTAAGTTCTGAGGAGATGGATGGGGAAAAATGGCTTTAAACTGTCCAAAAATTAATATTTTGAAATTCAAAAGCATAGAACTCGACCTTTCCCTTTAAATAATTCATCATTGCCAACAAACTGGAAGCGATTGATGGCTTATCACTAACAAAATGTATGTTCACTCACTTGTTTGACAATTTTAACAAGAATGACATTGTTTTAAATTTAAAAAAAACTAAACTTGAAATCTAAAAACTGTTCTTGAAAACGTACGTTTTCTTTTGACACTTGAGCCATTTTATACCATCTATCTTGCTTAAAATTCAGCTTAGCAGCCAGGCTAATTTATGCTAATTTTATTGACCTCTCCGTCACTTGGTTGTTCTGTTCAGACAATTGATTACGTAATGAAGCTAGAGAAAGACTTCTTCTTGCCTTACATTTCGGGTACACTTGGGCACTCCATGCAGAAAGCCAAGGAGATTCAGCAGAAAATGGATGAGTTTTTTCCTACTGCAAAGGTAAAGTTTGTATAGTGCTCATGGCCAGCAGAGGCAGGAAGTTACTGACTTCAGCATGAGAAATGGTCTATAGTTTTAGTGTTATTCTGTGGGTCAAGTTAGATTTATATTACCAGATCAAATTTCATTTCAAAGATTTAAAGATTAAGAATTAGTTATTTTGATACATTAGTAATGGATGCTTCCTTTTCTGTAATGACAAAAATATGTTTTAAGGGATTGGAAAATAGTTATTTAAATTAAATATCCTAAATAAATATAAAGACCAAGATTAATTAATGATATTCACTTCTTATAAATGGAATGTTATAAAATAATTTTTCCTTACCCAGCTTACAATGACAACAACAATGACATTAATGAAATATGTTTTAACATAAAAAAAAAAAAAAAAAGAAGCACTAAATATTTAATTTTTGTTGACAAAAGAAATAAAAAAAAAAAAAAACAGCAACACTAAATATTTAAGTTTTTTTGAACAAAAAAAAAAAAAAAATAGCTTTTATTTAATAAAAAAAAATAAATTTAAAAAAAGTTTTAAAAAAAAAAAAATTAAAAAAAAAAAATAAATAATTTAAAAAAAAAAAAAAAATTGAATTTAATTTGACCGGAGTTGCTATTTCTTAAATGGGGTACACTATTTGCAGGAAGCACAAGCCAAGATTGAAGATCACATCAAAACAGCTGAACTGCTTGGCCTGAAGGGAGACACCAAGGGACAGAAAGATCAGATCATCAATGAGCTGATCAAAGTCCACCAGAGGTTCCAGGCCAGGATCAATGAGTACCAGCTGTTATTGAAGATGACTATTGAGTTCTACAAGCATATTGGACAGGTGAGAGAACATACACCATATGGTGTATCAACGTAGAATACTCATATTTTTTTAACCGTATCTAAATTTTGGATTTTTTAAAAAAGTGTCCTACTGATTGAAATGGCAACTTTAACTAAAAAGATTTTTTTAATGAATTGCTCCAACTGCTTAAATTCACCTGTGCTTTGCTTTTTCTCGTTCAGCTTGATGAGATGATAAACAGAACAGAGAAGGAATACCTCCATTCCAACCTCCCCACAGACCTGAACCAAGCTGAGTCCATGCTTGAGCAGCACAAGCGCAAGAAGACTGAGGTCTCACAATTAATCAACTACACCGCCGAGGAGGGCGATAGAATAGCTAGGCGTGTGCGCCAGCAGGTCAGTCACATGGTGTAGGGATATTCATTTAAAGTTATGGAAATTTTTAGATTTAATAAACTGGGATATTTAAGGGTAACAACAAGTGGCAACATTGACAAAGATGTTCATTTGTATGCAGTAAAATTATGGATATTTTAGATTTAACAAGTGGGAAGAGGAATAGAAGAGCTTGCAGTGTGCGCCAGCGGGTCAGTCAAACGTTGCTGGGATATTTAGTTACGTTTGTGGGGATTATTAGGGTAACACTATTAGGTATAGGTGCCAACATTAACGAAGATGTTTATTTGTATTCAGGATGCTAGTGCCGCCGCATCTGATGATGTCCGCCATGTTTTGGACGTCACAGCAGAAACCAGGCGTCGATGGGATGAATCATGGGAAGAGCAGGAACGACGCCTGAGACAAAACCTGCAAATCTGTCAGTTCAACTTTGACCTTAGACAGGTAAGCAATGCTGCTACTCACAAGATGAAGTTTTGTTAGAATCAGTTCTTTCTGTGCTTCTCAATGGGATAAACGTCTGAATGGTATAATTTGTCATGTTTGAATGTTTTCAGGCATTTAAAAATCTCTGTTAACTAAATTATTCTTTTCCTACCTTTTCTTAAGTTCATTTTTTGTTTGTTCATATCATATTGAGTTTTTTTTAAAGAACTAAACTAACAATTATATTATTTTGTTTCCCCTCACCCAGATCCACTCTGAAATTGATCAGTTACACCAACACCTACAATCAAGGAGAGGTAACTATGGCACCTCTTTACCCAATGCTCAAGTGACCTCACAAACATTCAAGGAGTTTGAGAAAACTGTTGAGGTGAGGCTCTACATTAATTTTTTTCCTTCTTCTATTCAGCTAATTCTACTTTAGCAACATCCCTAACAAGATGTTCATAGTTTTGCATAAAGAAAACACTTTAAAGTTTATTTAATTTTTAAAAAAAATATTTTTTTTTAGAAAGCGTGCCTTAAGTTCCTTTGCTTTAAAGAAGAGAAATGCCTTTAAACATACATTTTTCCAACTTTCTACCAGGTCATCGAGGACAAGATCCATAAATTCATCAGCACAGCTGAGCTGATGGTGCAAGATGAACACTACGATTCTGACAACATCAGACGTGAGGCTGATGTCCTTAGAAACAAGTGGAGCTCTTTCCACGCAGGTGTCAAGGACTACAGGAATCAGTTGGACACCAGCATCATGTACTTCACTCTCATCGAAGAGGTCAGTGAGGAAAAGTCTTATCTTATTGTGTTAATTAACTTCTTTAAGATAAGATTCTTTTATTGATCCAAACAAATGGAAATGTTTTTTGATTGCATTGTACATTTTCAGCACATAAATAAAACAATTTGAACACAAGACATCTGCATTAAATTATTTCAGTTTAGGAAATCATGAAAAAAGAGTTGATTTATGGTTTAGTAAAACATTGAATTATTAAGAGATGAAGGGTAAAGATTCTGCTAAACTTCTTAGAAGTATTGCAAATAAGCATGCAAGCTAAATGTATGTAAACTACATGTATTATATCTACTGTGTACTTGTAAGGAAATCATTATGGTGATATGAAGACTTAGGGATTAGCAACAAAATACACTAGATCTTATTAAGAATAAATTCTTTGACTTTTCATTGAATAGTTTGATTTTTTTTAAAGATTTTATAATCAATGTGTGTATTTAACTGATAGTCTCAAGTCAAGTTCTATCTTAGCTAGATTTTTGTATCATAAAACAACATCAAGCCGTCTTATCTGATCATACATTTTACCTTTTGGCCAACTTGGCCCATTGTTGAATATCACATCATCATCTATCTCAGAAAAAGATCACAGCTTTATAATAATAATAATAATAATAAAGTTCATTTCAAAAACACGCTTCATCCCCAAAGGCTCGAAGCGCGGTACAAAGTCAACAAAAAACAAATCTATAATTTACCACATTTAAAACAAACGCAACACTACAAAAACTAATTACAAGCATACAATGGCAAAGTCTTTCTAGCCATTTCAACCCTAAGCAACACAGCCANGCGTTCCAAATTGTTGGAACAGCAAATGCAAATGTTTGTTGAATAACTTAAATGACATGAAGAAGATCTACTCATCTAGAGAAATAGGTCAACTGCTTATTCCACCACCACCACCACCCCCCCCCCTTACACTATTACACTGTTTAGTAACAAACATGAACACAATAAATTCAGTATAACAAATAGCACTGAACAATTATCACTTATCTATGTTTACCACCGCTTTTTGTCCACAGTGTGAGCTCTGGATGCGGGAAGGAAGTCAACTCCTCATTGATACTGGACACCAAGCACCACAATGTAAGACACCACAGCAGGCAGAAAACCTGATCAAAAACTTGGAGAAGTTTGTTGAGAAGGGCAAGACCAAACAGGAGGAAAGATTGCAGAAGGTGTCAGATCTTGCCGTTCAGCTATATGGTCAGTTTTTATAGGGAACTTAATTTGAATCTTTTTTATTTTTTCCTTCTGAAAATTAAATAATGTAAATTTTAAAGGAAACTTTCTTCATTTTCTTGATTAAAGATATGTTAAATAATGTAACATTGGTTAAATAAAGTTTATGCTAATCCCTTTATATGGGATATTTAAATGAAAATTGTAAAATCTAGTGTTACGAGAAATAAAATTATGAGACATTTGGTTAAGTTTTGTAACATAATGACTATATGGGATGTATTACACTAATGCTTCTTGCCCTTACTTTTATGTTCAATTTTTGGTATTATATTTTCTACTACAGGTGACCAAGGTACAAACAAAGTGAGGCCATTGGTCATTCAGTATCAAGACATGATGCAGTCCTTTGAACAAGCAGATAATGAACTTTCAAATCTTAAGGACAACTTGGAAGGAAAATCTGTGAGTTGTGTGAAAGGCTTTTAATATCGATCATGTATGCTATAGATTTTAAGTTTTTATAATTTATAATCTTATAATTTATTTTATCTCACCTGCAATTTTTTTATAAAAAATGTGTACATTTTATTCAAAGAGCAAAAATGAGTGAGAGGTTTGGTTTATTAAAAAATATTTAAACTATTTTTTGTTTTGTTTTATAAGACTAAACTTGGTATCGAATGAAAGATAATTGAATGGACTATATGTCTGTAAACTTATTTCTTCAGTTTAAATAAAATTAGTAACAGAAAAGAGCCATAAAATGTGAAAAAAATGTATGCTAAACCATTTTTAAACCATTTTTCCCCAAACCCTATGATGTATGCATATTTCATTTTCACTTCTAAAACTGTGAGACAAATCCTTTAAAACTACTACTATCGGTATCTAAATATAAATCACCTTCACTTTCAAAATAAATAATATAAAATAAAGCTTTTCGAGCTGTTAATCGTCTAGGAAACTTACACCAAGGGTAGCCATAGCAACATTAGAAAAAATTGTGAAGAAAATCATTAAAATAATGCTTCAAATGACAACAAATAAACCTTGGTTTCGCTTATAAACAATGAAGTACCACTCTTATATTTAAAAGTCTTTAAAAGTTTAACCGAGAAATAGCAAAGAAACAAACATGATATTGAAATAATGCACAGTGCATTGGTCCGTGTTTTTTAAAATGTCACAATATCCTTATTTTCAGCCTGTATCTGTTGAAGAGTTCATGCCTAGGGATGTAACTGCAAGAGTTGCCGCCCCTCAACCCAAAGTTAGACCACCTAAAATCACCCAGCACCTAAAAAATGCTGAGGTTATGGAAGGTGACAAGTGAGTAGATAAGATAATTAGCTCAGCATTAAAAAATATTAACCAGCCATTGATGTCTGAAATTTGTGAAATGCATCTCATGTCATGAACTTGATCAAGTGTCTTTGCTCTTACCAAACATCTGGTGTTCAAAAATGTAAATTTTCCCTTAACATGGTGGTGTCAAATGATGAAAGCTGTTTACTAGCACAAAAAGCCAAACATATATTTTAGTTTAGATGAAATGACTTTTAATTTTTGTAACATTCAGTTAAGAAAATATTGAGGGATTTTGATTTTTGTTTGTATAGATTCACTTTTGAGTGCAGAGTGGACAGTGATCAAGTGCCTGAAGTGCGCTGGTATAAGGACAACCTGCCACTGACCAGCCCAGACTATGAGACAAGATTTATGAATGGAACAGCAACACTGACAATAGAAGAAACGTTTTCAGAAGACACGGCTCGTTACACTTGTCGCTTCACAAATGAAGCTGGCATGGCAGAGTCATCAGCTTATCTGACTGTCAAGGGTAGGTTTTTCTTCACTTCTACCATCAGACTAGTCTTTTTACCCAACACTCCTGAAGACTTCACCATGGAAGAGAAATATTTATTGCCCCAAAATACATCTTCCCTCAGAGCATAAATGTACATAATCCACCAGTTACCAATATGTTGTTCCTATTTTAAAAATACTATAACCTCATCCTGCAACTTCATCGTTCCTCCCAACCCAAGCTATGGATCATTTTGTATTCCTATAAAATATACCACCTCTCAATTCACTAAAATCCAACTTTCCATTCCCTGAAATCATTTAGTCAAGAGACCTGCATCTTTTAAACTCAGTGTATTCTAAGAATATGGCTGGCCTGTTTAAGTGCATTCTACTGATCAAATCAAGAGGATCAAATTCTATTTAGACTTTTTTGTGTACCTTTGTTCTACTAATGGCACTATGATTTATTAATCAGGCACCATTTAGGACTTAATCTAGTCCATCTTGGGACATCTCTGATTTCTCATCTTTTCAAATAAAACTTTTTCATTCAAAATTGGGATGAATTTAAAAGATTAAAAAAAAGGCTACATCTTGTTGATGCAAATGTTGGTGAATTTAGGTGACTTGGTCAATTTTTTCAATATCTCTATACTTGCATTCTTCATATTTATTATGTTTAGTCTCAAGCATCCACTAGAAGTCTTAAATGGACACATTGTCTCAAAAGTCTTACATTAGAGAAATCATCTTCATCCCTGTTGTCCTCATTAAATTCCATATATAGAAAACAGTCCACAAATGTCTTGTAGAAGCCCACTAAACCTAACTCACTTCCACCACAGAAACCCACCAGCAGATAATGCCACCAGAGTTTACCAGAAACCTCAAATCTGTGGACCTCCCAGAAGGTTCCCCACAATCCTTTGAGTGCCATGTAGTAGGAATCCCAACTCCATCCATTTCCTGGTACATGGATGACGTCAATATTGACAACTCCCCTGAATTTATCATTACCAAAATCAATGGTACCTGCACTCTGAAGATCCGCCAAGTCCAGCGCCATCACAGTGCACGTTACACATGCCGTGCACTGAACCCTGGCGGTGAAGCCTCGTCTTCGGCCAGACTAACCGTCATACGTAAGGCTTGATTACATGGCATGACCAGTTCTTTTTCACAGCATGATATAAATATTTTGCCTGTTGACTGTAGACAAGTGAAAATTTAGTATCTGATGCCTTGCACTTCATTGGCTATCCTGCTTTTATCTTTCAAATACTCTAAGGGAAATTTTAATGTTACCATCCTTTTTTTTTAAAAATAGATAGTTTAAAAGTTCTCAACATTAATTATTATATGCGCGGTTATGGGTTCTGCCTGGACAATTGATTTTATTTTGATCTTTGATTATTTTAATTTTTTTTTTTTACTTGATTGCAATTTTTCTTTTTCATTTTTCTTAATTGCACTAAAGTTTATTTTGGTAATAGGTTTTTTAATTTCAAATCTGTGCTTTTATGTTATGTTTATGACATTTAATTTCTTTAAGTTTTCTGTTTAAAACTTTCTCTTGTTATGTACGAACTAGATTTTCTTTTCAGAATTGACTTTATAGGTTATTGGTTCTAGAAATTATTTCTTTTGGCAACAGCTTGCTATTTTTGTGTGTTGAAATGCCTTCTCTAGTTTGGAGTAGATGTTTTATTCCATGGGCTCAGGCACTTTTTCTCTACTGATTCAATCTTAACAAGAATAGTTACAATGTTAAATATGTTAAATTTACTCACCATGGAGTATAGGGCTTTACAGTTAGTATACAACACAGGCATGACTAGGTCTTTTATTTATAATGGTATTGGCGATTCTCCCTTATAGAGAAATAAAAGAACAATTTATTTTTAAATATTGTATAAAGCATACCATACCCAAATAAGTGTAATTTAAACCCCTTCATTTCATTAATTTATTGAAGTTTATGACACATAAAATCAAGAAAAACACCATTTCTTCTAGGGTTTAAAAAAGTTTTTTCAAGATTAAAAAAAATTCTCCTTTCAACTTCCAGCAACACAAATACCTTCAATCCAGCAACCCCTGCAAGATGTCACCTCACCTGAGGGAAAGAGTCTACATCTTGAAGTCAGATTCATAGGTGCTCCACCCCCAGAGGTCATCTGGTTCAGAGGCAGCAACCGCATTGTTCCAAACAACATGTACAAGGTATATTTCAAGTCACTTCATAATTTCTCACCAAACACAATTTGACGGAATGCATTTCAATTAAATTTTATTGAACTAAATCCAAAATCAACAATCTGAAGAAACTTCAAATAGCTTGCATATGTGTGACAGGATGAGTGATGGACTGTTAGTGTATTGATTGAACTCTGTGACCTGATTGGCCTGTATTGTTGTCATATTGTATGACTGGATGTTGTGAGTTGTTTTCATGAATGTTTAAACTTAAATGTGTGAACATTGGTTGGAGAACTGGAGTGAGTGATCATGTGATGTGGGGCATAAAAAGAATGTAGTATGATGAACAAAGGTTAGTTGTTACACAAGACCACAGACTTGAGATGATATTTTATTATGCTATTGCAATATGTTTACAGTTTATTGAACTTGAAGAAAGGTAATTGTCTATGAGCTCAACAATTGCTGCCAAAACTTCATTATCTAATGTGACTAACTTAAGAATTGATTTGGGGGGAGGGGGGTGGGTGGGTGTTTACTTGAATAGTTATTTTTAAATGAATTAAATCAGAAATATTGAGTTCAAATTTACACTGTTGTTGACCTGTTCTTTTAGATTACGGTCACCACCAACTATTCCTCTCTGGACATCCGTGAAGCCTACATTGAGGACTCCGGGTCCTACACTGTGATTGTGCGCAATGTGGCAGGGGAGGCAACCTCAGTCTGCCAAGTTGTCATTGAGCCTTTCTATTCCAGCCCAGGGTATCTTCATTTCTTACTTTTACTTTTCAGCAACAGAAATATTTAAATAAAAATATAAAATATGACTTTGGGGCTTAAAGTTATGCTTCCACCAACTTGCATAAAAAATAATAAAGATTAGCACTAATGATTATATAATGAGCAACTTTGTGTTATTTCAACAGCTATCAAATTTAGTTCTGGATTTGTTCTAGTATAATAAAACAGCTTCTTAGCGCTGGATGATTTTGTTCAGTATTTACAAGTTACACTATTACTTAATCGATGCAAACGAAGAGTGTCAATGACAATACCTTAATGTTTTAAACAGGGACGAGGCATCTCAAGCTTCAGCCGAGCATGAAGCTCTGGTACCACAATTTGTGCAGAAACTTCCACCAACAAAAGAAGTCCCAGAAGGAACCAGAGTTCGGCTGGACTGTGTCCTCGTTGGACACCCTGAACCAGAAGTAAGAAATGGTTGTTGTAATTCACCAAAGCACTGTTTCTTAAATTTAAATATTGAATCCAATTTTTTCTCGACAGTTTTTGTTATGCAATCCCTCTACTCGGGTGAACTATAATTTATATTTTCTCGCCGTTAGTTATTCGAATTCAACCAAGACAAAATATCAGCCAACAAAGTACTTAGATGCTTCTGGACCAATGAGCATTTCACAATAAACATAACTATTTCAGGTTATTTGGTTCAAGAATGAGAAGCCGGTGAAAGAGTCGCCAGACATTCAGTTGTTGTTTGAAGGCGACAGATGTACGCTGATCATCAGGGAAGCCATTCCTAATGACAGTGGACACTTCAAGTGTGCTGCCAGGAACCCACAAGGCGTGGCAGAGACGGTGTGCAAGCTCCATGTAGAACGTATGTTTGTCTTATTGAATCTTATTTCTTATTCTCAGTATGTCATCCTTGCTACAATCTCAAAAGCTGAAAGGGAAAAAAAAATAATGGTTTTAAATAATTAATTTTAAGAAGTCAGACAAATAACTATCATCTCAATTATTTTAACATGCATGAATTTGTTATTCATCTAATACTTTTCTACTGTTTTGATAAAATAGTGTTGGATGTTTTTAAAAAAATGTTAAAAATATAACCTGTTGAATGGGGTTTACAGTTTCAAACAATTAAAATTTCAAGCATTCAGACAGCTATGACGTTGTAGTAAATTATTGAACAGATTTTATTGTTCCATATCATTAAGTCAAACTCAATAAAAATGTGTTTCCTGTGTCCACTGCAGCTGTGAGTGAGTTGAGTGATGTTTCTATCACTGAAGTATCTGCTCCGAGATTCACCCAACCTTTGAAAGACCAACATGTCAAGTCAGGCCAGCGTGTGTGCCTACAGTGTCGTGTACTTGGACACCCACTGCCCTCTGTCACCTGGTACAGGGACAACCATGCACTGGAGAGCTCACCTGACTTCCAGGTTAGTTCATCCTTGTAACTGACCTCACAAAAATAAGTCAAAGAGTTTTAGTAACTAAATATAAATAAAAATTGTTAACTTTGAAATATCTGATTTACCGACTAGTCATCGTGGTGGTGTGTTATATAATTTTCTTTACAAGTTCTAAGGCTGATCATTTCATCTTCTGAAAAGCTTTTTTTAATAATAATTTTATTTTATATTTTATCTGAGAGATAATTTTTTTACAATTTCTTTCTTTGTCTTATGACCAGATTACTGCTTTTGCTGATGTCCACTCGCTGACCATACCTGAGGTGTTTGATGAGGACAGTGGCAACTACACTGTGAAAGCTGCCAACAGGGCCGGAGAGGCCAGCTGCTCGGCTAAGCTCACTGTTGAGCCTGCTCCAGATGAGGACCTCATGGAGAAGAAGAGGGTGGGCAGACGTGAGCAGATTCCACATTCACCACCAGAGTTCATCAAACTGTTCCAGGACGTCAACTGCAAGCCAGGAGATTCAGTGACTTTTGAATGCACCATCAAGGGTGTTCCAAAACCAAAGGTAAAACACCACAAACGTATGTCAATCTCTGATTAGTTCAAACAAAATCAATTCCTGTTTTTAAAAGATATTCGTATATTTAAACCTTTTCTAACAATGCATGCTGTGAAGAATCTTATGTACTTGTAAGTATTTTTTTAAAATAATAAACTTCTTAAAGTAAAACAAGCTTTATTCTACTACAACCATGATTTTTTCATGAAAACTCAAATTGAGCGAAATTTCTATGTGTAAACTTGATAAATATACCTCTATATTGCTTGTTTTGATGGCAATTTTTTTTTATCTCTTAAACGGAATATATAATTTTATACTGAACCTTATCTTTTGAAATGCTTTAAATGTTGACGTTCTGTTTATGAAAAGGTCACATGGCACTTCAATGGAGAGCCACTCGTCTCACAAGACTACTTACCAAGCATGGAAGGAGACACTTATCGTCTCACCATTCCGGAAGTATTTGATGAAGATGCCGGCAGGTTCTCTGTCACCGCTGAGAATCCAAGCGGCAGGGCCACCTGCTCTGCACTGTTGTTGGTGGCACCTGCCCTGCCACTGGTACCAGCACCAGGAACTACAGTACAGAGAGTCAGAACAGTCTCAGCAGACATGCTTGATGGCTACCCATCATGGTCAGAGTCTGAAATGTGAGTTATGGTTTGTTTTTTTGCATCACCAACTCCTATAAAAACTGAATTAGAGTCACTGACATTTGTCATTAATTGTTCAGGGTGGCATAGTCAAGTTAAAGGGTCACACCACTGAATAATCTATATTTTATGGAGACCCCATGTTGTCATGTCCAAATAATGTGTTCAACCCAGAGACTCCAATAATAATTACAACCAAGGTCAACAAATTTTTTATTTGAAACCAAATGAAATATGAGGCTTGTTGATTATATCTCAGATTTAATTGATGAATAAAATTGTTTTTAAGTCTCACAACAAATTTTGAATTAGATGGTTAAATACTTCATAAATATTCTCACAGTACCCAGACGGTGACTAAGACAGAGAAACGTGTCAGTCGCACATATATGTCAGAGGACAGGTATATGTCATCTGGTGGAGAGAGCCATCACTCCACCACATACACAACGGAGGTCAAACCAAAGAAACGCATGACAGCCCTGGAGCGGTATGCCACAACCATAACCACTGACATCCCACCAAAGTTCCAGCCAGTGGATCTCACCATTGTGGTCCCTGTGCCTCCCAACTTCATCCAGCCTTTAAAGAGCATACAGGCTACTGAAGGAACAAGAGTGACCTTTGAGGGTGTTGTCACTGGTAAGTTATAGCAGTCAAGCTAGACAATCATTACACAATTGTCATGGTTTAGATATTTTTTTCCAAGTCAATACTGCCTTTGTGAGATATAGGCTCAATTTAACCTATATTTCACACCTTAGTATTGGTTTAATATAAAAAAATGTAAATTTTCCACTTCCCTCATAAATATAGTTGATCTTAATCAATTTAAACAATAGGCCTATAAGAAAATTTATTAAAAACCAAAAATGTTTGACATTAAAATCAGATTAATGTAAACTGCAAGTAGTGAACAGGTAGAGTTGCAATGTAATCAAAGAGTAGCTCCACAAAATTGACTGCTATGTTCCTATGAGCTAAATGAAGAGTGCATCAAAATGGTGTCTGTATCTTGTGCAGGCAAACCTGAGCCCGTCATCCGCTGGTACAGAGAGGGAAAGCAACTCTCGGATCAAGCTGACTTTGAAATCTCCTACCGCAATGGTCGGGTGACCATGAGTATCCCCGAGGTGTTCCCAGAGGACAGCGGTCACTTTACCTGCACGGCTGAAAACCAGGCAGGCAAAGCATCCAGCACTGCTGAGCTGGTGGTCAGAGGTCAGTTAGTTAAAAAAAAATCTTTCTTTTAGTAACTTTCTGTGGGAGAATTTTAAAATGAATTTTGTTATTCTTGTGAAGAATGAGTGGCAGTGATTAGTCGTTTTAATTATAGTTATATTATGGTGAACTCAAAAACTATTTTAGATATGTTTAAAGATAATTTCAAATGTATACCCTAGCTTGCAGCATGAATTGAAATTAGCTTATGCACTTTCGTGAAGTAAGCAGTGAGTTGCCTAAACAATGATTTAATGTCAACATTTTTTAAAGTAATAACATTGTCAACTTTTTATAAAATAATATAAATTTTAAAAAACAAGCAATGTCCATATATGTGGGAGATATACATTTAATATAACGCGCTTCGAGCCTTTGGGGATGAAGCGTGATTTTCAAATAAGCTTTATTATTATTATTATTATTATTAATATGTTCAAATATATGTTCAATTAAACTATTTTTCTGTTCACCAGCTACACTTGTGCCACCAGGCTTCACTGAAAAACTGAGAACCCAATACGCTCAAGAAGGTGAGCCGATTCGACTGATAGTCAGGGTGGCTGGTGAGCCAGTGCCCAACGTGTCCTGGTACAGAGATGGCAACCGACTGATCAGCTCCCCAGATTTCCAGATCACACAGGAGGGTGACATCCACTCCCTGTACATCCCAGAAGTTTTCTATGAAGACTCTGGCAAGTTCAGTGTCAAGGCTGACAACCCTGCAGGGGAGGCCATCTGCTCAGCTCATCTTTATGTGCAGCGTAAGTTGGTCAATCTAATCATTATGTCATCAGGCTGTGATACAGTTAGGCTTAACTGCAACTCTCTGGTTGAAATGGGGGTTCATGTCAAATTGTTATATGGCCTCATACAAAAGTATGTGGTATTAGTAATGGAAATTAAACTCAAAATGTCAGGTGAAAAGCAATGTTGACCTCCCAAGGTAGTTTTTCAAAATTTTCATGTTTGATAGGGCATAAGAAATCATGGAATATTTATTTAAAATATTAACTTATTATCCAGTAGCCTTAACAATTTTAAGTTTATTTTATGTTGAAGATGTTTTATCACGACATTATTTTTTATTGTGAGTCTTAAAAAGTTAAACTAAATATTACACTACTTTATTAACAGCTGTACCGGAAAAACCACAACCTTTGGCTATCAGAGCCCCGGACAGGAGACCTGTGTACGAACAAACCACTCCAATCAAGTCTCCGGCCTCCCGTTCACCTCGACCTGTGACAGATGAGCAGCCTATTGCCAAGATACCCAAACTCCAAAGACCGTCAGAGTTCATCGCCGCCCCGCCCCCTCGTCCACCCGAGGAAAGGTTCCGACATGAGATTGACATGCAGATTGAACACGAGCTGCCTCCTTTTGAGGCCAGAATTAAACTGTATGGTGTCGAGGATACACAGGAAAAGGCCCGACCCCCTGTATATGCACCTCCACCACCCTCCTCCCCTCAGCCTAAGCCACCACCTTCTCCTCAGCCTAAGCAAAAGCTTGAGAAGCCATTGACACCTTCCAAGAAAACTCCATCTGAGGAACGACCTTATGTGGCAAATAAGAAGAAGCCAACATTTTATAGGGTAGGCTAATTTTTTTGTATTTTTAACAAGTCCATCGTTTAAATGATGTAATCGGTGTGTTATATCAAACATCAATCTTTGCACTGCTTGTGTGATTTTTCAAAGCTAGAGAAGAATAACAATTAAGAAATAAAAGAAAACACAGTTTCATGTAATATGAGCTATGTGTTCAGGGCTTACAGTTCAGGGGGTTTTATAATATCTTAAAAGATTGTTTCATTTAGTTAGTATTTTTTGTTGTAAGAATCTCATTAGATGTCCATCCTATCTACAGCCTCTTGAGAACATATCAGTCAGGGAGGGTGAGCGCCTTGTGCTGGAGGTCATAGTTGAAGGTCACCCAGAGCCCATTGTAAAGTGGTACAGGGAGACCATTGAGATCATGAACTCACCAGACTACCAAGTTGTACAGAAGAACAACCGCTACTTGCTGATCATTGCCGAGGTGTTCCCTGAGGACACTGGGAGATACGAGGCTGTAGCCATTAATGCAGAGGGTACCAACAGGACGGAGGCTTTTGTTCGTGTGGAAGGTATGTACCTGTTGTTTTTAACTTGACAAAGCTCTAGTCTTTGGAGCATGTCTTAATTAATCCAGGCTTTAATTACTTGAACTCGAGCTTAAATTGTATTTTTGGTGTCTTAAATTTTGCAAATTTTCTCTCAACAGCCGCTCCTGCCCCACCTCTACCAAAAGAGCCACCACCTCCCCTGCTTGAACCGATATATCGAGATGAGATTGAGGTCCATGTGGACAGAAAACCAGTGGAACAGCCCAGTTTTGAAGAAAGGGTTGATGTTTTCAAGAAAGCTCCACCTCCACCCCCAGTCAAACCTTTGAAAAGACCACAGCCTCCTGTCGTGTCACAGAGAACAGAGCCTGTGTTTACTAAGGTACTCATTTGTATTTTGGCTGTTTGAATGGAGTTTATTTAAAACGACGATTGGATTACTCTATGAAAGATGCACACAAAAAAAATCATGTAAAATATTAGTATCCACTTAAGAAAAATTTGACTGGTTTAGCCGACATTATTTTCTGAATCATTTCCTACTCACACATCTTGATGTATTAATGATAAGATTTTGAGCTAAACTTTTATTTACATATAAAAAATCGTATGGTATTTAATAACACTTATTAAATTTTTTAAATAAAAAAGTTAACAATACCGATTATCAGAACATTAATTTTGGTGATTTCAGCCCTTGACCAACATTGAGGCCAAGCAAGGTGATGGTGTCATCTTTGAGGTCAAAGTTGAAGGCATCCCAGAGCCAGTGGTCAAATGGTACAGGGAAGATGTGGAGATTGTCTCCTCCCCAGATTTTGAACTTTCTAGGTCAGACAAGACGTACCGCCTGCAGATTATTGAAACGTTTCCAGAAGATGCTGGGAAGTTCTCCTGTGTGGCTACAAATGCTATTGGTACATCAACTACTGAAGCTTATCTTTATGTACAGCGTAAGTTGGATTTTGTTGTTGTTGTTGTTGTTTGTTTCTTAATCTGAATAGATCATATGGACTGCAATAAGCTTTTTTCGTGTATATAGGTGCCACCACCTTCTCCTCAGCCAACCATACAACAACAAAAATTATTTTTATTTTAGGTTGCAGAATTAGTCTTTTTTTTTTGGTGTTGTATGTTTCATGTGAATAGCTCATATTGATTGCAATAAGTCATTTTCTTGTAAAATAGTTTCAGTCTCTCCTCTCATACCAAATTACACACTGCCACATTATGTTTGTTGCAAGTAGTTATAATGAATTGTCACTGTTCATTTTAAAGCTTTTCCAAATTGCACCACCCAAAATTGTATTTTTTAGCTACTCCAGAGGACAATTCCCAAATAAACATTTTTTTTTTTGACTGGTAGCCTCCCCTGGATCTCCTGTACAGTCCCCTGTTGCGGAGGAGAAATTCCGAGAAGAGCTTGAGATGCAAATTGATGGTCACCCCGACATACCTCCATTTGAAAAACGTGTGGCACTTTTTGGTGCTCCACCTCAACCAATGCCAGCCGACATGGCTCCAAGGCGTCCATTTGTAACAGACAAACAGAAACCAACCTTTAATCAGGTAGTTGGTACTATTATTTTTACTTTGCCTTCAAATAAGCACATGGCCCTGATATATAGTAAAAACTAAAATATCATTTCAGAACAAAAAATGTAGAAATATTTTATTGTATAAGAATGGACATTTTTGCCCTGATATATAGTAAAAACTAAAATATCATTTCAGAACAAAAAATGTAGAAATATTTTATTGTATAAGAATGGACATTTTTGCTATATTATATAAAAAATAGTTTTAAAGAATATAACATGGGATAAACATTTTTTTTTAAAAATCAGATAATTTAATTGTAATGGAATAAATGGTAAAAAACGTATATAAATGTTTATGATCCCCCAAACACATGAAACCAATTTTTTATTTGTTTTATGCAATGTCTCATTCACAGCCTCTGAAAGATACACATGCCAGACAAGGTGAGCCGGTGATCCTAGAGATTGAGGTTGAAGCTCACCCGGAACCCATCGTCAAATGGTACAGGGAGGGTATTGAGATCTCCAGCTCACCAGATTACCAGCTCTCACGTAACAACAAGACTTATCGTCTCATCATTTCTGAAGTCTTCCCTGAAGACGCTGGAGTCTTTAAAGTTATCGCCACCAATGCTGAGGGCTCTGTCAACTCAGAAGCGTTGCTCTCAGTGGAGCGTAAGTGAAGCTTATGTTCTCCTTAAAAAATAATATTTGGGTTCTTGTAAGATGTCAAAATAGTCATTCAGAAATCTGTGACATTATTGTGATTAAAATAAATCATTTCAATGTCTTCATCTTATGAAGAATAATTTTATTATTCTAGAATCAAAATCTCAGTTTGGAGAATTTCTCCTTTTTCTAAATCATTTCTTCAATTTTTAAAACAACTTTATGTTAGATCAGTCACACATAAAATTTCTTATACATTTTTATAATAAACAAATAGATAAAAAAAATTGAAGATTGCTATTGATTTTGGATAAAGGCAAATTTATAACACTTAAAAATACATTGTGTTCAATTTGATCTTGTAAAAGTGCATAATTTAATCATTAAAAAAAAAATCTTTATCTTTTTTTTCTACGTAACTATGTACATTTATGTAACATTCTATTTTTCTGCAGCTGGACCACTGTCACCAGAAGTGAGAGTGCCACCGTCACCCCCAACATTTGCGCCCCCACCACCCCCTGCTCCAGCACTGCCATCCCCCAAACAAGAATTAGTTTCCCCCAAGTTTGCTCCACCAGCCCACATCCCACCATCATTTGTCCAGCGACTGCCCAACGTCAGGATGGTCGAGGGTACAAATATCAAGCTGGAGTGCCGTGTTCTGGGCAAGCCATTCCCACAAGTCATCTTCACCAAGTCTGGGAAGCCGATTTTTGATGGACCAAGGTACTTCTGATGTTATTGCTTCTACTGTTGATGATTTTAATGGCATAAACTTAGCATGAAAATAAAAGAACATGTGGGACATGCCCATTGCTAGTAACAATGAAATGAACAAAGATTAGAAGTGACACTAGCATACTTCTATTTGAGTTAGATCCTTGATGTTCTCTCGGTTGGCCTACTCTTTTTATGTATTGAGATTGCTTGCTCTGTTAAATCTTTATTGTGTCTTTTTATACAATATATATGATACTTCCTATTGAAATACTCTCCAATAAGCAATACAACCAGACTTATGTTCATTTAACTGTCCTCTTACCAGACACAGAGTGACTGTGGATGAAAGGACTGGCCGCTGTACTTTACTCATCACTAGAGCCCATCCTGACGATGAAGGTGAATACACCTGTACAGCAATGAACCCAGCAGGAGAGGTCGGCTCATCTGCCCAAGTTGTACATGAAGGTGAGATAGATGTAGACCTACCTGCTTATATCTCTAGCTTCCCCCAGCCCCCTTCCACCAAATAATAAAGAATGTAATATAGCAAAAAGCACAAACTGTTAACAAACAACAATGATAATGGAAGTGATACAAGTTTTATATTCCCACAGGACCAAGAGTACAAGAACCAATGGAGGAGGATGAAGAAGACATCTCCCCTGTACAACGATTCTTGCAAGAAGACCAGGCCAAGAAGCCTGTGACCCCTGAAGAGTTCTACATACCCCAGACTGAAAGGCGGCTGTCTAAAAGTGTGGAGAGACGAGTCAGCACTGAACCTGTAAGTCCCATTGTCTGGGGGTTGGGATATGACATAAGACTTTGAAGAGAAGAGTCAGCACTGAACCTTAAGTCCCATTGTCTGGGGGTTGGGATATGACATAAGACTTTGAAGAGAAGAGTCAGCACTGAACCTGTAAGTCCCATTGTCTGGGGGTTGGGATATGACATAAGACTTTGAAGAATTACCTTAGGTTAGCATTTGGCAACCTGATAATATATCTCAAGCAGCAGATAGTTTGAGACAGTGATGCTCTAACTGTGATGCATGTACCCCAAGTTCTACATTGTAATTTTCCTTGTGATACACAGAGATGTACAAAAAAGCAATACAGATGCTCAGTCCCAAGAAAAAAATATGCTAATGATGGTACAAACATTTAGTTGTCCATATTTGAAGAAGTTTTAAATATTCTAAATGTTTGAGAACCCCTGGTCTAAGATATTTGACATATTTTTTTAAAAACAGGAATTTGTTGTCTCAAGCTTTGAAAGAAGGCTCATGGAAGAAATTGAATACCGAGAAGGCAAGGTGAAGCTGCACTCAGAAACTGAGACAGAGTATGACACTGACCAGCCTGAGGAGAGGATTGCCAGCTCTCAGGCCCAGGCCCCTCAGTTTGTACAACCTCTCAAGGACTTCAGACTCATGGAGGGCACAGACGTGACCTTTGTCTGCAAGGTTACTGGAAGACCTAGGCCAAAGGTGCTATTTCTTAGATTTTAGATATTTGTTCATAAAAATTGTATTACATTTTTTAAAAATTCACTCCCTTTACTTGAATTGCTTTCCAACTTTAAGTTCAATTGGATAAGAGTATGTTTGTAAATCATGTTCATATCCATTGTTAGATATGTCAGGAGTAATTTTATTTCTTTTGTTCCTATAACAGATTGCCTGGTACAAGGATGGTAAAAGAATCAAGCGCTCCACTCGCTATGAAATAAAGTACACCCAAGATGGCTACTGCACGCTGCGTATTCATACCGGCTTGGCTTCAGACACTGGTCACTACACAGTCCTAGCAGTCAACTCTGTTGGAAAAACAACATGCTCTGGACAGCTGTATGTTGATGCTGTGGGCAACATTGATGCAACTTCTTTTGTATCACCTGAAACTCTTCAAAGGATTCTACGCAGGTTAGTCATGTCTTCTAAGATGTAGATCTCCAGCCACATAAATGAAACAGTATTTTCATTAATTAAGTAGAGGAAGATGTAAACAAAACTGTGAAAGATCTGTAAGAGGCTGCACATGTGAATATTTGATGAGTTAAAATTGTATTGATACTTTTTTCCCCTGGATGCTACCATATACTATAAAATAACTTAATGATTTCATAATTATGTCATATCTTACACCTCTGCAATCTTTTATTTCTCATATCTACAACATTATCCTTGTCTTTGTATCTAGAGACTCTGTCAGAGGCTCCAGGCGTGGCTCCGAGGACCAAGGGGGTGTGTTTGAAACTGTTTCAAAACCAGAGTTCAAGAGACTCCCGGAGGACCTGGAGGTCAGGGAAGGTAATCCCGTGAGACTGGACACCCTGGTATTGGGACGTCCCAATCCTGAGTTATTCTGGTACAGGAATGGAGTACAAGTACACAATGATGACAATCACAAGGTAGGCCAATGGACACTGATATTTTTAGATAATGTCTTATGGATCTAATTATATAAATGCAAAAATATACCATCATATCTTCATATAAAAATGTAAATATATAGGGTCATATGTTTACATTGAAATGCAAAAAGATACTATCAAATCCTTTTATAGAATTTTTGAAAAGATATTAAAATTCAGAAAGATGATATTCATTAATTACAAATAAGTGTTTAAACTCTACTGTGTTCTTATCATATTTAAGTTAGGTTCATGTGGTTTCATTTTCGATGGACCAAAATACACGACTTGCAAAACTAAATCTCATCTACATGATTGTGTGTTAGTATGGTCTTTCTTCCCTTTATAACTTTGTTTCCTGATTTCTGCAGATTGTCATCAATGAGGATGGCGTTAACTCCCTTCTCATTGTGTCAGCTTCTCGTATTGATGCAGGGACCTACACCTGTGTAGCCAAGAACCGTGGTGGTGAAGAGACTTTCACAGTCAACGTGTCTGTCCTGGGTAGGTGCACATAGCAGCTCATGACCACTTTGATCATCATCTATATATATTTGTTTGTTATACTTGCATTTACTTTCATTCTGTCACGGTGGTGCTCATTAAATGTCAAATCCTACAATCTTACTAGAAAACATGCTGAGTGTTAAAAATTGTAATTTAAGCGTTTAAATTATTTAAATTTTCATTAAAAAGTGTCTGGCTTATACTTGATGCCTTGAACTAGTTCCGTTCTCCTTTTTTTCTTTTATGGGCAGTAGAGAATATTAAAAGAAACCAACCAAATATTACTTTATTTAAAGATAATTTTGCATTATATACCAATTCCAAAAATATTGTAGGTTGACTGGGCTACTGTAAAATAAACCAACTGTTAATAAATAGTTTACGAACTGTTCACTCTTCTCACCACAGCTCAGCACATATCGCAATATAAAAAAAAGCATTAGAGTAAAGAAGGTGAGATTATGCAAACATTTCTTATCCTTTGTTTCACAGAGAAAGAACAGATGCAGCCACCTCGCTTCATTGATCGTATGCAGAACTTTACAGTAGGTGAAGGTCAACCTGTTGCTCTGACCTGTATGGCCACAGGAGTTCCAACACCAATGATGAGCTGGCAGAAAGATGGCCGCATGGTCAGTGACCTGGATTACAGGTATGTCTCTAACATATAAGTTTTCCTCAACTACTTTCCCAGTTATCTGGTCACATGCTTGACATCAGCTATTGTGTTATAAATGTAAATATTTTTTAAGTGAATTATTACGATGAGGTCACCAAAATCTGGCATCAATATATTAAAGGATTTAATTCAGTATTAAAAATGTTATGATCTTCTATGGAGGATTTTTTTAATTCATTTTTGTAATTTTGTAAGATTAATAATGTTATTATTCATTAAATTTTTGCAAATATTACTGAGAGCTTCAAGTTAAACTATTAATTATTTCTTAGAATTGAGACAGATCAAGGGCGCTCAACTCTGATCATTGACAGTGCAGAGCCCAGTGACTCAGCTTGGTTCCAGTGCTCTGCCGTCAATGTCGCTGGCACCGCCACCACTCGGGCCAAGCTTGCAGTCCAGCCAGACCTGACGAAAGACCAGAAGACCAGACGCATTGAAGCACCAAAAAGAGTCCTCTCCCCGTAAGTAGTTGAATGACTTTGAGCAGGTTAATGGCTATAAATGAGCCTCTATTTTTTTCCCTTGACTTTTACACTGGGTTCAGTCTTATTTAAAGTTTGGTGGAAATAATATTGTGCCCACATTAGATAACCAGTAATGGTTTAATACTTTTATTGACTATCAGACTGTAATTGCAATAATTGAAAGAAAAAAAAAGCGAAAATAAAAAATATAAATTTGGAACAAGGCACTTAGCCTAAAGTATTAAAGAGTTGGCAATCAGTGCCAAAATAGAGTGGTTAAAACAAAATATCCCACATTCACTTCATTTACTAGCCTTCAAACTTTCTGTTTACTATCATTCAATGAATCAACTGTTTATTAAATTCGGGTGGATTTGATTTTATACACATATATTATATCAGAGTCTACAAAGATTACAGAATATTATTTGATGATAAAATATAAAGAAATCACTGCAACACTTTTTGAATGTGTGTTATATTGAAAATGCCTGAACCAATATTTTACCCAGCCATTATGAGATCCAATCTGAGGGACCAGTGCAACAAATCTCGTACGTGACAGAGCACGACAGTGCCACACTTCGTCTGATCAAAGAGGAGCAGCTTAAGAGGTGGAGCTTGCATGTCAAAACTGCATGTCTTACCACATTCTTCCTGCACGCTTTATACATTTTTATGGTCACTCAGAAATGAAGACGTTTAGAGAGTTTTTATTTAATCACTTACCGTTGAGGAAGGGTTAGGTATTTAGGAAATGTGTAAATTGAGCTCTGACTATCCTGTGTATCAAACATGTAGATTCTATCTTTAATAAAGGCTCATGAAAAACTCAACAACAAAGTTGAACTGAATAATCTTTTCCAGTGTTTTTAAAATTTGTTTCCAACACTTACTGCATTTGGATTGTCAAGCTTTAAAAAAATTATTTTTGAGGCTAGGTTGAAATTTTATTACAATTATTTTAATTTCAACCAAATGCAGACCACAACCACCGCAGCAAAAACCAGTAGCACCAAAACCAACACCCCCCGTGGCAGCCAAGCCTTTCCTACCAAAACCCATCCCTGCTCCCCCGGCACCTACCCCTGAGACCAGCACCCCAATGCTGACCGAGGAGGAAGATGACTACCAGCGTAAGAGTGTTATTGATGCCAAGAAACTGTTCAGTAAGCCCGACGAGATAGCCAGGCCAGCTCCAACCAGACCACACAAACCAATTACTGTTCTCTTCAAACCCAGGGAACCATCTCCAAGGTGCTTCATCTTAAATGCATGATCCTTTACAGCAATGAAGAAATGCATGCTAGGATGGAGAAATGTGTTCAAATTTGTTATTCATTCACTATAACAGAAAATATGGGAATCTCCCACACAAGGGAAAATTTATTTTTCATGACTAGAAATTTTGAGGCATACATATTCTTTGAAAAGACAAGTCTTTTATATCATTGATGATGTTAGCAATGAAGAAATCAAGAATGAGATCAAGTTTTAGAAATGCTTGAATTTTCCTAAATATTTAATGAAAATTTGCAGCTATTTGATGATAAAATTATTGTGCTTAAAAGAGCGTGTTAACTGGAATCATACTTACACATTGGAATCTTAATGGCTTCTTTTTGTGAACTCAATTCAGTTATGACATCCAGAAAACAGGACCAGTGCAGCTCATTAGCTATGCTTCTGATAATGAGCGAGGCTACTTGCGACTTATTGATGAACAAGATTTGCAAAGGTTGGCAAACTATGCATGGAGTGTCTTCATTTGTTCAATACCAGCATGAAATGATGCAATAGTGTTTGTTGAAGTTATTATTACCACAACTCTATATGGAAGCGCTGTAGCTACCTAACACCTATTGCAAGTTTCTCTCTTTTGGTTTATCTCTGGAGAAATCTCCAGCCTATTTGTTGACATATCTATGTTAATTCTGTTTGTGCATTTAAATTTATTTTTTTTCAGGTTTTTTTTATAATTGACTCTTAGTTTTATTTTTATATTTTTCTTCTCAATATTTTTAGCTTTCTTATTGATGTGCCTACTTTAAATAAATTCAATTTCAGATTTGTGTGATGATAATGTTCACAATATGATTGTCATTTCAATGACCCCATAACTTCAACCCCACGCAGAAAATCATTATTTAATTTTAATTTAAAAGACATAACTTTTATTACAAATACTCTCTAGTTTTAAAGTGAAGTTTTAATTAAATCTATTTATATTCATTTCATTTAGTTGTTATTTTAGCTTACGGTCAGTGCCAATATTAATATTTCTCCTCGTATTGCATGGTCGTCTCATTTTCTATGAAGTATTTTATTTGCCTAAACAAAGTCCATAGATAAAACTGTCAAGGTAATACCTGTTTCAGCTCACATTAACACATGTTTCTGCAAACAATAATCAGCCTGATGCATACAGTAATAGGCGGGAAATAAATATTTCACATTTTTTATTTTAAATTATTATACTTTTTCCCCGCTCTTTCTCTAACAGAAAAGTTCCAACAGAGAGATCGGAACCTGAACCATCTTACATAGCCGAGACTCAGTAAGTCCCACGCTTTCTCATCAAATTCATATCAGCACACAGTAGTAGTAAGAATATACTTGTATACTATCTTGTTATGCATTGTCACAAAACATATTAGTAACCATAATATTATTATCAACATGCATATTATAATTACATATTATGTATATTGGCTCACATACATGTATTAATGTCGTTAATAAACAATAACATTAATATGAGCTTTTATTAAGTAAGTTAAGCTGTAAAAAGCTGATTTACCCATCTATGTGTTTGCTGTTATGCTGAACTTTGATTCAAATAACTAATCCAAATTTAGGAAAGACTTTGAGCCGAAATTCAAACCAGTTACTGCTATTATAAAAGTGCCACCTCCTGTGGCCCCTAAACCAGAGAGGGTTTTATCCAGGTAGAAAATAAAGAGCAATTTATTTGTGTGTGTGAGATCTTCATTAGCCTCTCTTTTCAAACCTGGAGTGGCTTGCACTGTCTCCATTCCCTCATGAAATTTTAAATTTTGAAAAATTAGAGTAGATTTCACTTCTCTTCCTTTTAGCTTGCACCCTATTATTTTTGTTTAGTCTAGTTGAATCCGTGTAAGGAAATTTAAAAAAAAAAAATGTTTTTTAATTTAAAAAGAAAATTACACTTTTAAGAAATGAAATAATCTGCTTGATCTTAATTATATTAATGAAACAAAACTTGCTGAAATTTAAATTTTGCAAAAAGTTCATATCTCCATTCCAAAGACTTGGTCAAAAATTATTACAACTAATGCTTACTTTTTTTTTTATACTTAGTTTTATTATCTTATTTTTGTTTTAAATACTACATAATCAAAGACAGCTTCATCACAAGCTGGTTTCCTAAACACATTTAAGGGTTTCAAATTTAGTCAGCTCTGATTAAAATCAAATTTATCTTGAAAATACATTGCACCGATGCAACAAGGGCTCATCTTTCTGCTTTATCTATTTTCTGCTGGACGTCTCTCTGCAACCAATGAAAACTCTTGTTAAAACGTTAAAAGAGAATAATTTATTATTTTTGTTAGATGCTTCTTTTAGTTGAGTGTAGCTTAGCATACTTATATTGGAATCGTTTGGGATTTGTATTTTTTTTAGACGATAGTAGAGGCTGGAATTAATTTATTGATGGTTGAAGTTTTATTGACTCTTATTGTGTGCACAAAATGGAAAAGTGATAATTCTGGCCACTTAAAAATTTAACTAGACATGTGTTGCAAAATGAAGGACTTTCAAAGATAGTGTGCACTCTTATCTTCAATGCATGCTTTCTTACCCTCAAAGGACTTACCTATGCCATTTGCTTTATTTTTTTTTACCCACTTTATGTTATTAATTTTAGAATATCTTTTTTGTTATTTTTAAACTTTACATTCATGCTTATTTAAAGAAATATTTTAGCTTAAAGTTAACCTAAGTTATTACTTATACTTATAATTACATGTAGGAAAAAAAGTTATGTAATATTTGACATCAGAAGTGAAAATTGCATTTGAAATTAAATCTTTGTAATAACCTCAAAGTGACACACTAAAATTTTTAACACTAAAGAATTCTCGATAAAGAGACTATTGTTGCAATTTGCAAACTAATGCCTACTGAAGGATTTGACAAATATTAATCTTTTAAAGAATGAAAATTAACAGCAAGTATTAACTTAACAAATGTTTTTTCTTTATTTATTTTGTAAAATTATTTACATTATAAGTCTCTGAATTGATATATATTTTAAGAATTAAGATAAAAAAGAAATATTCTATGAATTGTCTATGTTACAAAAAGCGCAACTATTAATTTCATCTGTTCTAGTGCCACTCCAGTTGCTACGACGCCCAAACCAGAGCTGTCACCATTTGAAGCCACCATCCCTCTTGTTCCTAAACAGAAGGAATACAGGTGAGTTGAGAAATACTATTTGAACAACTAATCCTTTCAAAACAATCCATGAACATTCCTACAATGTTTGCTGCACTGTCTTTCTAAGAGCAAAGGTGATTTTTTTGGTTTTCAGATTTGATTTCAAAATCCAAATAAAACATTAAAAAAAGGGCCTTTTATTTTAGGGAGGGAAAAAACAAAATGAAAATAAATTGTAGGCCTATTAGCATGTTCTGCTCATTCTTGTTTGGATCTTGTTTATCAACTAATGATGTGCTTCATCATGATCATTGTGAAATTGTTTTGATCACCCAAATTTCTCATTGATAAATAACATTATTTTGGCTTTTCCTTCGCTACTTATATAATGTAAATTGATTTCTTGCTGTGTACTCTAGACCGGTTGCTCCACCTGTCCCAGTTCCAAAACCAGAACCAAAGAAAACGGAACTCTACTTGCCACCCAGGTGATTGAGATCTCTTTTGCATGGAGTGGCATTCAATCAAATTTAATTTTGTTCCATAAAAACTTGTTTTATATATTTTTTTGGGGGTACTTTTGTTTTTTTTGCTTGCTGTTCACTGGATGTATATATTTATTTTTCAATCCTTTATACATTTACTCTGTTTTATTGTGTGCTGTGACTTTGCTCTTTCAATGTAGCCATTATTATTTCTTTAAACAAATAGTGGAAAAAGCTATTTTTAGGCTTGAAAAGAAAATACAGGACAATTAAACTGACATTTTGGCAAGATGACTTCTTCAGCAGACAGTACAAAACAAGAAACAATGGATACTTTCATTTAAAAGTAGAAATAAAAGCATGTTTTCGAAAATCATAAATTTCTCAAAGATGATCATTTTTAGTTACCGTCTCTGTCTGGATTTAGTGTACTACTTAACCAATGGGAGTTGTTTTATTGAATTTAAGTATTTAATTGTAAACTTCTATAAAAACACTATTCTATTCACAAGGGCAGTCATTTCTACAGCTTACCAACTTCTCTATTGCAATGTTTTACAAAATAGTTCATTCTTGCTCTGTTATTACATTGACTTTATCTTTTTGAAAGTCTTCATCTCTTATCTTATTCAACACTTCCTCACCAGCTTATTGGCACACATTTTCTAACGTAGAATTTCATCAGTTCTTTACCTAAACACAATTTTTTAATCACATTTTTTTTTATTGATCACTGCTTCTATTCCAGTGAGCCTATCATACCTCCACTCCTTTCTCCCAAACAAACCCCTGCTGTCACTCAAAAGACAGTTGCCCCATCCCCTGCCCCAAGACAGAGGGTGCGTAAAGCCCCATCTCCGCCGGAATCTAGGCCGATTGTCTTGCGGCAGGAGCCCCACCCAGAGTGGGCCCCTGAATCCATTGATGTCCCAGCAGCAGCTAAAGCTGTGGAAGACAGGTGTGGTATATTGTCAGTTGCAGTTGTTGATTCTATCCCATACAGCCTGCTCCACCTTTGTATTAATACCAGTTGTTTTGACATGCTTGAGAGTAGTTTTTAGGCAGCACTAATACATGGCTTAAAAACATGTCTTGTTGGTCCTCAGTTCTTTGGTTTCCTTACTTCTTTATGTTTATATTTATTTTCATAGATCTGTACACAATTACTCAACTATATTGAGTGTTGATGGCACACATGAACTACAAACATGTTGTACTTTATTTTTATATTTTATTTCACACTTTTGTGATACACCGCAATATCAAACTTATACATAGTTTTATTTTCACTCTGAAGCTTCCTTCAGTGATGATAATAATAATATTAAACAATTGATGCCAACAAAGACTTAATCATAAAGTTCCATCATATTCAAAAAGGACGTTTAAAAAAGAACAAATTTGCACTGTTGTTTTTTAAAATAAAAATGCCCCTACGGTCAATCAGTGATGCTTTATCCATGACTCTGTTTGATTTTGAAGTTGTTATTCACTTTTCTATTTTTTCTCACTGTAGTGTTTAACAAGCTTTTATTTTCTACTGTTTTTATTGAGTTGTTTTTTAACTTTAAAATTTGATTTAGATTTGCACATCTTTTTTCTTTTAGATGTCACTATGTCACATATTTTTTCCTGTTAACTTTCTCTCCAGTGCAATGGACATAGTTAACATTTCTTAGCCTCTGTGCTCGATACTTTATTGTAAAGCTGTCCTATTTCAGCAACTATATTTTGATTTTGCTTGTGGATTTGTAAATTATTTTTTGGGGGCTTGATGATTATGTAGATCATTTTACTTATTTATAGTGCATAATTGTAGCTTTTTTTATTGACATAAGTAATTTCATTCCTTAGAAGTATATTTATTATTTAAATATACATTCATTTTGTAATATTGTGTATTCTGGTTATATTTGCATGTGATTGATTTGTTACAATATTTATTAATATTCAAGACTATAAATAGCATTGTCTCTTAGAAGGTAGATAGGCGAAACTCTTTTAGAATTAGATAAAGAAATGACAATTTGAGCAGGAGAAAAGGCATTAATTAAAACTGTAAAATTACCTATGCTGTCAGAAATCATTCAGGAATCATTCACCTCCCCCAACCCCAAAACACACAAGAAAATATTCATCATAATGCCATTGACTTTAAAAAAAATGAGAACCACTGCTCTTACTGGTCATTGTATGTTTCATATCCCTTGCCTTGCTTGAAACATGTCCCAATATTTTCAGCACCGAGCCAGTCGCACCATCAGATCTACCTAGACGGGTTTCAACAGCAGCTATTAAGCTTGTTGAGTGGAGGTTGGCAAATGAATGCAATGTGTTTCACTACCATTGATTTGTCTGTTATGATACTAAAGATTAACAAGTTTCTTTCAGTTACACAGTTCGACATCTCGCTGGCAACTTAAAGCACCAATTTTCTTTATCATCTTTAATAGCAATAAATTTTTTTTGAATGCTTGTAGTACTATCTGTCATTGAAAATGGATATCTAAAAGCATGATCTTTTTAAATGAAACAAATATGTCTCTCTTAATTTAAATTCATTTTAACATTGAGAAATCAATTTATTCTACCTTAACAAGTGTTGAGTGTTTTGATTTATTTAGTTTCAACTATCATAAGCTGTATTTTTTGTTTCTTATGATTTTATTCTGCCCATGTGGCATGAATTTATTGGCATTCATTTTTGCTGATTTTATTAATTTCCTTCAGTTTGTGTACATATTTTTAAAATATATTTAAGCAAAAATTTTAGTGGTCAACAACCTATATTATCAATTGACTAAAAAAAATTTGTTTAAAGGACTAGTGAGTGAAAGTGTATACAACTTTAATTATTTATTTATTTATTTATTGTGTGTGTGGAATTAAATATTAAATTTAACATCAAATAAGCAAATGCATTCTAGAACTGCAGGAAATAAAACATTTTTATTTGAGTTTCAGCCAAGTCTTTGACACTTGCTTAAAATATAATTTAAATGTTTTGTTTTAGTTGTTCTTTCATTTATTCACTTAATTTTGCACGCTCTTCATCCACTGTGTGTTTATCCCTCTTCTTGTTAGGAGGAATTTTTCCCATTATTTCTTTGACACATTCTATTTGAGTCAAAATAGTCCCTAAATTAAACAGAAATAATAAGTAATGCTGCCAAAATATTGCCCCAATAATGAATACATTAATATGATTTTAATTGGCTAATACCCAGGATAGATGTTGCATACAAGATTTGATTTTAGACACCCTGCTTTCATTAATTTAATATTTAAATTCCTGTTAAATAAAATCTATGCTTTGCTGCAGTTCATTCAAAGAAAAACAATCAGTATCCCTATAAAGGTAAATTGTTTGAATTTTAGAGCTGTTCACATCTAACTTCAACATTCTCAGGGAGTACCAAGACAGTGCAGTCAGGGAGTACATTCGCCGTGAAGGGGAGGCCCCACCGATCGAAGACTTGTATGACAGAGAGAAAAACAGGCCAGCGCGATTCAAGACACACATCAAGGATTTGTCGCTGAAAGAAAATGATGCCGCCCATTTTGAGTGCAAACTCTTGCCACTTGGAGATCCCACCATGAAAGTGGAGTGGTTTAAAGATGGGGAACCATTGCATCATGGTCAGTGCTGATGTGCTGTTTGATCTCATTTCATTAGTCTTTACATGGAGTATGGTTTGACATTTACAACTTCAGTCAATATATATATTAAAATCAATTAGTACAAACATGATATGAGGGATACAGCAGTTGTTTGTTTATGAGCTGTGGTTTAGGAGATCAAAGAGAGGCAGGACGGTAGCATCAGAAGGACAGCTGAATCATATTGCTAAAGTGCATTTTGAAATGACTTGGAGATATATTGGCTCATTTAAGTTATTTTTTGGTGGCATAAATTTGTAATTAACTATTTGAAAACTTTCTTTTATTCTGACAGTAGCCATGCTATATATATCCTTTTATAAATATCTTTATTCAAAAATTATTTTTCTTAATCCCCTTCAATTAAAATGTAAAATATCCGCAGGCACGCGATACATCCCAGCCTATGACTTTGGTTTCGTTACACTGGACATCTTGTGGATGTACCCAGAAGATTCCGGTGTGTATGAATGCCGAGCCACAAACGACTTTGGTGAGGACACCACTACTGCTACAGTTGTCTGCAGGCGTAAGTTACTAAGGGAGCAATTCCATTGTTATTTTACTTGTAGAGATTAAATGCGCTTTACTTGTCTATGGTAAAAAAAAAACTTTGTGTTAGTCTTTTGAGCAAATCATTATACTTGATCAAATGATGAGCTTTTAAAATATTCTGATTTGAAATTAAGCAACTTACCACTAATATTATTATCACTGACTACCTCTGCCACTTCAGTACTATAAATGTATCACTGAATGATATGAATGCAAAACTTAAAAGAGCTTTCTTTGAACAAGGATATTTCTTTTCCACTATTCCACTATCATTCACTGAAAAGTTGAGTTACAAAATATTAATTTGTTCTATACAATGAATGCTTTAGCTGCTCCCCATTATTAACACCCTCCATTTAATTATGTGCCTTCATCAAGTGTTGTTTGGAAGTGGCTAACTTGAATATGACATTACATTTTAATTATTTCAGCTCTCCGCTCCATTATTATGGATACACAGCTCCCAGGAGAAGGTGCTGTCAGACTGCAAGAGATGGAAGAACATTGGAGAAGGTATGCTTGCTTAACTAGTAGGATATCAAGATTAAATATTGGTTTAACAAATACATTTGCAAATAACCCAAGTTTACCTTCAAGTTAAATATTTTAATTTCCTTTTTCCCCTTTCTATAATAGCCACATGAATGTGGAAGAAAAAATCATTGAGGAACCCAAGACAAAAACACCTCCGAGCATTGATCTGAAGCCTGAACCTGTTGAAACCGGTGAGGGTGAACCGGCCAAGTTCCTGGTCAAAGTCAGTGGCTATCCAAGACCAAGGGTCAACTGGTGGATTAATGGGAGCCTCATTGTTGGGGTCAGTTGTGATGTCTTGTATTTATTATGGATCCCTTATATAAGACATGACATAGTAAAATTTTTTATTTAAGAACTGCTATCCTTGCTGTTATGGAGAATGCACTCAAATAATACATTTCATTATGTTCCCTTAACCTGGCTCTTACTTAATAATGACCTATTTTTAAACAAAAAATTACAAGATGTCTCTACTATGTAATTAAAAAGAATAGGGTTTGAATAGGTTTTAATTTTTACACTCTTAAATACTAGAATTTCATGGTTTAGATTATTTAAAGAATAAATGTACAACTGTACTGCTGTCTCCAGGGCACAAGGTTCAAACTGACCTATGATGGAATGATGCATCACATGGAAATCCCAAGATGTAGAGAGTATGACGCTGGCCAGATCAGAGTGGTGGCCAAGAACTCAGAGGGAGAGGAAGAGTCCAGCACCTCCCTTATTGTCATGCCCAAGGAGGACTGGAGGGCTAAGCTGAAACAAGCCCCCAAAGGTCTGGAGTTCAACAAACTGTATTTGCTTATTAAGCAGATCAACAAATTGTGTACTCAACAGCAGTGTACTTAAGTCTTGGGTGCATGGGTAGACATTTTAGTTTAAAATGTTTTTAAATTTAAAGAAAAATCTAACTTTTTACTCTTTTCACTTAAAAAGAATAACAATTCCTTTATCTCATTACTGATTTGTATGACTACTATTTTCTTTGTTTTCACTCTATAATCCAGGAGTTTTCACATTTTACACTAGGCCCATATTAAAAAAATTAAAAATTAATGCCACCCTGTGAACTAACAGTCAGTCAGCATATTTTGAAATGGTAATGGATAAGTTATTAGTATCTTATGATGTTCTTTGTGCAGGAGAACTTGAAATTGAGCTAGAGAGAAGAAAGAAAATTGAGCTGAGGACTGTTGAACTAGACAAAGCCTTGAAAAAGCCTAAGGCAACAGAATATGAACTTAGGCAAATGGAAAAAGGTTAGTTGTCCTTTTTAATCCAGGAGAGAAAAATGTACATGAATTTTAACCACCTCTGGAACAGGCTTTCTCTAATGCAAACATTTTTATAGAACACAATCAAGCAGGCAGAGCCGTTGTGTGGATCCAGCAACACCCATGGCTGCAGGGGTGACTCATATATTTAAGGGGCCCAAAGTTGTCATATGGAAAAATTTAATGGAAATTGCTTTGAATGGCTAAATAGATGAAAAAACATGAAAAGTTGCAGGGGGGCCTCCAAAGGTCATGGGATGGCTCTGCAATCAAGGAAATAGAATGGTATTACTGAGATATGTTTTTTTTAAATTTAATTTATTTTCATTCAATGTGTTAAAATTAAAAAGGTCAACCTGTGAAAATAGATATGCATTTTATAAATTGGATATTTCATATACTCATAAGGCCCTCAGCCAGTCAGATAAACTGACAACGGAAAATTTGGAACCACTTTTCTAAGTCACACAATTCTAAGTCAGCACATAATTATTTTTTATATAATTTTTTTTTGAAGCCTCAGAATCTAAGGTGCGCATACAGAAAGACACTGAGGTTATCATGGCAGAGCAACAGTACATCAGTGTTCACACCCAGCTCAGACGTCTGGACAGCGGTGTTGTCTCCGAGCCTGTCTTTGTGGAGAGAGCTCGGTTGGTACCCATTGATCAGACCCAGGCCCCGCCAGAAGATAAGCAGCTTGTGGAGCAACAGATTACCCTCCAGAGAGGGGAGCCTCCTGTCTTTACCAAACCCCTCCGGCCCATAAGAGTTCCTGAGGGCAGTTCAGTAAAGTAAGTAACAAGAGAACATACCATTTTACTTTCATTTTCACATTAGTTGTACATCAATCAAGTCTAGAAATGTTTATTATATAATCTCTAAATTTTTAAATTCACACATTAACTAGGATTTATAAAAACAAAACTTTTTTTTCTTTTAGATAGACAGAAAAGTGTCATTTGATTTAACTTAAAAATTAAACTTTTAACATAAATGTATTGATTTAACTATTGAGATCTGTATACACTATTTTTCTACTTCCTTTGATCTGAAACAGCCTTGAAGTCCAATTCAAGGGCATTCCACCACCAGTTATAACCTGGTACAGAGACAGCTTTGAGATTCAGCCCTCCAGAGACTTCCAGATCTCAACCACCGAGACATCCAGCACACTTCATGTCCCAGAGGTCTTTGCTGAAGATGCTGGCCTCTTCACTGTCAAGGCCTACAACAAATTTGGCATGGTTCAATGCAAAGCCAAGTTGACAGTGGAAGGTACAATACTTTGTCACAGAGAGTGAATGATCAGTGTCCTCCTCTCCGTGTCCTTTCACAATGCTGTCTTAAGATCACACTCCAATTATGTTTTTAAAATTCTTTCTCTAAATGATTGCAGTATTAACTTAATCCCTGAACAATTACAATGTTTCAAAGGCTATAATTGGACTCGTTAAAATTATTATAATTTTTAATTATTCAATTAAAAACTTGTAGCTGTTAAGAAAAGAGAAATAAATATTGCACTCCATTATTTCGATATCTCTTACATGAAAAAAATAGATTTAATTTTCAACAATGATCAATAAAATTAAAACTAAAGCAGTTGGATGAAATTGCACTTGAATTAAATAAGTAAATAAAGGAGGCTTACAAGTAAAGTTGGCATTTCTTAAATATAGTTTTAATTGAATATAGTTAACAAAGCAATGTCCAGTAGTTGACTCATCAACGTCCCATTCTTTTGTACCCTCATAGAAGGTGAGCAGCCAGAGAAGGAAGTCCCACCTGAGTTCCGCAGCTTGACCAGAGACACTAAAGCCATCCAGGGAGAACCAGTTACATTTGACTGTCAAATCACAGCCTCACCTCCACCTCAAGTACACTGGACAAAGGTCAGAGCCTGGTTATCTTAGTGTAATATAGATACACTATATACGAGATACAAAGATGGAAACAGTTGCTTTATATGATAGTCTCAGACTGGCTGGTGCATTTGAATGTTAACAAACTAAATGTTTGATATCTTTGACTACATGCATATAAATGTCTGGTTTTCAGGAGGGCCAACCTATTCCTGATTCTCCAAGATGGAAGTTTATCAAAGAAGACAACAACTACACACTTGTCATCTATGAAGCCCAACCTTGGGATGCCGGTGTCTATGCTTGTGTCGCTATTAACACAGTGGGCAAAGCCACCTGCACTGCAAGGCTCACTGTGGAAAGTAAGGGCCGCTGGCATTAACTCTTTTATAGAAGTCTAATAGCTCGGATTTGTGCTAATTAGTGCGATGGTGTGGAAACTATTTACTAGAGCAAAAAGATTTGATCAAAGTTATTAAAATGTAAGATAGAAAAATAACTAAGACTTAGCTAAATTAAGATTTATTGTTACAGAACCAGAAAAGCCCATTGAGCCATCTGCTGCTCAGCCACCTCAAGAATCCTCCATTGAGCCACCTTATGTCATTGAGGAGCCCAAGATGGTAGATGTTGATGAAGGAGAACCTGTCCGCTTTGAATGTGTAATCAAAGGAAAACCACGTAAGTGTTGATTTCATCGTTCTCTAGTTAAAGACCACTTCTTTATTTCATCTAAATTAATTTCAATTTAAGAATTCAGTAGCTATTTCTATAAATGTAAATATTTCTTTATTTATGAGATGTAAAATAAGCCTGTGATGTTTTAATTTTTAAAAAATATTATTATTAGTTCATTTTTTTAAAACCTATTTAAGATTATAAATCAAATGGGAAAAGTTGAAAAATAAATATTTTGACAAAAATCCTGTGATGGCTACCAACATTTAAAATAGTTTGACATTTTTCAAAAGCTGTATATATTTTTAAAAAAAAGAAAGGAAAGCGTTTGAAACAAAGGCTGAAATGCATGTCTCAAGTCAACCAGAAAGGAATATATCCTTTCAAGCATCATGTAGGCCTACACATTAAATAAACCATGACTGATGACTAACTAACTTAAAAATCTTTCTAGATCCAGTTGTTACCTGGTATCGTAACAATCAGCTGGTGAAACCATCGAAATACTTTCGCATGGACTCCACCCTGGAAGGTGTGCACACTCTTTCTATCATGGAGGCATTCCCAGAAGACACTGGAACCTACAAGTGTGTTGCTAGAAACAAGGCAGGGGAGGTCACTGTTGTTACTTACCTTAAAGTTCATGGTGGGTATTGTACTAGTTTTATAATTTGCTACCTTAGATTCATTTTGTGCTCAGAAATCAAAGAAAATACCACTTAATGTTCTTTCCATATAAACATTAAATTTTTACTATAGAAGTGTTTCAGAGCATTGAGTTAATTTTGCATGATTAAATTATTCAATCTTAGCTAAAAATCTTCTGAGTTTTTCCATTCGTCGTCGCTGTGATATGATGTGGCATCAAGTAACATAGACCATGTTATTCCAATAAATTCCTTATATGTAGTGACAACAAATCTATAGCCTCTAAATTATATGACACTGACAAACCCTCAGGTACAGAGAGTGAGCCAGATCAGCTCCAGCCTGAGGCCTTCGCTCAACCTCCCAGCTTTGTCCGACCTATCAGCAACATGATGGTCACTGAGAATACACCAGCTAAGTTCGAGGCCGTCTTCTCTGGTGTGCCTACACCTGAGATTACATGGATCAGAAATGGAATACAAACTCTTCATGACTCTAGGGAATACAAGGTGAGTTACCTGTAATGTTACCTTTGTTCAGTGGTTACCAAACTTTATTTTACTCTACCTCATTTTTTTTTTTTCACACTTCGACCACTCTGCCGCCTCCCTCTTGATTTCACAAAGGAAATTCTTGGCATTTATGTATTTATATTTTATATATATTTTATTTTATATTTATATACGCCACTTTGATTTATTATGCACCTCTCAGAAACAAAAATGCCTTTGCTTTTAAAGCCATATAAAAATTGTTAACTTCTGGAGTGAAAAAATTCTGCTGTAAAGAAAACTATTTAAAAAGTGTGTCTTAAAATCTGTTATAAAATAAATATTGATCTTAAAATGAAAAGTAAGCATCTTTAGTCACTACAAACTAAAAATGTCATTTTGCTATTGAATTGGTAATTATAGAACTTTTTAATGATCTTTTCGATTCAAATTTTTCTCCACCAGATTGAAACTATTGACCGCCTGACAACGCTGACCATCTATAAAGCCCACCCTGAAGACACAGGCATGATAACCTGCCGGGCAAGGAACCAAGCTGGCACCACCGAGTGCTCTGCTGAGCTCTACGTGCAACGTAAGTCATCATCCTTGTACTATTTCACACCCCTCGTACACATTTACACAATTGTACACATTTTGTCTGTAACATATCTAATGAAAGCTCATCCCTTTCAGGTTTCTAATGGCATACCCGCTATTTTTTTTTTTTTTTTTTTTTTTTTTTTTTTTAACCTGTAGTTTAATTGATTCAAAATGTGTCATTGCAAGAATATAATTCTCATTTTCTTTTACATCTTAAACACTATTAGAGGCTTTTTGTCCTGAATGCCTTTACTCTTTTTATTGAGATATGCATTTACTGTTTGTCAGTAATTATCACATGTGAATTTAAAATTTAATGACTACCTTAACCAATGAATGTGTGAGTCCCATCAAAAACTAACAATTCAATGCTGTACACAATTAATGCCATGAATGCATACCTTTTAAATCATTATTTGTTGAAATCAAATGTCTGCATGACCAAATTATTTCACCTGGATTGTTATTTGCTTAACACATAACGTAACTTATTTATCAATGCCCTGTTATGATAATATACCCTGTATTAAAAATATTAGATACTGTGAAGTTGGTAGATTTTATTTTCAGAGCATGATCCTTGGTGTTTTTCTAAATTGAAATATGTAAAAAAATTAAATGTTAACTCTTCATTTTGTCAAATGAAATCAATGTTTGAATATGTACGTTTGCTACTTGATGAAAGAACAAAATGAATAGATTAGATTTGATAACAAATAGTCGAGCTGATCTTAGCACTGCCATCAATGGAGAATGGGATGGAAGAATGAGCGAGACGCGCTGACAGAATCGAACCAGCTCAAGACTTCACAGCATGGCTCTTCCATAGCTTGATTGACTTTAGCACTATTTCCCTCGCATGTTGAACTATGAACCTCAACCCATGGGACAGGTGATGGTGCATGTCATTAACCTGACCTAGTGAGTAACCTGCTTTTGTAAATTGCTCATTAAATTATGCAGTTATTTAAGACTGTAAATAATAAATAAAAATAAAGAAAGATGATTTATTTTCTTTTAGGGCTAATTCTTTTTGATTTTCACTATTACATTCATATCAGATAATTAAATGAATAGACAAATAGTAAATTCTACCTTCAGGAATGAAATAAAATAATTACAGTTTCAACATTTTCAATTCTGCAGATTTTTAAATATCCAGGAGTTATAACAAAACATATTTTTTATTCCCGCATACAGTGTTTATAGAAATGAAAAACTAGATTTATTAATATATTTTAAATATGAAAAGTCTGAAAATAATTATCTAAGTACTAAAATAACCATAAAATATACAATAGCCGTTATAAACCACAGAAATTGTAATCTTTTTTGAAAGCTGTTTTTCAGATTTAAATTAAAAGGTAGAATAAATTCTAGGTAGTATAGTAAAATATCTATCGGAGTGCTCTATCCCTGCATGTCTGCTAACACAGAGTTTTCTTGAAGAATCTCCTCAATTAACATATTTTAAAATCTAAATGAGTAATTTGATACGAATTTGATTTGGGGGAAGGGGGCATTTCAGTGCATGTATCCCATTGTGTGATTAACATTCAGTTATCATCATCTCTAGAAATGGGTGTTTTAAGCAAAGGGATCATTTAATTTAGCTTATTCAGATTGACAGTTTAGAAATAAAGGGCACTGCACTGCATTTACTCCATCCTAGTTATCCCCCTCTAAATACACAGAATATGATTCACATCTCACATTGCACAAATGTATTGTATGGACCCATCAATTAACGAACATTATTGAAGTTTATTGTATTGATGAGTTTTGTCATTGTGGATATGTTGTCTAATAAATTGTACTTTATTCATATACCCGATTTTTGTCTTTAGTTGTGCATTAGTTACACTTTTGATCAGCCATGGGTTGACCTGTCAATTGCCCTATTTACAGCGGAAGAAGAAACCAGGCAGCTCGCTAGACAGTTAAACATCACTGTTGCTCAGAAACCTCCAGAGTTTATCAAGCCATTGTTACCATACCAGGAATACACTATTGGACAAGTTGTCAGGTGGGTGGAGTATACTTTATTCTTGAATTCTATGAAAATAGTAAATGGAAAAGGTGTTCTTTCAAATAGGGGATTGCATGCTGCTAGGTCTCATATTTAACACATTGTTATTTAACTGAATGGTATTTGATTAGATATTAACTAGATTCAGAAACTCACCAAAACAATACTTTTTTTTTTTAATTAAGTTTTTTTTAAAATTTAAGCTTAATAAGTTTTAAACTATTTCATCTTTTGGCTTGATCAGTCTTGCTGGTTTTTGATTGTGCACATTTATAAATGAAATGTAAACAGTTAAATAGTTTTCCTTCTTACCCTGAGGCATTCTGAGTGGGGCATATGCAATTCACAAATTCCCTCTATTTCCATCTGTTTTGAGCCACCCCTTCCACATAATTTTAATTCTTCCCGGACTTATTTCTTCTTCTTCTTCTTATATTTGAGGGGCCTACGATCAATTTGTTGATCATTCTGGCTCCTGGTTTAAATTCAGAGTTTGCCTTCTCTTAGATGGGTTGCCGTCCAAGGCTAGCGAGTCCCATCCACCCGGGGTGCTTGGGATGGCTTTGGTGGGGATTGAACTCCGGACCACCGGCTTTTTGGTTTGAGACAGTTTAGACCGCTCGGCCACCCAGCACCCTGGGTGCTATATATATTTATATAGATCTCTGTTGCCACGTTAATGCCCCAGAGTCTGCCACTTTGTTAAATAATGCTAATCAATAATTTTTGTTGTTGTCAGGCTGGAAGCTGAGATCGTAGGCGAACCCCAACCCCGGGTCACCTGGTACAAAGACGGCATTGAGATCCAAGTCAATGAACGCATTAAGACCATTCACGATGAGCACAAAGCTGTCCTTATCATCATTGACGTGTCACGTCAGGATGAGGGAGAGTATGTGCTCAAGGTTGAGAATGAACTGGGAGAGATCACATGCAGGACAACTCTTATTGTCAGAGGTAATATGTTTGGTCATGTCTCCTCTGTATGTCCAACAGGCTCATTCAATACAGTCATGAAATCTCTATTTGATAACTATATTTATTTTAATAGCTTCTACCTAACCTTTATGTTTTAAATGTTGAGGAAATCTTTGTTGAAAATTTTGTATGTTAAATGATGAACCAAAAAAATGTTTGTAGCCTTTTTATTTTTAGTAAAGAAAGAAAAGAATTGTGCTAAAATCCAGAAACCTATTGCTCTTGAAATAATATCCAATGTGATAAAAAGAGGTAGAAAACAAAAATATTTCTAAAGATGCAACTAATTAATAGGCATCAACATGGTAATCCTGATCATTCAAAGTTAGATCTCCTTAATCTGTGCAAAATTTGATTAAAATTGATGTTTTCCCCACATTTGCACTATAATTTTACATCTTTTGAGCTCTGTCATTCATTCTTTTTACAAAGGCCGTGAGAAAGAAATTGAAATTCCAGGCATGGACATTGACCAAGTTATGACCATTACCAAAACATTGACCACCATACAACGGGAAGAACATGTTGTACTCCAACAAGTCAAGCCTGTGTTTGTGGCACCTTTAGAGCCAGAGATTTATGTGAGAGAAAGAGGAATTGCCAGGTAAACTCACTATACTAGCTGAAAATGGAAAAAAAATTAAAACAGATTTACAAAGACATTTGTAAAATCAACTTCTTTTAAATGTAATGTCTTGCTCTAACTAGGTGTTCCAAAGATTTTTAGATTTAAGGAGCCCAAGAAAAAAACCTGATCCTAAATACCGGCCTTTGTTTTACAGTTAAGAATCAGATGCGAAAAAAGTCTAAAATTTCCTGATGGAGCCTAACAAACTACGTGCAGCCTAATGCTGTGGGACCACTGTTTGAAAACTCTGTTTTAACAATCGAAGATTTCTTTCAGTATATGTCCAGAATACACTGTTGATCCCCAATAAATTGGCTTTGTCCTTATTAAATCCTTTGATTACCACCAGACTGGAGTGCCAGATTGACTCGCACCCACCGCCTCTCGTCACCTGGTTTGTCAATGGTATGGAAGTGAAGCCATCGCCTCATTATGAAATTCGTTATGAAGATGGCAGGAGTATCCTCCTTATCATTGAAGTTGGACCACTGGACACTGGAGAGTACACATGTAAAGCTGTCTCTGAGCTTGGGGAGGCCATTAGTTCTACCACTCTATATGTACAAGGTGAGTCTTCACAATTTTAGATAAGAGTTTTTGTTCCTGAAATACAAATATACACATCTTTAACTACAATAATAATGTGGGGCTTTTGATTGTATGAAATTATTTTATAAAAAAACAAGTGGTATTTATTCATAGGAATATCATCTTTTGAAAGTCTGCATAACACAGTTCAAGGGATTTTCTATCATCTGATCCAAATCACCTTATTACAAGGAAAGCTATTAACTTGACAATGACCATTGCAAAGATAAAAGCTAAAAATAGTGATTTCTGACTTAAGATAAAATAAAGACCTAATCTTAAATGCATCCCTTTTAAAACGTTTAGCTAACATCAAGGTAGAGAGAGCTCACAACATATTAAGGTTGTTAATCATTTGTAAAACACTAGGCGAGGGTAAATAGATCAGGACAGTCTTACTGAAATACAACAAACGGGGAGATATCATGTAAAAAAACAAACGTTCTTTTTCTTTTCTCCACAGAGCCTGCTCAAGCTGATATCTTAAGGCCAGAAGACACGTCTTCCATCTTGCCTTCTCCATCACAAATCCTCTCCCCGCCTGTGTTCCTTGACACCATGAAAAACACAGAAGCTGTGGATGGTCAAGAGCTTCAGCTGACCTGTCGTGTCAGTGGAACACCCATGCCAACAGTTTCTTTCTTCCATGACAGCAAGAACATTGATGACGATGAGGAGTTTGTCATCTCATACAACCCTGAAACAGGAGAGGTACGTTCTGTCTTCCAGAAGCCTTGAAAACAAATTGTTTCTATTAACCTTGTAACTGTAGAACTTCATTCAATTACGAAATTGGTCTTCATAATTACTGTGACGTGACATACGTTGTCTAGGGGTCGGTCCCCTCTGTACTAGCCACAGAACAATTTTACAAGGGTCTAGAACCCCTTTATTTCCAGCTCCTACAGAGCTGACTCTTGCTCCAAGTATCAACAAACAATTCAGGGTTTCAGGTTTTCTTATTTATTGGCTATGTGTGCCTATATGCCACTACACAAAACAGTTAAAGTTACACAAGTCCTCTTCCATCCGTAGAAAAACTCACTGCCTTTTCACAAGACAAAATCATACACCATATCCACAGCACTCGGCACTGTTCACTCCTTAAAAACTCAACTCACACATGTGGTTTTCCCCGACACAGCACACCGGTCATACCTTGACCGAGAAAAATAAAAACTCGTGGGGCACACGGGGAAAATAAACTCACCCACGATTGGTCAAATTAACATATTAGAAGTTGACACAGAAAAATTCATGCGATCTGACCGTGACAATTACGATTGAAAAAGACACATTTTGAGCAGCCGTGTCTCTTTGAGACTAATCTAATAAAAAGAATCTGAAATAAACTTGATCAAATAAGTCTTGTCTATGTTACAAGTAATGTTAGAAATGTATCTCTTAGTTTATTTATTTGTACTGTCATATATTTTAAAACTATTTCTATGCAGGTGAGCTTGATCATTGTGGAGGTGTTCCCTGAAGACCAGGGTCAGTACATTTGTGTGGCCAAGAACCCTGCTGGTCAAGCCACCACCTCAGCTTATCTTACAGTCCAGGAGGCTAAGGAGACAAGCTTGGAACTAGACATGGAGCAACCTCAGGTAATTTTCTTCGAATTGGCAATGTTTATTAACAAAAATGTATATAAACCTCTTAGAGAAAAGACCAAGACATTCAATTGTTTGAAAATGTATTTAAACCTCTTAAAAAGACATTCCCATGTTTGAAAAATGTTGAAGAAAGAGTAACCAATATGTAATACATGGTTGTTCCCAACTACAAGAGAGGGTGTGCTCACCTTCAATAATTTACTTCAGGATGAAGTGTTTCTTGTGGACACTTCTGCCCCACAGCAGATTGAGTTTACCATCAAGCCTCAGGAAGATGGGACAATGGAGGTTGAGCACCCTGAGGTCCAGGAAGATTCTGTCATTCCTGATATCATAGAAAGACCAAAGGTAGCAAGATAACCTAATCACTATCATTAAAATTTAGTCTGAACATTTTATTTTTAAAAAATGTATTTTTTAAAAATTTGTGTCAAACTTTTAAAGACTTATTGGGAATGAAATAAAAATTGAGATTTCAGATTATTGCATCACAGTTTAAATTTTTAAGGCAATAGGTCAGCCTGTTAAACGGAAATATAAATGAAAATTTTCAAAGACCACACAATGCAATAAGATATCACCTAATGAAACTCTTTAGTAAATAATAATTTTGAGGTTTATTTAAGTACAGTAAAAATTATGTTGCTTTTTTTCTCCACATAGGTTGAACCAATAGATAAGGAAGAACCCATGCAGGAATCTCCCATATTTTCTCCCATCCCAGACTCGGTCACGTCAGTGGCCGGGTCATCAGACGCATACTACACAGCACAGGAGGACGTTGATGAGGAAATCACTGAGGCCGCCATCCAGCCCAAGACCATTGAACGAGCCAAGCTGGTGGCCATTGAGCCAGAGGAGTTAATTTTTGAATCTCCAGAGCGTGAGATATTGGTTCAGGACATGGAGGAGGAGGAACGGGCTACACCGACTCCTCAGGAAGAGGTCAGTTGAAAGCAGACTGAAGAGCTTAGTTTAAACGTTGCAATAATTTCAGGGTGCCTCGCTTTTTGAGATCTATTAACTGTTGTTTACTGAGATAACTGTCTTTGTATTACTGATATCAAAAGAATCTAGAGGCTAGTTTTTAAGTGCTGTAGATTCATATATAATTGGTGTACTACATAATTCATTATTGCACATAAACAAAATGTTAGAATAGATTTTATATTTAATACTATTCTCACAGTAGGCAGTGGTTCTCAATCCATGCTCTGTGGAACACTGGTGCTCCTCATAACCACTTCAGGTGTTCTGCGAAAAAAATAAATACACAATTAAAATTTGTTGAAAAAGAAAAATCAACTCAGTTGGAAATCATTTTTGGATGGGATTGTAATCTGCAAACGCGAATGGCAATTACATTAATTTGTCCATTCACTGATTGGTGTGCCTGTGCAGTTCACATATGGATAATGAGCAGTCTGATTTGCATTAATTATATCAATTCAATTTTACGTGGATATGACATCGGGCTGACTTGCTCAATATTAGTGTTACAAGACGCCGCCAAAGTTTAAAGTTGCGTGGATAACAAACTGGTCTGTTGTGCTAAAAAAATACAATGTTCTTGCTTACTTAAATACTGTCAATATTAGTATGTAAAGAAACAATGAAAATATTCTTACGTCGCCTGCCTAATTATTATTTGCAATGAAAAAAATTAAAACTTTCACTATGGCAGAGACAAGAAAGAGAAACAAACATCGAAATGTGCAGGATACAAACAAGGCAATCATTTCTTTAAGAATAAAATATTTAACAATATAAGAACATTTTGAAACAAAATTTCCATGGTTAAACACTGAACAATTTGATTCGATAAGAAATCTGTTTGTTTCTTCTGAATTTTTTAAAAAGTAAAATAATTTAAGTAATTTTTAAATAAATATGTTTGCATCAATCAATATCGGTATATTGGTCTTTTATGATAGTAACACTTTTAAACGGGTGGCTAACACTAAACACTATTTTTTTGGGCTGAAAATTTTTACAATAAAACATAAGCTTTAAGCAGGGGCAGCCAACCTTTTTGGAATCAAGCGTGCCATATGTTTATGAAAATAACAATACTGTATCGTTAGTGTTCAGCGCAAAAAATAAAATAAATCAGAGTTTAGTGTTCCCCGACTTCCAAAAGCTTGAGAACAACTTCCTTCAAATATTAAAATAGACCACTCGGCTTAGCCTTCAATGTTAACAACTTTCTCACTTGCCAGGTTGTTGAAGAAACTGTAGAAAAAGTGACTCAGGTGAAAGAGATTGAGATCCCAGTGCCCAAGGAGCAAGAAACATTTGAGGTTGTCCTCCAGGAGGACACTACCACTGAGGAAATTACCACCACAACTGAAGAATTCACATTTGTTGTCCAGGAAACTCCAGTGGAACAAATTCAGGAAGTCAAACCCGAGGATCCAGTTGAGGTAGATGGTTTTTTTCACACATTCCTTATTTTCTCACAGATCATCTCAGTGTGAAACTGAGAAGGGGAGTAAAAAATTGGTTTAAATTATAATGGTTTTAAAATAAAATAATTCAAAGATCTGAAAAACTCTTGAAATATTTGATCTTTAAACAGATGAAGTATGTTATATGTGTGGTCTTACCTTCTTCTACACAAATTTGAATTGCATAGCTACAATGGAAATAAAGTTCCTTTCTTTTTTTTTTTTATTATTACTGGGAGTTGATCCCTTGCACCTAATTCTTTTTGAAATAATCCTATTTTATTGACTTATTTGGGCTTGATTTAAAAATCTTTTTTAAGCTTAATGTAATTTTTAGAATAAGAGACAATTTAAGCTTGACCGCTTACATCTCAATGACCAACCTGTGGTTAAAGTCCACTAGTTTTATCTGGAATTAAAAACATTTTGTCATCAGCAAGTTTGCACACTAAATGTTTCTTCCTCTTCTTGCAGGCATTCAAAATTGATGTGGATGTGACAGACACAGGCATTCCTACACCCCCTGATGCTGGTCCAATGGAAGAATCCACTGTAGAGGCTGTCTTTGGTACCATTACCGAAGTGCAGGACCTAGAGCAACCACCACAGCAGATGATACCTGAGCAGGCACCAGATGAAATTTCCCCCGAATTTGTGGAGATGCTACAACCTCAGGTAAAATCAGAGGCGTCATGTAATGTCTCAATAGTTTACATGCTGTTATGTAAACTATGTAGCATTAATTGTTATTTGTTAACCTTGTGATATCAGTGTCTATTATAATTTCATGATAATGTGAAGGAGGACACGTATACTTTTCTCACTGTTTGCTTTCTTTTTCCTCACAATAGAGTGTCAGTTTTATTGCTCCAAAATCATGAATTCACAATAACTACTTATTACTGTGATAGGCATTTATTTTTCCTATAAATCCGTCAGGTGGTCCATGATGGTGACAGTTTAGTTATGACCTGTCGACTGATAGGCTCCCCAACTCCTGTGGTCACATGGTACAAAAACACCACTGAAATCACCCCTGGGCCAGACATTCGATTGTATTTTGAGCCTGATACTGGCGTCTGCACCATTGAGGTCGCAGAAGTCTTTCCAGATGATGCTGGAGAAATTACATGTCGTGCCCGCAATCAGTTTGGTGAAGCTATGACATCAGCTACTCTTGTCATTCAAGGTTAGTTAGTCGGAATATTGTTGTTTTTTTGTTTTTTTTCCACATTAAATCTCTTTTATGGATAACTCTCTTATCGTTGAAAACAGCTTTTAGAAATTTAAGCAATTTACATTTAGTAGTGCATTATATTCTCTTATTGTCTACAGAAACAGAAGAATCAGAAATCACCACATCAGAAGAGACCAGCACCACAGAGACCATAACAACCACAACCACCACTTTCCGCATAGAGGAGGACAAAGACCTGGACACTGAGGTCAAGGTTGTTGATGAGAAACATGTGACAACCCTGGAAATCTCCCCCAGGTTCAGCAAGCCCCTCCTGCCCTCAATGCAAGTTGATGAAGGAGGAACAGTAAGGTGAGAGCACCATTATGTCTGCATTGATGAGATTTGGCATGAGTGATGTTATGCTATTGTTGGGTACCGTCTTACCCCAGTGCGAGTGAAAAGATTAAATTCATTCATTCAATATGCTTTCTGCTGCTTGAGCCTGATAAATGGGACTTCTATCTAATAGCTGTTTCTTTGGTAGCTGTCTGCAGAAATGTGTTTCGAATCTGCAGATCTTTTTCTATTGCTCTGTGCAAGATTTCTTAGGTCTTCAAGAATATTGTTTTCACTTGGATGTGAAATGTTTCAGCCCTAAAATGACATGGCTAGGTGTTAGCCTTCCAAGGCCCGTTTGTGTTATTTTGTTCTGAGAATACGTTGGCTCTTTTTAGCTGCTCATATTATTGACCTCACGATGTCAGCTCCATCAGCAGGACATCTAAGTAAAGCCTGTAGCCAACAAGTAATAGGATTTCAATAAAACTCTTTTTAGCAATTTTTGAAAGTTCCTTCCTAAATTTTAATTATACTTCGATCATATTATTAAAGTCTACAAAAAACATCTAGAGGTATCTCATAAAAACTCAAGGACATTAAATAAGGAAACAGAATCCATTGTCTTTTTTTTTTTCCTTTACTAATTTTACATTGTTTCTCTAGACTTGAGGTTGAAGTTGATGCACTCCCAGAGGCTACCATCAGATGGTACAAAAATGAAGTCCAAATCACACCCACCCAGCGTGTGGAGGTCACCAGGGAAAAGAAAACTCATATTCTCATCATAATGGATGTCCGTCCGGAGGACTCTGGAGATTACATCTGCGAGGCTGAGAATGTTCTGGGCAGAACTGTTTGTAAAACAACCCTCACTGTCAATCGTAAGTAGTCACACACACTTTTTTACCCCACACTTGTATATTTTTATAGGCTAAAATTAAAGACAAATTTTCATTTAAATGAAATGATTCATGATGTTGATTTTAAAATTGAAAAAAATTTCATAACGAAGGAAAAAAAATTCTACAATTGAAATATCATTTTAACACCATTTGTTTGCACCACCTTTTGTTGACACGACAGTTGGTTAACACCACCATTTTGTTTACACCACCATTAGTTTAATCCAGCATTTGTTTATGCCAACATTTGCTTACACCAACAATGTTTACACCACCATTTGTTTACACCTCTATTTGTTTACACAACCTACACAGCAATCCAACGTATGGAGATTGAGATAGAACCCGATCAAATGCCCAAAGAACAAGAAACCAAGCCAAAAGAGGAGTATCTGTCTGAAACTCCCAGACCAGAAGAGAAGACCCCATCTCAAACACCACAAGAGACAACTGCACCCGAGGAAACAGTAGAGGGACAAGCTCCCGTGTTCACAGAGATTCTCAAGCCGCTGACTGTGAAGGACACAGAGAAAGTGGTTTTACGAGTCAGGTTCACAGGTGTGCCGACACCAACAATCACCTGGTACTTTGACGGCAGCCCAATCAAGCCCAGCACAGACTTTCAGATAACAATAGATCTCCAGCGAGGGGAGAGCACTCTGATTATAGTAGAGGTATTCCCCGAAGATGAGGGTGAATACACCTGTGTGGCTGTCAATGACTTTGGAGAGTCCATCACTACCTGCCGTCTAACAGTCATCAGTGAGTATGATGTTTCATTGAACTAAATCAACTGGATTTTAAATGTTTGAAATCTTTTTTGGATTACACTAAATGAGAAGTTGGTAGGGGAGATAAAAATGAACTGTAGCTAATTTTATACTTTGATATAGAACCATATAGAAGAGCTGGGATCAAAATTTAAATAAAGAAACTTATGAAAATAGTTTGGTTTTAAAATTGTTCTTCTTTACTCTATCAGCTGTGTTCAATTATCTTTCACACTCTGAAGGAAAAAGTATCTAGATATTATCTTGTTAAGTAAGAACTGTAAGACGTTAATTTGAATCATTTATTGAATAACAAATCAATGAGTCATACACCTTACCAAGCTATTGTTCCTGTAAACAGGTGAAGAAACTATTGTGACAGATGAAATCCACAAGGAGATGATTGTCATAGATCACACCAGTGATGAAGTTATGGAAGGACCAGAGGAAACCAAAGTCAGAGAAGTTATTGAATACCAGGCACCGGCCCAACTCAAGCCTCAAACCCAGAGCTTTGAGATCCACATTGGGGTTCCTGTCCAGCCGGTGACAACCTCCACCACTGTCATCTCAGAGACTTCAACCTACACCCAAGTGACCAAAGAGTTTATTGAAGAAGTTCCCACTGTCAAAGAAGGTGCCTCCAGCCTCCAGACCACTACTATCAGTATGAGGAAAGATGAGGAACTTGTCCCAGTAGAGCTGAGGATTCAGGTCCCTGTCCAACCTTCAGGAGAGTTTCTGGACCACTACACTGAGGCAACACGCACAGTCACTCAGGAGATCAAGTCCATCCCCATTTTTGATACATCTCTGCCCCAAGAGACCCACACTGAGACCATTCAGATAACTCAGCAGCAGCCAGAGCATATTGAAATCCCAACAGTTTCTAGCACCACCACCACACAAATAACAACACAAATGGAAGCCACAAGGGCTTCAGCTCAAAGGATTGAGGTTGAAATACATGAAACCACACTTCAAAGGGAACCACAACAGCAGGAATTTCAGATTTCCATCGGAAAGGTCAGCCGGGCAGACATAGAGATCCCTGAAGTGAAAGGGACCCAAGCACCAAGGCCCACCGAAGAAAAAATCATAGAAATTAGAAAGACCATCACCAGAGAAACTAGAGTGATTGAGATTAAAAGGCCACAAGAAACACAGAAAGAAGAAATCAAAATGACATTTGCTGTTTCAGGGCCCCAGCCAGAAGAAATAATACCCATTCAAGACATAGAGCTGAAAAAATCAACCGAGGAGGTCATTGAAACTCAACAAGCCGCTGTGGATCTGACCATTATTTCAACCGAGGTGGAGATTTCTAAGGAAAAGCCAGAAACAGATGAGGCAGAGGTTGACATGGATGAGACTGAAGTCAAGGCTCCATTTGAAGAAGTCATTGAGACGGAAAGGGAATCCATCGAGATGACAATCACAACCACAGAAGTTGAAGAAATCTCTGAGGACAAGATGGAAGTCACGGAGGAAGAGATTAAAGTGGATCAGCCTGAGGTCCCTGTTGAAGAGGTTGTAGAGACTGTGACCGAGTCCACAGAGATCAGCATTGTACCCACAGGAGTAGAAACTGTTGCCATTCAAGAGAAGCCAGAGAGTGCTGAGACATTTGAAACAACCATTGTAGTTGATCAGACAACAAGCGTGACCTCTGAAGTGGACACAGCGGAGATTGAGATGGTGATTCAGATCCCATCAGAAGTTGAAGTGGCCACTGAAGACAAACCTCAAGAGGTGGACAGACCCATCGATGAGACTGTCACGGAAACTACAGAGACGCTAGTTGTGTCTACAACAGATTTGGAAACCGAGAATGTTCCTGGGGAGCTCTCACAAGTTGAATTTATCATCGAGGGAAAACAAGAAGAGCTTGTGGAGAGTAGACCTTCCGAGGTCGACACAGTTGTAGTAGGAGAAGAGACAACTTTGGTCCTGGAAACTCAGCAACCTTTGGTAGAGGAAGTATCACAGGTCAAACCACTGGAAGAGGACATCATACAAGAATCAACTTTGACCATTGATTTTGCCAAGCCTGAAGTCACCCAGACCTCTGATGTCAGCTCAGAAGAAGTCACTTTTGAGGTCCAGATGACAGAGGAAGCAGGCATCAAGCCAACTGTCATCGACACCGAAACTCAACAAATAGAAACTACAGAAACTGAAGAGGTTTTGGAGCTTCACAAGGAAGAAATAGAGTTTCAGATCAAAGGAAAACCAAAACAAGCTGAGGAGGTTCAGTTTTCTATTCAGCTTCAGCCAGAGCTGCCTGCTGAGAGAATTGAGGTGGAAATTCCTCAAGAAGTCCAGGAATCAGAGAAATTTGTTTCAGATATTGAAATGACCAAAGAGGAAAGTGTAGTTGTGCCTGAAACCCACAGGGAAGAGCTCAGTTTTCAGATCCAGGGCAAACCACAAGAGTTAGAAGAAATGGCCATCACTCTCCAGGTCAGAGAAGATAAACCAGAAGAGAATATTCAGACCTTGTTAACAGAACAGGTAAATTTTGAAGCTGTTTCAAAATGAATGCACATAAAAATCCTTGTTATTTTTAGACACTTTAGAATTTTGCTTTTACAATTCTTTAAGCTTTTGTATCTAACAGAATTAGATGAAGTTTTTATAATAATTTCTGAGATGGCACATCCTGACCAAAAGCTGCTATTTAACTGAGTGATGTGGAGTTTGATCAAATACAAAATGATCTGAGACTCAATGCTTTTAAATTTCAGGCTTTACTTTTTGTAAGTGATCTGCAAGGCAGAGCTCCAGAGTTTACCTGGGGCCTTATGTCTCTTAAGGTTATGGATGGAGAGGAGGTGAAATTTAGATGTGAGGTAAGAAAAAATTGTGGACATCATCATTAAATTATTTATCAGAGTTTCATCTTTATCTCTCTGTCCATTATGATAAATAGTCCATTCTTATAACTTTGTCGGTCAATTATGATAAATAGTCCTTACTAATAACTCTGTTGGTCCATTATGATAAATAGTCCATACTGATATCTCTGTTGGTCCATTATGATAAATAGTCCGTACTGATAACTCTGTTGGTCCATTATGATAAATAGTCAATACTGATAACTCTGTTGGTCCATTATGATACATAGTCCATACTGATAACTATGTTGGTCCATTATGATACATAGTCCATACTGATAACTCTGTTGGTCCATTATGATACATAGTCCATACTGATAACTCTGTTGGTCCATTATGATAAATAGTCCATACTGATAACTCTGTTGGTCCATTATGATACATAGTCCATACTGATAACTATGTTGGTCCATTATGATACATAGTCCATACTGATAACTATGTTGGTCCATTATGATACATAGTCCATACTGATAACTCTGTTGGTCCATTATGATACATAGTCCATACTGATAACTCTGTTGGTCCATAATGATAAAAGTCCATACTGATAACTCTGTTGGTCCATTTAGGAAAACATCATTAACGTTGATTTATGCCTGATAAAAACATTACTCAGTTTACAGCAACTGTTTGTCATGAGTATGGTGAACTTAATGTCTGTCATAGTCTAATGAAATACAATAAAGTGTATTAGAGTTAAAGCCAGGAAATTCACATCTTTTCATTTGTCTGTTCTTGAGTCTTACATCAATGTATTAAAAAGAGTGTATTAAAAAGAGCATTCAGTGTGAAAAAAGTGCACATGACCTCAACTTATTAACTTTGATGCAGGTCATTGGTGAACCCATGCCAGAGATATCCTGGTACCATGATGACAAAATCATTACAGAAAACCAAGATTTCAATTTAACCTACGATGTGGAGAGCGGGGCTTGTACGCTCCTCATCGCTGAGGTTTTCCCCCAGGATGCAGGAGAGTACAAGTGTGTAGCCATAAACCCCTTCGGTGAAGCTGTCACAAGAGCATATCTAGAAGTGGAATGTAAGTTGGCAGTATTTCTTTTGCATAAAAGGCGTACCGGTGGCTTATGTATTTCCTTTCCTTTAAAAGTTTAAGAAAAATATATAGCGTAAGTAAAAAATAAATGAATAAAAAATGAATTTGTTATTTGAAAAAGTAAATGTGTTTTTGCTAAATTTTAAGAACATTAAACAAACCGTTATAAAGCTTTTAATGGATTGCAATACATAAACATTAGTCTCTTGTTTAAGGCTCATATTTTAGAAATAGAGACGGTCGAACACCTGCCAACTACCCATAAATGAATTTATTTAATGAGGGTTGGGTGAGAATATGAGTTAATAGTGAGACATAATCGTCTCCCACTTTTATTTTTCAGCTTATGAATACATGGCAGATACTGAGGAGGCATCTGATTCCATGATGTCCTCTCTCGAACCTTCTTCCCCTAAGCCAACACCAGCTGACTCTGACACTGAGGTTGTCTCTCATTCAAAGGAATTTGTGGAAGAGGTTCAAAAATTACAGGAGAAGTTTAATGAGCTGACTGAAGGGGAATATGAAGCCCCAAGAGAGGAATACTTTGAGACTCACCAAGCCCCTGATACTGAAGTTGAACAGCCTGCCGAGTTGGAGCAGGTCAATGAAATTGTTGAAGAAGTGTCAGATACTCTTGTTGAGGTCCATGAATCAGTTCCCACAACTGAAGAAGCTCTGGTTGAAGACACACATTATCAGGCTGAAGCACTTGTTGCTCAGCAGGAGGCTGAAAGTGCTGTGGAAACAGACACGACAATGTCACTTGATAATGTAACTGAGCAACATGAGATCCCAGAACTTTCAGTAACAAATCAAGAAGAAAAAACAAAGTATGAGGTTAATGTTGTTGAAGAAATAATCTCTCAGCCTGAAGTTACTGATGTTACAGAGGCAACATCTGAAGATGTCCAACCTTCTGAAATAACAGTACAGTTTGAGAAACCCTCTGAAGAACAACCAGACACATACAAAACTGAATTTGTTCAGGAAATCATTTCTCAATCTGAGGTTACTGATGTTACAGGGGAAACATCTGAAGATGTCCAACCTTCTGAAATTACTGTACAATTTGAGAAGCCCTCTGAAGAACAACCAGACACTTACAAAACTGAATTTATTGAAGAAATCATTTCTCAGCCTGAAGTTACTGATGTTACAGAGGCAACATCTGAAGATGTCCAACCTTCTGAAATTACTATACAGTTTGAGAAACCCTCTGAAGAACAACCAGATACATACAAAACTGAATTTGTTCAGGAAATAATTTCTCAATCTGAGGTTACTGATGTTACAGAGGAAACATCTGAAGATGTCCAACCTTCTGAAATTACTGTACAATTTGAGAAACCCTCTGAAGAACAACCAGACACATACAAAACTGAATTTGTTCAGGAAATCATTTCTCAATCTGAGGCTACTGATGTTACAGAGGAAACATCTGAAGATGTCCAACCTTCTGAAATTACTGTACAATTTGAGAAACCCTCTGAAGAACAACCAGACACATACAAAACTGAATTTGTTCAGGAAATCATTTCTCAATCTGAGGTTACTGATGTTACAGAGGAAACATCTGAAGATGTCCAACCTTCTGAAATTACTGTACAATTTGAGAAACCCTCTGAAGAACAACCAGACACATACAAAACTGAATTTGTTCAGGAAATCATTTCTCAATCTGAGGTTACTGATGTTACAGAGGAAACATCTGAAGATGTCCAACCTTCTGAAATTACTGTACAATTTGAGAAACCCGCTGAAGAACAACCAGACACATACAAAACTGAATTTGTTCAGGAAATAATTTCTCAACCTGAGGTTACTGATGTTACTGAGGAAACATCTGAAGATGTCCAACCTTCTGAAATAACTGTACAGTTTGAGAAACCCTCTGAAGACCAACCAGACACATACAAAACTGAATTTGTTCAGGAAATCATTTCTCAAGCTGAGGTTACTGATGTTACAGAGGAAACATCTGAAGATGTCCAACCTTCTGAAATTACTGTACAATTTGAGAAACCCTCTGAAGAACAACCGGACATATACAAAACTGAATTTATTGAAGAAATAATTTCTCAGCCTGAAGTTACTGATGTTTCTGAGGAAATATCTGAAGATGTCCAACCTTCTGAAATAACTGTACAGTTTGAGAAACCCTCTGAAGAACAACCAGATACATACAAAACTGAATTTGTTGAAGAAATAATTTCTCAGCCTGAAGTTACTGATGTAACAGAGGCAACATCTGAAGATGTCCAACCTTCTGAAATTACTGTACAGTTTGAGAAACCCTCTGAAGAACAAACAGACACATACAAAACTGAATTTGTTCAGGAAATCATTTCTCAATCTGAGGTTACTGATGTTACAGAGGAAACATCTGAAGATGTCCAACCTTCTGAAATAACTGCACAATTTGAGAAACCCTCTGAAGAACAACCAGACACATACAAAACTGAATTTGTTCAGGAAATAATTTCTCAATCTGAGGTTACTGATGTTACAGAGGAAACAACTGAAGATGTCCAACCCTCTGAAATTACTGTACAATTTGAGAAGCCCTCTGAAGAACAACCAGACACATACAAAACTGAATTTATTGAAGAAATCATTTCTCAGCCTGAAGTTACTGATGTTACAGAGGCAACATCTGAAGATGTCCAACCTTCTGAAATTACTGTACAGTTTGAGAAACCCTCTGAAGAACAACCAGATACATACAAAACTGAATTTGTTCAGGAAATAATTTCTCAATCTGAGGTTGCTGATGTTACAGAGGAAACATCTGAAGATGTCCAACCTTCTGAAATTACTGTACAGTTTGAGAAACCCTCTGAAGAACAACCAGACACTTACAAAACTGAATTTGTTGAAGAAATAATTTCTCAGCCTGAAGTTACTGATGTTACAGAGGCAACATCTGAAGATGTCCAACCTTCTGAAATTACTATACAGTTTGAGAAACCCTCTGAAGAACAACCAGATACATACAAAACTGAATTTGTTCAGGAAATAATTTCTCAATCTGAGGTTACTGATGTTACAGAGGAAACATCTGAAGATGTCCAACCTTCTGAAATAACTGTACAGTTTGAGAAACCCTCTGAAGAACAACCAGACACATACAAAACTGAATTTGTTCAGGAAATCATTTCTCAATCTGAGGTTACTGATGTTACTGAGGAAACATCTGAAGATATCCAACATTCTGAAATTACTGTACAGTTTGAGAAACCCTCTGAAGAACAACCAGACACATACAAAACTGAATTTGTTGAAGAAATAATTTCTCAATCTGAGGTTACTGATGTTACAGAGGAAACATCTGAAGATGTCCAACCTTCTGAAATTACTGTACAATTTGAGAAGCCCTCTGAAGAACAACCAGACACTTACAAAACTGAATTTATTGAAGAAATAATTTCTCAGCCTGAAGTTACTGATGTTACTGGGGAAACATCTGAGGATGTCCAACCTTCTGAAATAACTGTACAGTTTGAGAAACCCTCTGAAGAACAACCACACACTTACAAAACTGAATTTGTTCAGGAAATCATTTCTCAGCCTGAAGTTACTGATGTTTCTGAGGAAACACCTGAAGATGTCCAACCTTCTGAAATAACTGTACAGTTTGAGAAACCCTCTGAAGACCAACCAGACACTTACAAAACTGAATTTGTTCAGGAAATAATTTCTCAGCCTGAAGTTACTGATGTTTCTGAGGAAATATCTGAAGATGTCCAACCTTCTGAAATTACTGTACAGTTTGAGAAACCCTCTGAAGAACAACCAGACACATACAAAACTGAATTTGTACAGGAAATCATTTCTCAATCTGAGGTTATTGATGTTACAGAGGAAACATCTGAAGATGTCCAACCTTCTGAAATTACTGTACAATTTGAGAAGCCCTCTGAAGAACAACCAGACACTTACAAAACTGAATTTATTGAAGAAATAATTTCTCAGCCTGAGGTTACTGATGTTACAGTGGCAACATCTGAAGATGTCCAACCTTCTGAAATTACTGTACAGTTTGAGAAACCCTCTGAAGAACAACCAGACACATACAAAACTGAATTTGTTCAGGAAATCATTTCTCAATCTGAGGTTACTGATGTTACAGAGGAAACATCTGAAGATGTCCAACCTTCTGAAATTACTGTACAATTTGAGAAACCCTCTGAAGAACAACCAGACACATACAAAACTGAATTTGTTCAGGAAATCATTTCTCAATCTGAGGTTACTGATGTTACAGAGGAAACATCTGAAGATGTCCAACCTTCTGAAATTACTGTACAATTTGAGAAACCCGCTGAAGAACAACCAGACACATACAAAACTGAATTTGTTCAGGAAATAATTTCTCAATCTGAGGTTACTGATGTTACTGAGGAAACATCTGAAGATGTCCAACCTTCTGAAATAACTGTACAGTTTGAGAAACCCTCTGAAGAACAAACAGACACATACAAAACTGAATTTGTTCAGGAAATCATTTCTCAATCTGAGGTTACTTATGTTACAGAGGAAACATCTGAAGATGTCCAACCTTCTGAAATTACTGTACAATTTGAGAAACGCGCTGAAGAACAACCAGACACATACAAAACTGAATTTGTTCAGGAAATCATTTCTCAATCTGAGGTTACTGATGTTACAGAGGAAACATCTGAAGATGTCCAACCTTCTGAAATTACTGTACAGTTTGAGAAACCCGCTGAAGAACAACCAGACACATACAAAACTGAATTTGTTCAGGAAATCATTTCTCAATCTGAAGTTACTGATGTTACAGAGGAAACATCTGAAGATGTCCAACCTTCTGAAATTACTGTACAATTTGAGAAGCCCTCTGAAGAACAACCAGACACATACAAAACTGAATTTATTGAAGAAATCATTTCTCAGCCTGAAGTTACTGATGTTACAGAGGCAACATCTGAAGATGTCCAACCTTCTGAAATTACTGTACAGTTTGAGAAGCCCTCTGAAGAACAACCAGACACTTACAAAACTGAATTTATTGAAGAAACAATTTCTCAGCCTGAAGTTACTGATGTTACAGAGGCAACATCTGAAGATGTCCAACCTTCTGAAATTACTGTACAGTTTGAGAAACCTTTTGAAGAACAACCAGACACATACAACACTGAATTTGTTCAGGAAATAATTTCTCAATCTGAGGTTACTGATGTTACTGAGGAAACATCTGAAGATGTCCAACCTTCTGAAATAACTGTACAGTTTGAGAAACCCTCTGAAGAACAACCAGACACATACAAAACTGAATTTGTTCAGGAAATCATTTCTCAATCTGAGGTTACTGATGTTACAGAGGAAACATCTGAAGATGTCCAACCTTCTGAAATTACTGTACAATTTGAGAAACCCTCTGAAGAACAACCAGACACATACAAAACTGAATTTGTTCAGGAAATCATTTCTCAATCTGAGGTTACTGATGTTACAGAGGAAACATCTGAAGATGTCCAACCTTCTGAAATTACTGTACAATTTGAGAAGCCCTCTGAAGAACAACCAGACACTTACAAAACTGAATTTATTGAAGAAATAATTACTCAGCCTGAAGTTACTGATGTTACAGAGGCAACATCTGAAGATGTCCAACCTTCCGAAATTACTGTACATTTTGAGAAACCCTCTGAAGAGCATCCAGACACATACAAAACTGAATTTGTTCAGGAAATCATTTCTCAATCTGAAGTTACTGATGTATCCATTGAAATTTTACAGGATACAAAAGAAAGAGAGGTGTCTTTGGAATTTAAGACCACAGTTGTTTCAAAACCTGTGGAAACAATTAGTGATGTTTCTTTTGAGATTTCTCAAGAGCCTCTAGTTCAAGACATTGACCAGCTTGATAGTACTGAGGCCAAAGTGGTTTTAGAAGAATTTGCAGAAGAGTTAGCAAAGAAAGTAATAGCTGATTTGCAAGAAATTGAGCCCAAAGAGGTGGATATTTTCCCAGAGGAAGTTCCAAAAGTAGAAGAGGAACAACCAGAAGTTCCTGAAGAGGTTAGTGTTTAAAAATATAAAGTATCTAAAGCACCGTTTTTTATTTGACCAGGCCTTAAAAAAGTTTTTTTTGTAAAATCTCTTTAACCGAAATTATTTAATTGTTATGAACAAATTGAAATAGCCGGTGAAAAGTAAAATTATAAAATTATAACTTTCTGAGAAATACATTGACATACTTTACTGCAATTATTAATACCTACTGGTAAGTCAATTTCATGGAGTAATGCCGCTTGTTTTGTGTCTCCTTATTGATCAAATTCTCACACTTTGATTAGGCATTTTTCTTTTGATTAATAATTACATGAAAATTTTGAAGATAGAAACAATATTGCAACATTGAGGTTTTTGGAACAGGTGGAGCATCCAGAAGCCCCAAGATTCATTACAACACTGTCAGACATTACCATCATGGAAAACACACCCATGGTCCTGGAGGTCAACTACACAGGCTTCCCCATGCCTAAAGTGACCTGGTTTGTGGATGATGAGGAAATTATTCCTGCTGATGACCTTGACATTGTGACTGAGACTAACAGGACTGTCTTGACAATATCTGAAGTGTACTCTGATGACGAGGGCGAATACAAGGTGGAGCTCACCAATGATGTCGGCCGATGTACTAGCACCGCCTACATCACAGTTATATGTAAGTACACCAACAATTTCTTTTTTATTTCCCCACTCAGTGTTGTCACAGCTTGGTTTATAGACATATAGAACTATGCTGCGCTAACAAATTAAATGAGGCAACACAAAGTTTATAGTTAAAAATAATATCAAACTTATTTTCAGTTATAACATACTTGTCAATATCCACAAAAAAAATTGATTTCCATGGCAGTGAATGCTCTAGAACAGTGGTTCCCAATCTTTTTGAATCGTTGGGCCCTTTTTAGAGTTAATTTTTATGGGGGAGCCCCTTAGCCTTGTCTATATCTTATATTGAATTAAGAATTTACTGGAGCCCTCAGACTTGCACTGTTATAGAATGTGCCAATGAATGTGTTTATTTTTCCCTGTTCTGCTTAAACTAAAGCAATGTAGATTTCATGAATGCCAGAGTGAAAGAAGTATTCTTCTAAGGTGTTGATTTGGAATTTTTTGCAAAGCTTCAAGCTGGTTTTATTTGAATCACTTTTTCACTTTCAAATCTTGAAATGCACTTGGGCTGAACACTTCAGTGCTTATGTACAACTTTTTTTTCCCCTCATCTCAAGCACCATCAGTTTTTCCACACATAAGGATTGCTGAGCTGTTCACACAACTATAATGAATTCTTGTTTGATTTTGCTTTTGCACATATTTTCTTTACACATGGAGATACCTGTTCAATTATTATTATTTTTATTATTTTTAAATAATCCATGAAAATTTCATCAAACTATCACCATTTCACTTGGCAGCTTTGTTTCATGAAATGCTGCAAATTTTTAGATGTGCTTTCCCATCGCGAATGTTGGTGTTGTATGCTTCGATCAGCTGCGGTATGTTATCTCCGTTCCGGCGCCATTTCGTTTCTCGCCTTTAAAAATAAAATGACAAGACACTCGCAAAAAAAAGAAAGGTGAATTATTATTATTTTTTTTTTTTTGCTTTCAAATTCCTGTCCCTGTCTTGTCAACTTTTTGACATTATAATTGCTTATGGTGCCTAGTGTAATCCTTGTTCCTAGACCTGACCTTAAAGAGGTAATACTTGCTTTTGCCATTAATTTTATTCTAATCAAGTTATAATCAATTAACATTTAGTCCTCCCAAAGACAATGTGTATGCTCATCCTTTGACCACAACATCAAAGCAAAATTCTGCAAGGCCTTATATCATAATACACCCTTTGACCTAAGCCAAAAGCTCAACTTTTGCCAGAAGGGTATAGCATTCTATATATTAAGAGAAAAACCTCTTGAACATCTCTTGATATAAAGAATGTAGGTAAAAATCACTTGCATAAAGAAATTGACTGTGGTCTATGTAATTAATAGTTGTATCCATTATCTACTTACCCTTTTTACCTCCTCCTTGCTAGTGCCTCTTAATTAAAAGTAAATGGCAAGTATAGACAAATTTATGAAGTTTTCAAAATGTAAATGTATTCATTAATTTGTTTTAAAAGTTGATTCAATCAGGCTAACAAATGAGACCAAAGTTTCAAAAAATGAATGTTTAAAATTATTCATCTTGCATGTAAAATATTACTTGCTGGTAAGGAGTTGCATAAATAATATTATATTAATTTATTACTTTAGAGCTAAAATGCAACAATGTATAACACATATATTCATTTACCAATAGAAAGCAGTTACATGGTCATTAATGTTAAATGTGAACTTCATTTATCAATTATTATGAACATGTTGAAAGAATAGAACAATAAACTTTTAATATGGAGTGCATTCTTTTTGCAGTCAGATTAATATGATTTTAAAACTAATTTTTAGGCCTATATTAAAGGCCAAACAATCTTTTTAAATAATTAAAAGATCAAAGTTATTATTGAGTGTCTCATCTGTAAACTTTCAAAGTTATTTTGATTTTTAGTGAATTTTAAAAAAAACTGACTTGTTATAAAAAAAATATTTAAATTTAGAGGCTACAAATCAATTTCATTTAATTAAATAAGGTATTAAAAGAATATGTTGACCATGTAATTGATGTTCTCCTGTGCCAGGGTTGTTTTCATTGTAAGATTCAGGCAGATTCAGATTCTATTGATCTGTCAGAGAAGTTTTCTTATTTTTATGAAAATTGTATCACCAGTTGTCCTTCTTAACTGTGTCTTCTTAGCCCATTGGATAAGGCAACCCTGGCAAGCATGAAAATATATTCCAAGTTAACAATTACTCAGTAATGACATACCATTTATTAATGAGTCTCTTTTTATTTTTTAATTGTCCAAGTCGGGGAAATGAATGTTCTTGTAATATTTCACACAAGATTTCTTGTTTTAGATCATGCTAGATTCCTAGTATTGCAGTATGCGCCAAAAGTAGCAGTACTGAAACTGCATGCATGCTTGCATTTGTCAACTGTGCATAGCTTCAGCCGCCTTGTGTTCCCTGAGGTGTCAAGAAAGTTGGAAATGTGTGTCTCTATGGAGGAAAACAATGTCAAATTTGACCATCATTTTCACTCATACATTAGCGATTAAATAATTATGAAAGGGGATCATGTTTGGAAAAAGGGGGAAGAACAATTCCAAGAAAGATTTAATAAATAAATAAATAAATAAATTTAATAAATTAAAAAGTAACAGTTATGCTTTCCATTGTTAGGAACTTTGTTAAGGAAGTGTATTGTGTCCATTATGGAAGGGGAAGTCCGAGAGACCTTTAATTTTTTTAGATAATGATAATCATGATTGTGTTTGTCCCTATGAAATCTATGAGGAACATTCTTCAAACTGAACATCAGCCATATGTTAGTTTGTCACTTGTTTATACATAGGTGTATTTTTGAACCTGATATAGGTTGCAAATGCTTGGCGGAGCCAGTTATGTGAGCCAGGATGATGCGTTGGGGAAATTTCTGGCTATGGTGTTCGAGGTTCAAGATTATTTTAGGAATGAGTGATTTTCTGTTATCACATTCATTAACATGTCGATCAGACTGTCCCTTCTGTTTATAGAGTACCTTTCCAGAATATAATTGCTTGGGGCCTTTAAAAAAAAAATCTTTCTCCTAATTGCTGTTCACATTTTTATAAAACTTGGTCACACTTTAATTTAACTAAAGTATGAGCAAAAATATTACTCAACTATGAAAATTTTATCTTTTGGGGAGAGATCCATTATGAACTTAAAATACCAAACATATAACCCTTTTCACATCTATGGACACGTGGTAGCTGGACCTATGCACCATTGACAAACGCAAGTACGCATTCAAGATGCAATGATTTCAGTACCTCTAGTTTTGTTGCATGCTGTACATCTCATAAGATATACATCAGAGTTATACATTTATATAAATATGTTGATTTTTCTCCCCATATTACTTATTTATGTCCTTTTTAACAAAAATGTCACTTCCATTTTTCCTTGCCTGATTCCAGTTTAAATAGAATTAGCAAAGAGGGTTGCTCACAAGATTTAAAATTAGATCCTTATATTTGTATATTAGATTTATCTTTAGATTACACCACAGTCTGCTTTAATAGTGTGCCACTTTTCATTGAGGATTTGGAAAATTGCATTGACACATTGTAAAGTTGCGTTGAGATTTATTATGACTATTTCCTCCATTTTAATCTTGGATACTCATTTCAATCTCCAGGCAAACAGTTTATGTAGACATGCGCTGTACAAAACTCTCAAATAACAATCTGAAAAGAAAATATTTGATGTTGTGTTAACTTTTTTCTAATTTTAAAATGAATAATATTAAGTGTGTACATATTAATGAATTGAAATATTCTTTAATAATACAAGCCAAGTACACAATCCATCAATGCAGCATTGAAACATGTTTAATCTTTTGCAGTCTCAGTAAATAATAATAATAATAATAAAGTTGATTTCAAAAATGCACCCCCCCCCCATTGACACCCCTGTTTGTATTTCCCAATTCTTCTTTCCTTAAAGATATCTCCAAATTTCATACAAATGTTTTTTTTTCCATAGCCCAACCTTATTTCAAATATAAGACTTGTGTTAATGAAATCAATCCTTATATCCTGTCACCACCTCCTGTAATCCATTCAATGATGGAGTGCTGATCTTGTTTACCCTGGTGTTGCCATACTTAAGAACAAAAATATTAATTACTAATGTTCTATAGTCAATTTTGTCAGTTGCAGTTTCTTTACAATAAAATATTTTTAATAACTTTACATCTTGTTACTACTTATTAAATTATGCTTCTCCACTTCTTATGATTAAATATCATTTAAGTAAATGATAATTTAAAGAAAAAGAGTATTTCAATAATTGCACAAACAGGCTCATCATTTTTATATTAAAGTTAAATATGTCACTAACTGATCACATAAGCAGTTAAAAAAAAAATAATTACTAAATTTAATTATTTAATTTTAAAATTTAAAAAAAAAATGTTTAAGTTTGTTTTTCTTATAATCGTGAATTTCATGTAAGCCATTAATGAAATGCATTAAAAGGCAGCTGCACTTTTTTTTCTCCCACTTCTGCTTTGCTGCTCATTAGATCCCATTTAATAAAACATCTGAAAATTGTAATAATTTAAATGTTAACACCAAAAAAAAAAAAAAAAGTAAGTTTTAATGAAGTTTTATGCATATATATATTTCTTCCACTTTAAAAAGGTTTTGTTTATCATTAATGAAATTCATTAAAAGGCAGCTGCATTTTTTTTTTCCCCCCTTCTGCTTTGCTGCTCATTAGATCCCATTTAAAAAAAAATCTGAAAATTGTAAAAATTTAAATTTTAACACCAAAAAAAAAAAAAAAAGTAAGTTTTAATGAAGTTTTATGCATATATATATTTCTTCCACTTTAAAAAGGTTTTGTTTAAGTTTATGCTTAATTTTTTTTCTTTAGACAATACTATACAAGCATCAATATAATCATTTTATTACCTTGATAAATTAGATTATTTTAAGGTCACATTAACGATTCATTTATTTTTTTTCTTTGTTGCCTTTAAAACAGCCAGCTCAACTACTACAGAAGAACAGACAATCTTCAGGGAGGAAATCACCCTTGCACCTCAAGGACCAACTATAGAATGCGAGCTACCTGCTCCTCAGGATATTTTAGAAACTGAAATAACTGAAACATTCCAGGTAACACGTAAACAGGTTATCAGTGAACTTGAAGTACCCACAGTTGAGTCAGAGGTTCCTGCGCCAAAGGAAGTGACAGAGGTTGAGATAAAACCAATTTTGAAGCTTCAGAAATTTCCAGAGGAAAGTTTCACAGAGGAGTTGGTGATAGGACCGAAGCCTCAGAAATCTGAGGTCACATTTGACATCAAGAGGGAGAAGATCTTCCAAGAAACACTGGAGATTAATCAGCAGCTGGACACATCGGTTGAAGGGACAGATAGATTTACTCAAGAAATTAGTTTCAACATTGGTAAGAAACAGCCTGAATATAATGAGATTCAGTTTCAGATTGAAACCAAACAGCAAGCAACAACTCTTCAGGAGATCTCATTTGATGTGACACAAGAGGACAGGTTGAAGGAAACTCTTCATATTGATGAGGAGTTTATCTCAGAAGTATCACAGGTACAACAGTTCAAGGAAGAAATTTCACTTGACATTTCTAAACAGCAGAGAAAGGTAACTGAAATTCAGCTGGATTTTGGAGTATGGAGGCCAACGGAATTCAAGGAAGAAATCACAGTGCACTCTGAAACAGTTCAGCAGGAGGAAATAACTGAAGTTGAGCAGGAAATGGTTACAGAAAAGCCAACAGAGGAGAAAATCATAGAAGAAAAAGATGTGATTGTGGTTGAATTGGGCAAAGCAATAGACATAGAAAGGGTTGAAGAGTCTGTTGAAGAAACCCAGGAATTTGCAATAGACCAGCCTCAAGAGGAAATTATTGAAGTCTCAAAAGAAACAATTCATGTGGAGAGAGAGAGGCCTAAGAAAAAAGATGAAATAGTTGAAGAAGCTGATGACGCATTGTATAGAGAAACAGTTGAGATTGACATTGGGACTACCAAGGTTGAAGAAATTGAAACACACAAGGAAACTATCTTAGTGGAATTTCAAAAACCTCAGGAAGTGGAACAGTCAAGTGAGCTCTCTGAAATCTCTACTACTATTGATAGCCCTCAAGGGATTCAACTTGAGAGGCCCAAAATTGAAATTATAGAGGAAGAAAGAGGAATTATTGTTGTTGACTTCAAAAAGCCCCAGGAAGTTACAGAGTTGACTGAACAAATAGAAGTTCCAGTGGATGAAGAAAAAGATGTTGAAATTGATCAGCCCACAGAGGAAACACTTGAAGTTATCAAAGAGACCATTACTGTTGAAAAGGAGAAACCTCAAGAAGTGGAAGAAGTTGTTGAAGAAGTAGAAACAACTACTTATGAAGAAACTATTGAATTTGATATCAAACAGACCAAAGAAGAAGATATAGTTTTTGAAAAGGAGAGCATCACTCTTGAATTTGAGAAGCCTCAAGAAGTAGAGGAAGTTGTTGAAGAAGTAGATACAACTACCTACCAAGAAACTATTGAATTTGATATCAAACAGACCAGAGAAGAAGAAGAAATTGAAGTTCAGAAAGAAACCATTACAGTGGAATTTGAGAAACCACAAGAGGTTGAAACAGTATCTGAAACCACTAGTGTTTTGACAACTGAAGAAACTCAGGAAGTTGAAATTGACCAACCCAAAGAGGAAATAATTGAGGAAGAGAGAAGTACCATTGTCATTGACTTTGAGAAACCACAAGAGGTTGAGGAAGTTGAAGAAGAAATTGAAGCACCAATTATTGAAGAAAGCAAAGATGTTGAAGTTGATCAACCAACTGAAGATACAATTGAAGTTGTCAAAGAGACCATTACTGTTGAAAAGGAGAAACCTCAAGAAGTGGAAGAAGTTGTTGAAGAAGTAGAAACAACTACTTATGAAGAAACTATTGAATTTGATATCAAACAGACCAAAGAAGAAGATATAGTTTTTGAAAAGGAGAGCATCACTCTTGAATTTGAGAAGCCTCAAGAAGTAGAGGAAGTTGTTGAAGAAGTAGATACAACTACCTACCAAGAAACTATTGAATTTGATATCAAACAGACCAGAGAAGAAGAAGAAATTGAAGTTCAGAAAGAAACCATTACAGTGGAATTTGAGAAACCACAAGAGGTTGAAACAGTATCTGAAACCACTAGTGTTTTGACAACTGAAGAAACTCAGGAAGTTGAAATTGACCAACCCAAAGAGGAAATAATTGAGGAAGAGAGAAGTACCATTGTCATTGACTTTGAGAAACCACAAGAGGTTGAGGAAGTTGAAGAAGAAATTGAAGCACCAATTATTGAAGAAAGCAAAGATGTTGAAGTTGATCAACCAACTGAAGATACAATTGAAGTTGTCAAAGAGACCATTACTGTTGAAAAGGAGAAACCTCAAGAAGTGGAAGAAGTTGTTGAAGAAGTAGAAACAACTACTTATGAAGAAACTATTGAATTTGATATCAAGCAGACCAAAGAAGAAGATATAGTTTTTGAAAAGGAGAGCATCACTCTTGAATTTGAGAAGCCTCAAGAAGTAGAGGAAGTTGTTGAAGAAGTAGATACAACTACCTACCAAGAAACTATTGAATTTGATATCAAACAGACCAGAGAAGAAGAAGAAATTGAAGTTCAGAAAGAAACCATTACAGTGGAATTTGAGAAACCACAAGAGGTTGAAACAGTATCTGAAACCACTAGTGTTTTGACAACTGAAGAAACTCAGGAAGTTGAAATTGACCAACCCAAAGAGGAAATAATTGAGGAAGAGAGAAGTACCATTGTCATTGACTTTGAGAAACCACAAGAGGTTGAGGAAGTTGAAGAAGAAATTGAAGCACCAATTATTGAAGAAAGCAAAGATGTTGAAGTTGATCAACCAACTGAAGATACAATTGAAGTTGTCAAAGAGACCATTACTGTTGAAAAGGAGAAACCTCAAGAAGTGGAAGAAGTTGTTGAAGAAGTAGAAACAACTACTTATGAAGAAACTATTGAATTTGATATCAAGCAGACCAAAGAAGAAGATATAGTTTTTGAAAAGGAGAGCATCACTCTTGAATTTGAGAAGCCTCAAGAAGTAGAGGAAGTTGTTGAAGAAGTAGATACAACTACCTACCAAGAAACTATTGAATTTGATATCAAACAGACCAGAGAAGAAGAAGAAATTGAAGTTCAGAAAGAAACCATTACAGTGGAATTTGAGAAACCACAAGAGGTTGAAACAGTATCTGAAACCACTAGTGTTTTGACAACTGAAGAAACTCAGGAAGTTGAAATTGACCAACCCAAAGAGGAAATAATTGAGGAAGAGAGAAGTACCATTGTCATTGACTTTGAGAAACCACAAGAGGTTGAGGAAGTTGAAGAAGAAATTGAAGCACCAATTATTGAAGAAAGCAAAGATGTTGAAGTTGATCAACCAACTGAAGATACAATTGAAGTTGTCAAAGAGACCATTACTGTTGAAAAGGAGAAACCTCAAGAAGTGGAAGAAGTTGTTGAAGAAGTAGAAACAACTACTTATGAAGAAACTATTGAATTTGATATCAAGCAGACCAAAGAAGAAGATATAGTTTTTGAAAAGGAGAGCATCACTCTTGAATTTGAGAAGCCTCAAGAAGTAGAGGAAGTTGTTGAAGAAGTAGATACAACTACCTACCAAGAAACTATTGAATTTGATATCAAACAGACCAGAGAAGAAGAAGAAATTGAAGTTCAGAAAGAAACCATTACAGTGGAATTTGAGAAACCACAAGAGGTTGAAACAGTATCTGAAACCACTAGTGTTTTGACAACTGAAGAAACTCAGGAAGTTGAAATTGACCAACCCAAAGAGGAAATAATTGAGGAAGAGAGAAGTACCATTGTCATTGACTTTGAGAAACCACAAGAGGTTGAGGAAGTTGAAGAAGAAATGGAAGCACCAATTATTGAAGAAAGCAAAGATGTTGAAGTTGATCAACCAACTGAAGATACAATTGAAGTTGTCAAAGAGACTATTACTGTTGAAAAGGAGAAACCTCAAGAAGTGGAAGAAGTTGTTGAAGAAGTAGAAACAACTACTTATGAAGAAACTATTGAATTTGATATCAAACAGACCAAAGAAGAAGATATAGTTTTTGAAAAGGAGAGCATCACTCTTGAATTTGAGAAGCCTCAAGAAGTAGAGGAAGTTGTTGAAGAAGTAGATACAACTACCTACCAAGAAACTATTGAATTTGATATCAAAAGGACCAGAGAAGAAGAAGAAATTGAAGTTCAGAAAGAAACCATTACAGTGGAATTTGAGAAACCGCAAGAGGTTGAAACAGTATCTGAAACCACTAGTGTTTTGACAATTGAAGAAACTCAGGAAGTTGAAATCGACCAACCCAAAGAGGAAATAATTGAGGAAGAGAGAAGTACCATTGTCATTGACTTTGAGAAACCACAAGAGGTTGAGGAATTTGAAGAAGAAATTGAAGCACCAATTATTGAAGAAAGCAAAGATGTTGAAGTTGATCAACCAACTGAAGATACAATTGAAGTTGTCAAAGAGACCATTACTGTTGAAAAGGAGAAACCTCAAGAAGTGGAAGAAGTTGTTGAAGAAGTAGAAACAACTACTTATGAAGAAACTATTGAATTTGATATCAAACAGACCAGAGAAGAAGAAGAAATTGAAGTTCAGAAAGAAACCATTACAGTGGAATTTGAGAAACCACAAGAGGTTGAAACAGTATCTGAAACCACTAGTGTTTTGACAACTGAAGAAACTCAGGAAGTTGAAATTGACCAACCCAAAGAGGAAATAATTGAGGAAGAGAGAAGTACCATTGTCATTGACTTTGAGAAACCACAAGAGGTTGAGGAAGTTGAAGAAGAAATTGAAGCACCAATTATTGAAGAAAGCAAAGATGTTGAAGTTGATCAACCAACTGAAGATACAATTGAAGTTGTCAAAGAGACCATTACTGTTGAAAAGGAGAAACCTCAAGAAGTGGAAGAAGTTGTTGAAGAAGTAGAAACAACTACTTATGAAGAAACTATTGAATTTGATATCAAACAGACCAAAGAAGAAGATATAGTTTTTGAAAAGGAGAGCATCACTCTTGAATTTGAGAAGCCTCAAGAAGTAGAGGAAGTTGTTGAAGAAGTAGATACAACTACCTACCAAGAAACTATTGAATTTGATATCAAACAGACCAGAGAAGAAGAAGAAATTGAAGTTCAGAAAGAAACCATTACAGTGGAATTTGAGAAACCACAAGAGGTTGAAACAGTATCTGAAACCACTAGTGTTTTGACAACTGAAGAAACTCAGGAAGTTGAAATTGACCAACCCAAAGAGGAAATAATTGAGGAAGAGAGAAGTACCATTGTCATTGACTTTGAGAAACCACAAGAGGTTGAGGAAGTTGAAGAAGAAATTGAAGCACCAATTATTGAAGAAAGCAAAGATGTTGAAGTTGATCAACCAACTGAAGATACAATTGAAGTTGTCAAAGAGACCATTACTGTTGAAAAGGAGAAACCTCAAGAAGTGGAAGAAGTTGTTGAAGAAGTAGAAACAACTACTTATGAAGAAACTATTGAATTTGATATCAAACAGACCAAAGAAGAAGATATAGTTTTTGAAAAGGAGAGCATCACTCTTGAATTTGAGAAGCCTCAAGAAGTAGAGGAAGTTGTTGAAGAAGTAGATACAACTACCTACCAAGAAACTATTGAATTTGATATCAAAAGGACCAGAGAAGAAGAAGAAATTGAAGTTCAGAAAGAAACCATTACAGTGGAATTTGAGAAACCGCAAGAGGTTGAAACAGTATCTGAAACCACTAGTGTTTTGACAATTGAAGAAACTCAGGAAGTTGAAATCGACCAACCCAAAGAGGAAATAATTGAGGAAGAGAGAAGTACCATTGTCATTGACTTTGAGAAACCACAAGAGGTTGAGGAATTTGAAGAAGAAATTGAAGCACCAATTATTGAAGAAAGCAAAGATGTTGAAGTTGATCAACCAACTGAAGATACAATTGAAGTTGTCAAAGAGACCATTACTGTTGAAAAGGAGAAACCTCAAGAAGTGGAAGAAGTTGTTGAAGAAGTAGAAACAACTACTTATGAAGAAACTATTGAATTTGATATCAAGCAGACCAAAGAAGAAGATATAGTTTTTGAAAAGGAGAGCATTACTCTTGAATTTGAGAAGCCTCAAGAAGTAGAGGAAGTTGTTGAAGAAGTAGATACAACTACCTACCAAGAAACTATTGAATTTGATATCAAACAGACCAGAGAAGAAGAAGAAATTGAAGTTCAGAAAGAAACCATTACAGTGGAATTTGAGAAACCACAAGAGGTTGAAACAGTATCTGAAACCACTAGTGTTTTGACAACTGAAGAAACTCAGGAAGTTGAAATTGACCAACCCAAAGAGGAAATAATTGAGGAAGAGAGAAGTACCATTGTCATTGACTTTGAGAAACCACAAGAGGTTGAGGAAGTTGAAGAAGAAATTGAAGCACCAATTATTGAAGAAAGCAAAGATGTTGAAGTTGATCAACCAACTGAAGATACAATTGAAGTTGTCAAAGAGACCATTACTGTTGAAAAGGAGAAACCTCAAGAAGTGGAAGAAGTTGTTGAAGAAGTAGAAACAACTACTTATGAAGAAACTATTGAATTTGATATCAAGCAGACCAAAGAAGAAGATATAGTTTTTGAAAAGGAGAGCATCACTCTTGAATTTGAGAAGCCTCAAGAAGTAGAGGAAGTTGTTGAAGAAGTAGATACAACTACCTACCAAGAAACTATTGAATTTGATATCAAACAGACCAGAGAAGAAGAAGAAATTGAAGTTCAGAAAGAAACCATTACAGTGGAATTTGAGAAACCACAAGAGGTTGAAACAGTATCTGAAACCACTAGTGTTTTGACAACTGAAGAAACTCAGGAAGTTGAAATTGACCAACCCAAAGAGGAAATAATTGAGGAAGAGAGAAGTACCATTGTCATTGACTTTGAGAAACCACAAGAGGTTGAGGAAGTTGAAGAAGAAATTGAAGCACCAATTATTGAAGAAAGCAAAGATGTTGAAGTTGATCAACCAACTGAAGATACAATTGAAGTTGTCAAAGAGACCATTACTGTTGAAAAGGAGAAACCTCAAGAAGTGGAAGAAGTTGTTGAAGAAGTAGAAACAACTACTTATGAAGAAACTATTGAATTTGATATCAAACAGACCAAAGAAGAAGATATAGTTTTTGAAAAGGAGAGCATCACTCTTGAATTTGAGAAGCCTCAAGAAGTAGAGGAAGTTGTTGAAGAAGTAGATACAACTACCTACCAAGAAACTATTGAATTTGATATCAAACAGACCAGAGAAGAAGAAGAAATTGAAGTTCAGAAAGAAACCATTACAGTGGAATTTGAGAAACCACAAGAGGTTGAAACAGTATCTGAAACCACTAGTGTTTTGACAACTGAAGAAACTCAGGAAGTTGAAATTGACCAACCCAAAGAGGAAATAATTGAGGAAGAGAGAAGTACCATTGTCATTGACTTTGAGAAACCACAAGAGGTTGAGGAAGTTGAAGAAGAAATGGAAGCACCAATTATTGAAGAAAGCAAAGATGTTGAAGTTGATCAACCAACTGAAGATACAATTGAAGTTGTCAAAGAGACCATTACTGTTCAAAAGGAGAAACCTCAAGAAGTGGAAGAAGTTGTTGAAGAAGTAGAAACAACTACTTATGAAGAAACTATTGAATTTGATATCAAACAGACCAAAGAAGAAGATATAGTTTTTGAAAAGGAGAGCATTACTCTTGAATTTGAGAAGCCTCAAGAAGTAGAGGAAGTTGTTGAAGAAGTAGATACAACTACCTACCAAGAAACTATTGAATTTGATATCAAACAGACCAGAGAAGAAGAAGAAATAGAAGTTCAGAAAGAAACCATTACAGTGGAATTTGAGAAGCCTCATGTGACTGACATTGTTTCTGAAACTGTTGAATTTTCTTTGGCTGACGAAACTGTAGAATTAGAAACAGAACAGCCACAGCAGGAAATTGTTGATGAAACAAAGGAAACTGTTTTTACTGAAGCCAAAACACCTCTTGAAGTTAAAGAAGTGCAAGAAGTCATTCAAGTTCCAGATGTCAAAGAATCAACAGAGGTCGAAATGGACCAATCAAGGGAAGAAACTATTGAAGACACCCTGGAGACCTTTGACATCATTGAGGAAAAGCCCCAATTAACTGGGGAAATACAGGAGTCTGTTGAAGAATTTCAAGCCACAGACACAAGTGATGTTAAAAGTGAGAGACCAAAAGAAGATGTTGTTGAAGAAATTAAAGAGATTGTTGACATTGAGAAGGAAAAACCACTAGCTGTTGATATATTGGAGGAAGATTTTGAATTTCTTGAAGTGGAGGAAGCCTCTAAATATGATTCATCCCAACTTGAGGAAGAACTTATAGAGGACAGAAGTGAGTTTGTGACAGTAGAAGAGTCGAAGCCACAGGAGGTAGAGTCAACCGATGAAATTGTTGAAACACATGAAACAGTAGATGCCATTGAGGTTGATTTTGATAAACCATCAGAAGTGACAAGTGAGGAGGTTTCAAACTTTGTAGTTGTTAAATCTGAGGGAACTCAGAAAGTTGAAGGAGTGGTTGAGGAAGTTGAGCTGTTGGAAATTAAAGAGACAGCTGAAGCAGATGCTGAAGTTCCTAGCCAAGAAATAATTGAGGATACAAAGGAAATGCCAGAAGCTGAAAGCCTGCCATCGCAAACGGAGGAGACGTTTGAGCTTGTTGAGAAACAGGAAGAGGAAGAAATCAGTATGGAAACTGAGCTCTCTAAGATGACTCCTGAAGTTATTTTAGATTCGGTGGACACAGCAATTGTCTTTCAAGAAGTTCCTTTTGAAGTCAAAGAGACTGTGGAGAAAGAAATACCTGAAGATACAGAGGAGATTACAGAAGAAGAGTTTATTGAAACTGTACAGACCAATGTTTCTGATGAGACAGAAGAATTTGTCATTGTGGATAAGAAACCTCAAGCAATTGAGGAGGTATTTGCGGAAATTCCTACTGATAAATTTGAAGAAACTTCTGAGTTCATTTCCATTTCAAAATCAGAGGAGGTCGAGGTATCAACCACTGTGGAGGAAATCTCCTTGCAACCTGAGCACATAACAGTAGCCCCAGTGGCAGATGAAGTCACATATGAGGACGTTACTTCCATCTCTGTTGAACTGCAGGAAGATCAGCCAACTCAAGAAGTCATTGAAGAGTTTGCAGCTAACCTGACTGTGCCAACAAAAGAAAAATTTGATGTTGAAACCAGTCAGACTGTTATACCTGAAGAGAGGGTCGAAGAAACTCTTGTACCAGAAAGGGCTGAAAAGCCAACAGAGGAAATAGTCACAGAGGCCTTTGAGTTGTCCCAGTTTGTCTCAGAGCAGATTTCAAGTATTGAAACTGTGGAGACGGTTGCTAAAACTGAACTTCCCCATGATCTACCCTCCGATGCTGAGCTTACTCAACCTGTTGAAACTACTCAAATTACTCAAGTTTTAGATACTGTGCAGGTTATTGAAGGCAAGCCTTCTCACGTTGCTCCAGAGGAAGAAACAACCTTGGAGGTGTCTGCTGAAATTCCGCAAGAGCTAGAATCTCTCCCTGCAATAAACACAGAAGATAGTCTAACCTCTGTCACTTTTAAAGATATCCAACCCACTTGTACCGATGTGGAGCTGGAACTCAAACCGTCTGACTCAGTTGTTGAAGAAGTGATCCCAGCAGCGGAGCAAGAAACAGTATCTGAAACAGAAACACAACCAGTGCTTGAAGAGCAAATCCAGTTGACAGAAATTGAGGTGCAAGTGGTCCCAGATGATAAAAAGTGTCCTCAGTTCTATACCACCCTAAAGAATATTACGGTCACTGAATCGACTCGCGTTGAGCTGGAGGTTTCATTTTTTGCTAAACCTGCTGCCACTGTGACCTGGCTCATAGATGACCAGGTCATCCGGTCAAGTGCAGATTTCCAAATTTCCATCAGTGAGACCACAAGTATTTTGGTAATTCCAGAAATTTTCCCTGAAGACGAAGGGATTTATAAAGTTGTCCTTGAGAATGAAGTCGGTCGCATTGAATCTGTGGCCAGTGTTACAGTACAGCGTAAGTTAATCAGTTTCCTCTTTTCATCCCCAGAGCTATGGTATATAAAATATACTTCTAGACAAACCAAGTATTTCATAGTTCTGATGGGAGTGAATAATAAAATAAAAATGGCTGATAATTTTTGCATTGTTTGCTTTTTCTTTATTGATAACTATGTATCTCTTGAAATCTCATTTTTAGAGCCCAACATTTTGTTCAACTATTAATGATAGCACATAATGATTGCTAGCTTTTATATAAAAAAAAAATAAGACAAAATCATATGATTGTCTTGTGAGGGGGAAATTTTAGTAAATGAAGAAAGAATGGACAAGTTTCAAAGAGAAGGTCACTAGTAGTGAAAAAGAAATCTCTTTTACTTTTTATAAAAATTATTGAATGTAGCAGCTTTTTAAAATCTTATGTTTTCCAATATTAATTTGATCTATGGCCTATTTCTTTTACCTAGAAATATAAAAAAATTAACTTCATATGTTTTGAACAGAAAAGACACGGATGGGTCAAAATATAGTGGATTAAAATGTCTCATAAATTTCTTTAAGCAACATTTTTTTAATTGGAATTTTAACAATGGAAATCAGGGGTTCAATTATATGTGTATGCTTTCTGAAATCTATATGGTAATACAAGTTTGTTTCATAAAGCAGTCTTTCACAAAGTGGTTTTCCCTTACCGGCGCTGGTCTGCGAGAGCCTTACGTTGCCAGTCGGTCAAATATTAATATTTATGGTCAAACAAAAAAAGAAAGAAAGAATTAATAAATTTTTCATCGGTCTATGGGGCAATCAGGAAACACTATCATAAATCAGTGCAACTTTTTAAAGCAATTTATCTGGATTATTTTACAGCTGTGCTTTGTTGTTTTATGGCCCTTGGAATGAAGTACCAGCATAGGAAAAATTGTCTCAGGATTGATTACTTTATCTTACTTCCAATCAAACTTCATGTTTGGCCTTGTTATGGGCTGTGTCTTGAATTGATGGCAACTGTATTTTCTTTTTTAATGAAACTTCAGCTAAAGCTAAAGGGCTTGAGCAGCCAACTCAGGATGTCACAGAAGAAATAACATTGACAACCCAACAAGAAGAGGTTGTTGAAGAAACAACCAGACTTGATTTCGAGCTAGAGATCAAGCAAGATGAGGAAGGTCAGAAATGGTTTTGTTTGTCGGTGTAATATTGATTGTAAAATTTTTTTTAAAAATTTGGTATCTATTAAAATTCAAAGTTAATGTCATTAACACTGTTGACCTTAATTTACGTGTGTTGATTTATTTTTAAAAAAAATTAAATTGTTTACTGATTTGTTTACTGTATGTTGGCTGTCCAGGCATTCTCCCATTGTTGCCTGTGTTGCTCCTATTGCAGTAATCTTTTTCTGTGAATCTCCTTTTTGAGACACTCTTTCAATCTCTCCACTTCTTTCAAAGCCTTACCATCTCCTTATCTAAATTTGTTATTCTTTGTTGCCATATGGATTCCTTGTAGACTGCCTGGTAGAATTGAAATTGGGATTTCTCATTTCTAGCACATCCATCTCCAATATATTTTATTTTTCCATCACCTTCTCCACTATTTCAATTCTTAATCTTTTCCTTATGACCTGATTGGGGATCTTATAAAACCCCATTTTATTATTGAAAATTCAGTGCAAACATTTGTTTGCTGAAACTCTGAGGACTTATGATACGTAATTTCATTGTTCTCTTTGTGTAACAACCATACAGAATAAGAATATTTCAACAGAATATTTTCACTTTCTTTTTAACATGATAGTTTCTTTCCACTTAAGATCATATTTTTTTAATAGCTCCCCTAGCCATCTGGATAGTGCTCTTGATGTGTCCTGTGTCACCTTTCTTGCTAATAATGCTTACAAGATATGTAAAAGATTTAACTTGCTTCTCGTAGTGTTATTGGCTGGCACTACTTCTCCTTTAGCTCTCATATAATATTGTGTCAAGACTTGTGTGTCTTGTTTTCAGTCACAACTGAAATTGTTACTTGTTTCTTCTAGTTTTATTGGCTGGCAGTACTTCTCCTTTAACTCTCATAATATTGTGTCAAGACTTGTGTCTCTTGTTTCCAGTCACAACTGAAATTGTTACTTGTTTCTCCTGGTTTTATTGGCTGGCAGTACTTCTCCTTTAACTCTCATTTAATATTGCGTCAAGACTTGTGTCTCTTGTTTCCAGTCACAACTGAAATTGTTACTTGTTTCTCCTAGTTTTATTGGCTGGCAGTACTTCTCCTTTAACTCTCATTTAATATTGCGTCAAGACTTGTGTCTCTTGTTTCCAGTCACAACTGAAATTGCCTTGCAAGAGAGCCCCAAAGAAGCCCCTGAAGAAGTTGAACTAAGATTTGAAGTTCCTGAAGCTCCCCGTTTCACACAGACTCTCCAGAGAGAACTTATTGTGTTTGAAGGCTCCAGCATCACACTTGTTTGCTTTGTTGTTGGCAAACCTACACCCACTGTTACCTGGTTTAAAGTAAGCATAAAACCTGTGCCCACTGTTACCTGGTTTAAAGTAAGCATAAAACCTGTGCCCACTGTTACCTGGTTTAAAGTAAGCATAAAACCTGTGCCCACTGTTACCTGGTTTAAAGTAAGCATAAAACCTGCGCCCACTGTTACCTGGTTTAAAGTAAGCATAAATCACGTGACAAATGTTATAATGGCAGTGTTTGAATCTTTTGCACTCTGTTGTATAACCAGGCTTGTTATAATAGTTTATTTCATTCCTATTCATTTGACATTTTTTAGTCATTTTTATCATTTAAATATTTTAATTAAAACTGTTTTTTTATCTGGTCATCTTTTCAAACTAAATGTTTACTTTTTTGCCACTATTAATCTGATTTAAACGTTATTTTTTTTTTTAAAAATGGCCACCTCTTGTTATTTTATAGGAGGAAGAGGAAATAACGTTTAGTCAGCGGTACATTTCAACATATGAAAATGGCAAGTGTACGCTGGTAATCAACAACGTAACATTCGATGAGGAAGCAGAGTTTATCTGCAAAGCTACCAATGAAGCTGGCTCAACCACAACCTTTGTGGACATTTTCGTAGAAAGTAAGAGCAGTGTTTTATGTCTGTTTGTCTATTTTCTTATGAAACCATCACATAATACAGTTACAGCCACCATTGGAAATGAGATACGTATCATAATTGATTATTTGTTGTTTATTTATAAAAATAAATTTGAATCTATAATTATGTTTGTAAATCTGGGATCATTTAGTGCCTCTTAGCTTTGTTGCTTTCATTGGCATATAAGAGTCGGGTTAGAATTTGTGTCACTACAGAATTTGAATAATGGAAACAAAATAAATACCTTAATATTGACACTTTCAGGTGCTCAAAACTATTTTTTTCATCTTCACTAACAATATTTTCTTTCAGTGGCAATATTATTGAGGAAATTTTTTAATTATTTTTTATACCTAACAGAAATTCTCTTTAAATTTTTTCTCAAGATTTGTGCAGTTAATTAAATAGTGTTTGTAAAAGTGTTTTGGTAATCTCCTTCCCAATTATCAGCCCACATCACCATATCAACAAACCACAATATGCACCACGATATAGTGCCTATCTGTGTGTTCTCCCAACTTCCAGCACATGATCCCTAGGTGCATGGTTTCATTCATCCCTTGCCCTCAAACATGTACATCCCAGTGAATTAAATGCTTCATCTGTATATAGTCATAGAATGGGAAGAAATCTCATCATTGTGGCAGCTGTACATTTCGATTCATTTGAAAACTCATTGGATTCTATGATTTGTTGTTCTGGAACCAGCTCCCCTTCCATATCCGTCATTGTGAAACCTCGTCCACTTTTAAAAAGTCCCTTAAAACCCATCTGTTTAGGTCCGCCTATGACCTGTGATGCATCCTCCTTGCCCTGCCTCATTTTCTGTCTCGGGTTAATCCTGTAATATAGGCCAAAACGTGCCAAAGTGTCCTCGTTTTATAACCATTTTAATTGTTTCTATAGTATAGTAGTTACTATCCTAATGTCTCATTTTTATTTTATTTAGTTTACATGTTTTTAATAATTGTAAAGCGCTTAGAGCTTTAAGGTAAGCGCTATATAAAAATGCCTAAATAAATAAATTTTAAAAAAGTAAAGCAATTTTTAAAATCTAATTTGCACCCATGGCAGTGACGATTTGATTGACTTGTAGCCATTTGACACATAACTAACATTAATTTAGTTTTATGTTCTTTGTTACAACTATTGGTCATATTTCATTGATAGATACTAGTGCATCAACCTCTCTTACATTAGTTGTGTTATTAGATTCTTTGACTTTACCCAGAAAGTAACAAATTTTAATCATTTTTTAGACATAGAAACAAAAGAATCTCTATTTTGTTTTACACTGCTCCACTTACACCTGTTTCATTTTGTTTTTCTGTGTCTTTGCATGTAAACAGAGCGAGGCAGCCCGTTGAGAACTCTTGTGAGAGAAGAGTACTATCGCATGGAAATTGAGCTAGAGATTCAATGGCGCAGGGGAAAACTGCCACAAGCTCCTGATCTTAATGCTATCGATCTTGAAAAATGTTGCACTAGTTCTGATGATAACAGTCGTCTAAGTGCTGACCCAGATTCAGCTGTTGAACACACTTCAGACAATGTAGCCCAGGCTTTGGCCCAATCTTTTAAAACATTAATGCCAGACAATTCCAAACTTAAACTCCAGACCTCTGTATCAAAGACAGCATCTTTTGCCCAAAGTATTTCACTTAAGGGGGATAGCAACATAATTTCTGATACCGTAAAAGATGAAACATTAAATGCCAGCAAAATGCCCAAATTTGAAGTATTACATTCCGTAACCAGTGCCCCTCAAAATACCATTTCCAACATAAGTGAATCAAATAAAGACCTCAATAACTTTCCAGGCGCTAGTAGAACATTACAACATAATGTCATGAAAAAAATTGTAGATCCTAATCTGACTGAAGGAAGTTTGCAAAGCTCTCAATATTTGTTTCCTTGTGACCACAGAGTACTAAGACCTAAACAATGACTAGAATAAACAAAGGTGTAATCCTGACCTAAACCATTTCTCATTCTGCCATACAAACAGCAATTTGACTTCTACAATACAAATTGCTTTGTTAAATAACATTTTAACTTTTTACAAAACACATATTCCAGGGTTGTGATTGAAAAGGAGGTGAAGTTAGATTATGATACATATTTTATCTGTTTTTTGTGTGTGAACCTTAGAAAGTGTGGATTTGTTTTATTTTAAATCCCATTAGTTTACCACTTTGAGTTGTAGCTTTTGGTGATATTGGATTTGACTTTTTATATAATCCACTTGTTTAGTTTTTAATCTTGAGTTATAGTTATAAAGCACGCCTAGGTTTACCATTAGGAGAAGCCAATGTCCTTTTTGAATTTAGTTGTCTGCTTAAGACAGTTTTGTTTGATCTGAAGATCATTTCTGGTAATTACTTCTTTTCTTTTTATATACCTCACCTAGTCTTATTATTATGTGCCAAACTTACAATTTAAAAAAAATAATTGTTAAATTTTCCCCTTTTCCTATGTATAGCCAAACGCTCAAAGAAACACTGTGAAATCACAGTGTCTGCCCCTTCCTTGGAGGAGACAGGCAAAGTTGCCAGCCCTGAGCCTCAGCTAGTTTTGGATAAGCAGGGATTTACTTCTCCTAATACTAACCTGAGGCTGCTGTTAGACTGGAGTGAGAGTGGCAGTTTGCTCAGTGTGGAAGATGTCAGAATGCAGAATGTGTTGCTGTTAATTCTGGCTGTAATTTTCATAGTCCGATTTATCTGCTGTGTGTTGAATTTAGGTGTATACCTTGTATCATTCTTGATAACTCCCTAACTGGGGACACAACACAGACAACAATGCTGTATGAAGCTGTGATCAAACTTGCCACTGTCTGAAAAGCTAATACTGACCCTCATTGGTTTTTCATTCGGCGATGTAAGAAGTTACACAGCTATAGGGGAACAATTTTCAATGTAATTGATTTTTACGGCAGCAGAAAAAAATGTGTCTACTTATGCTCATTCTAAAAAAGAGGGAATACAAATCTTTTTCTATCATTACTAAGACCAAAACATCATAGCATGTACATTCTCAGTTGTATAAGCATTATGTAATGATGATTTTCTTGAGTTGTTGAAATGATGCACCTCATCATTGCCAATGAATTCAGTTCACTTTTCAGGGCTTTTTTGTTTGTTTACCAAGTAAAGCAAATAATCCACCTAACAAGCAGCAGTAACCGCTAGTTCATTTCTCACCTCTTACATTGCTTGTTGGCCTGCGCAAATTAATAATAGTCATTTTTATTCCTGTTTGACATTTTGACTCATTCCTGAGGCTAATAAGTTTGTTGAGCCCATCAGTGAAATGAATTAATGTTACTATATCTCAACTTTGAGCCAAAGCAATTACTTGTAATGTGGACATTGTGAGCAACCAAATCTACACAAATTAAACCGCATGATTTAAACAAAACAAACTAGTAGTCAGAAATCGAAAGTAGACAAAGTTTTTTTTGAAAATTATCTTTAGATTTACCCTTTTATTTTACCCTCTAAAAATTAAACCGTCTGAAGAACTTAAATCTTAATGTGAAAAATGTATGACTTCCAACTGTGATTCCAGATGCTTTTGCATTCGATTCCATTTTCTGGTGTAAGCCCCCTCCCCCCCCACACCCCCCCCCGACACTTGCCCTTGGTTTTCAAACCTCTTAAATTTTGCTGTTTTGGTTGAGTATTTTAAAGGGATAAAAATTGTTTGAAACATTAACCTGACTGATGGGTGAGCAAAGTGTTATGTCCAGTTTTGACAATTTTTTTTTGTTTCATGCTATTTTTATAAAAATCTAAAGCAGCTAGACAGACACACCTTTGCATTTGACTTTCGATGATACCTTTTGTCTTAAGGAAAAAAGGTTGAACTTGTAATATTGATTTTGCACTGTTTAAACAAAGATTTCAAAGGAAAGTATGTTTTTTTACATTTTTTTTTAAAAAATATACAAATAAAATCAATATATATTAATGTTTATCTTCTTATGTCTTTGTTTTATAGTCAAATGCTGTAGCTAATTAGTTATTAAAATGAAATCAAACATGCAATAAGACATACAACATGCACAGAGAGAAAATTAGAAGTCTATGCATGCACTCCAAAATGTTTTTTTTTTAAAAATCATGTTAAATTTATTGAAACAGCATGGCTTTTAAGTTTGGACTGTTGAGTGTATCTTTTTGCTTATAGTATTTTACACATATTTTTATAGTAGCTTTTTAAAGTAATATCTTCTATGAAGATAAATTATTGAAGGATGAAAAAAAAAACTTTGCTCACCCGAACTATTGATGTTGTTTTGTGACTATTAGTTGTTTGATTAGTTTTTGCCGTGATGTTGCCAATTGCACTTTGTCTGATGTATTAACCTTTATCAACATTTTTACCAACCAAAGAAACTGTTGAAAGAATTAATTAGTGTCTTTGAGCTACAATCACTGAGATGGTGATACTTATTTTAAAAAAAAATCATTTTCCTGTTTTTCTGTTGCAACCTACAGTTATATACAAATGTAGAAAGAACTTTATTTAGACTTAAACTAACCTGACTGGTTTTGTCTTTTATATATATTGTGTGTGTTTGATTTTTCCTCAGGATAGATCAAAGCATGAATAGCTACCATACCTTTTTATTGTTATTAATCTATTACATAAGTGGTGTTTTTTTTGTTGTATAATTTGTTTCATAAATGTGTTATGTTTGCCTGAAATAATGAGATGCTATAAAACAAAACTATATTGAATTGAATGCTAGAAGCTTGTAACATCATTGCAAAATTTTGTCTGGTCATTTTAAGGTTGTTGTTTTTTTGTTTTTTTTTTCAAACTTTTAAAAAGTTAAATTATGTTATCCTAGACTGAGAACAAACTACGTAACAATTTTGCTTTAATATATTTAATTTTTTTAGTTTCCTTTATGAATCTAAAAATTAAATATTTTAGAAAAAAATTTGTTGCATAGTGTGTTGTCATTCCTGGACTACCAATAAACTGCAACAATTTTTTAATGTTTAATTTTAGATTCATTAAGATTACCTTGAGATCAAATTATCATTTAATTTTCGATGTATCAACTTTAGAACTTTATTCAAGGAATTTTGTTTTTAAAATAATAAGTAATGGAAAATATGTTTCCTAGTTTTGTCCTTTTTTTGGTCAATTTGGTCAAGCAGACATTTAATATATCCCAGTAATTTCTCAGACTGTTTCTAATTTTGTTACATTATTTCAGTGAATGGTGAACATTTTTAAGCTGCTCTTAAATATGACTTATATTGTGACTAACAAAATAAATATTCTTCCTTTCTCCAGGATTGTGTAACATTTAAAAATGCATGTCCTAATTCTCCATTGCATCCTCACTTGGTTTTCAAGCTTATCTAGCAAAAGCATTTACATAACTGTTCTCAGAAAACCTTTGCACTTAAGAGGGGGGTGGGGTCTTTAAGAAGTAATATAAATTGGTACTGCATTTAGAATTGAGATTTTAAAAATATATCAATATCTTTAAAATGAGATTTGAAGAATCTCAAAGTACCCAGCAAGCATTCTGTCCTTGACTTGATCTACTGTCAATCATTTTAAAATGTAAAGTTTGATTTTAATTTTTGTTCATTACGAGTGTAGTACGGGTAAAAAACATTTGAGGATGCTTACTGAATTATTATATTAGCTTCTGGTGTCCTTTTATACTTTTAATATTTGTTGTTATTCTTTTCCAATTCAAAAGGGTGATAGATAAACTTAGTTGAAGAGACATATTGTGTAAATGCATTAAATTTGTGGTTTTGTTGCATGCATCATTCCTACTAAAGAAAATCTCTCTCAGGATAAGCATAAGTACAAGAAGAACAACATATTAACTCTGGTTAATTAATCACATACGTTGACATTAATGAAAAAGTATGTGATCACATTGTTGAGACAATATATGATCACACTGATTAGAAAATATGTCATCACACAAATAAAATATTTTAAAATATGCACATAATCAGGTTTTATCTAGCTTAATCCAATTATTTAACAAAACAAAATTGATGCTCCAGAATGTGTATTCACCCCAAGTGAGTTAATGGGGTTATTGGAGTTTTGCAGTGGGTTTCAAACACAAAGTAAAATGAAAATCTGTGAAAAGCATTCATCCATAAAATTAATGGAATAAAAAAACTGTATTCCCTTATCATATCAAGTTTAACACATAATTCAGGTAGGGGACCTCCAGTAATGTCTTAGGAAACAATTATGTACTTAACAATTATAGAAAAAACTTAGAATGTGATCCATTAAAATATATATCTAAAATTGCACAGCAGATTTAGTAATATATCAGTAAATTCAATGTATCTTTACATTTACTATGATTTTCTTTCACGTTGGCAGCAGAAAAATAACTGGAAAATTCCTGGCATATGTTTAAAATAAATAATAATAATAAATGGACACCATTTTGATTGGCCCAAGTAAAAAAAAAACCGCACACATTCCTTAGGCCAAAGCTTGGGTTTATATTTATTCATAAAATATTGATGTATACTCTCATCCTTTAAAGAAGATATTAATGCCTGTGAATAAAGAAATGAAGTCTTACATCCATAAGAAAACTAATGAAAAAAAAAAAAAATCTAAAAAAAAACAATGTAATATGCTAAATTTAACTCAATGCTCAGGCTGCAATTTCAGTTCTGGAGAAAAAAAAATACAATAACATATAGTGTATTATTGGGTTTATATTTATTAATAAAATATTGATGTATACTCTCATCCTTTAAAGAAGAAATTAATGCCTGTGAATAAAGAAAAGAAGTCTTACATCCATAAGAAAACTAATGAAAAAAAAAAAAAATCTAAAAAAAAACAATGTAATATGCTAAATTTGACTCAATGCTCAGGCTGCAATTTCAGTTCTGGAGAAAAAAAAATACAATCACATATAGTGTATTAAATTCTGTCAATATTTAAACAAGGTAGACCATGACACAAATGGAAATGCTAGTGACTAAACACATTGCTCAAGTCTTTTGAGTAAATCAACAAAACAGCCACTGGAGAAATAGGCATCGTTGCCATTTATAGATGAATATTTCGTAAAACAAAGATTTATTAATGCAAATACATTTTGATTTCATTGTCTTCAGTTAATATATTTATTACAACAGTTAAAAAAAGCTCATGCAAGAGGAAGGGATGGTTAAACGCATAAATTACGTATCAATTAGCTATCTCAACACTTCATCAGAAAATTCTAAAGAAACTAAAACTCATATGCACAAAAAAATAATGAATTCTATTCCAAACAATAGCCAACAAAACAAAATTATCAGGAGGTGTTTGAAGTGTGTAAAGAAATGAACAGAATTTATTAGCTGTCCGATTAGACAAAATTCTCTTTCTGTAGTCAGGGGACAATGAAACTGGATCCAAAAACCATTTTTAAAGCATGTTGCTTACAAGAAAACCTGCCCACATCTTAGTCAATGTTTAAAAATCATGCTACTGTCACGTTTTTAAAGTTGAGTGATATGTGTCTATTATTTGGTTTAGAGAGATTGAAGAGAGTTGTTTGTAAGTCGCCCGAATCTATTGATTACGAAGACACCATAGATCATTTTTTTTTTAGTTGGCACAAATAAAGAAGATCTGAAACTGATTCTACCCCCTAAATGAGCAGGCTTGTCACACAAAGATTTGTGAAAATTCATGGTGATAATGCAAGTCAATTAATTGTTATTAATATTTACTTCTGACTTTACTTTTTAGATTTAATCAAAAGAAGAGAGAAATGGCTGAATGACAAACAACAATGAAATATATTTTACAATATTTTGCAGGATCCCTCCAGTATAATTTGTAATGTAAAAAAAATGCCCTTTTGATGCCTTGTCTCTAAAGTATTTCTGTTATTCTTACAGCCTTTTCTGTAACTAGGAACAGCAAAGATGTCATAGCGCAAGGATTTCTTTTAAATCACATCATCAGCATTTTAACAACATGACAACTTAAAATTTGCAAACAAGAACACCAAAACAATCTCATCTTTAAGTTGTTTAATATTCAATTATAAAAGTATAAAAAAAACATCTTGAGTGAACTGAAACTCCGTAAAGTATTCTTTTCAAGCCAAGTTAACTGTTTAATTTTTTTATTTATTATGTTCCTCCCTTCACCACTCTAGAACCAGAGGAGCCCCAAACACCTTCGGCTGAAGTTGAACTCCCCAGAGATGGACAAACTGAGGCTGAGCAACCAGAGGAGGAGAGTCTGCAATTCACCAGCTCCGTGGACTTCACCACCTCAGAGTACACATCATCTGAGGTCGTCACCACGGAGACCCTTATTGACAGATATGTTGATATAACTGAGACGGAGGAAGTTTCCACAACCTCAGAAATCTCGGCGCCGGAGGTCACAGAGATTGTACCCGTTGAGATTTCTCTAGAAGAAGAAAAACCGCGCGAAGATGTGACAGCGGAGATTGAGTTTAAAATCCCTGCTACTGATACTTCAATCACTGTTGATGCTTTTGAAAGTCTGATCAGTGAGATAGAGGAAGCCATCACTGAGGATGTCACCATTGAGACCTCGGAGGATATTGATCATGAGCTTAAACCAACAACAACAGAAGACACTTTCGAAATTGTACAAGAAGTCGGCGAGAAACCCACATTTGTTAAAGAACTTGAGAGCGTCGAGGCCACTGAAGGGCAGCCTGTACGCTTTGAAGTTGTGGTGGCTGGTGAACCGACCCCTGATGTTTCTTGGTTCTTGGATGGAGAGATCATCCGAGATTCTCCTGTGTACAGAATCGAACCAGGGCCGGACGGCCGGTGCACGCTTATTCTACCTGAGTCTTTCCCAGAGGATGAGGGAGAATATGAATGCCGTGCCACCAACATTTACGGAACAGTTTCTACCAAAGCTGACTTATATGTACAAGGTAAGATTAGCAGAATGTGACTGTATGTAAGAATATTTTACTGAAATACTGATATTCTCCAGAATTATTGATATGTATGTATTTATGTGTATCAAAAATAGGTTCTTTATTCTCATCTCTGAATTATTAGCTCATTCCTGTCTACATTATATTTTTTATTCAAACCAATGGTCTACAACCTGAAAGCTTATAAAGTTATATTGTTGACCCATACTGAGAAGAGTGATGTATTATGCAAAGATCATATGTAAAAATGTCAATTATAGAATCATATCATAAAAAACAATCATGATGTTCACTCATTTAATCAGGCCACAACTTGGGGACCACTGATTTGTTACCTTTTTCTTCTTTTCCACACAACTTTGGTATCAATAAATATGCATTTATTTCTTTTTAATTTAAAAAAAATTGATGTTTTGTTTTATGATTTTAAAAAAAAATTGATTTGGGGTGTATAGGAATTATAATGAGAGCTTACTTTTAAAAATACCATGTGAAATGTTTTAAAAAAATACAAGTTTAAGGTAACAATTTGAAATGTCAGAAACTAGGGAGGGTTCGATAATGTTCACTTGTATCAGCTTCTAACATCAACTACGCACAAATAAGTTTCATGGTATATTACTAAATTTAGTTCATTATAACTTTCTCATAGCTAAAATCAATTATAAATCACAAATTAATATTTTTCTGACCTAAAAAATTATGACGTTTTTAAATTAATGTAAAATCCCCATTTAATAATGTCTCTTTTTAAGATCAGGTCAGCCGCTCACAGATATATTTAAGGCCAATAGATTGATCAATAAATTATGGCAGAAAAAAGATATATTAATGAACGTTGGCTTTTCCTTTAACATGTTTTTTTTTTTTTTATCAATAGGCTCTTGGGTTACTTTATAGGTACATGTACACAGTGGTATTCAAAATGAAGTTGTTTTTTTTTTTTTTTTTAAAATAACTTTCTTATCTTTTCTTTTTACCTTCCTTTGTTTTTTAACATGTTTTTTTTTTTTTTATCAATAGGCTCTTGGGTTACTTTATAGGTACATGTACACAGTGGTATTCAAAATGAAGTTGTTTTTTTTTTTTTTTAAAAATAACTTTCTTAGCTTTTCTTTTGACCTTCCTTTGATTACTTGATGTAGCTCTTCTCACTGTCACCTTTTATTTGTCATGTATATTTATCTCTTCAATGTCACTCAATCTTCCATTGCAAACCTAGTTTTCTCTGACAAGAAGATTTTGGGGAAAGAATCAGAAGAAGAATTTCCATCTGATGACGCCCATGAAGCCACTGATTTTTCAGAATATCTTGATAAGTCCAATCTATATGAATTAAGATTACTTGAGTCGGAAATAGGTGAATCAAGATTGTACATGTCAGTAGAAGGTGAAATCAATATCAAAGATAGGACAGCTACTAAAAAAGTCAGTGAAAGGGAAGAAAGGAAAATCAGTGAAAAGGAAGATTTAACATTCATTGAGACTGAAGATGAAACAGCAATCAAAAGGGCAGATGTGACATGTTCTGAAAAGGAAGATGTGACAGTAACTGAGGAAGAGGATGTGACAATCATTGATACTGAAGAAACAATATTAACTGAAAAGAAAGATGTGATTGTCATTGATACTGATGATGAAACAGTAACTGAAGAGGATGATTTGACAGTAACTGAAAAGGAAGATGTGACAATAACTGAAGAGATAGATGAGACTGTCATTGATACTGAAGATAATACAGTAACTGAAAAGGAAGATTCGACAGTCATTGATACTGAAGATACAACAGTAAATGAAAAGGAAGATTTGATAGTCATGGATACTAAAGAAACAACAGTTACTAAAAATCAAGATCTCACCAACATTGATACTGATGATACAGCAGAAACTGAAAAAGAAGATGTTACAGTAACTGAAAAGGAAGATGTGACAGTCATTGATACTCAAGACACAACAGTAACTGAAAAGGAAGATGTGACAGTAACTGAAAAGGAAAATTCGACAGTCATTGATACTCAAGATACAACACTTACTAAAAAGGAAGATCTTGCCATCATTGATACTGAAGATACAACAGTAACTGAAATGGAAGATGTGACAGAAACTGAAAAGGAAGATTTGTTAGTCATTGATACTGAAGATACAAAAGTTACTAAAATGGAAGATCTCACTGTCATTGATACTGAAGACACAACAGTAACTAAAAAGGAAGATTTGACAGTCATTGATACTGAAGATATAACAATAACTGAAAGGGACAATAAAACAGTAACTGAAATGGAAGATGTGACAGTAACTAAAAAGGAAGATTTGACAGTCATTCATACTGAAAATACAACAATTACTGAAATGGAAGATGAGACTGTCACTGAAAAGGAAGATGTGAGAGTCATTGAAACTGAAGATACAACAGTAATTGATAAGGAAGATGTGACAGTCATTGAAACTGAAGATACAACAGTAATTGATAAGGAAGATGTGACAGTCATTGATACTGAAGATACAACAGTAACTGAAAAGGAAGATTTGACAGTCATTGATACTGAAGATACATCAGTAAATGAAAAGGAAAATTTGACAGTAAATGAAAAGGAAGATGAAACTGTCACTGAAAAGGAATATGTGAGAGTCATTGAAACTGAAGAAACAACAGTAGTTGAAAAGGAAGATATAACAGTCATTGATACTGAAGATACAACAGTTACTAAAATGGTAGATTTGACAGTCATTGATACTGAAGATACAACAATTACTGAAAAGGAAGATTCAACATTCGTTGATACTGAAGATACCACAGTAACTGAAAAGGAAGATTTGACAGTCATTGATACTGAAGATACAACAATTACTGAAATGGAATATGAGACTGTCACTGAAAAGCAAGATGTGACAGAAACTGAAAAGGAAGATGAATCTGTCACTGAAAAGGAATATTTGAGAGTCATTGAAACTGAAGATACAACAGTAATTGATAAGGAAGATGTGACAGTCATTGAAACTGAAGATACAACAGTAATTGAAAAGGAAGATTTGACAGTCATTGATACTGAAGATACAACAGTAAATGAAAAGGACAATTTGACAGTAAATGAAAAGGAAGATGAAACTGTCACTGAAAAGGAATATGTGAGAGTCATTGAAACTGAAGAAACAACAGTAATTGAAAAGGAAGATATAACAGTCATTGATACTGAAGATACAACAGTTACTAAAATGGAAGATTTGACAGTCATTGATACTGAAGATACAACAATTACTGAAAAGGAAGATTCAACAGTCGTTGATACTGAAGATACCACAGTAACTGAAAAGGAAGATGTGACAGTCTCTGGAAAGGAAGATTTAACAGTCATTGATACTGAAGATACAACAATTACTGAAATGGAATATGAGACTGTCACTGAAAAGCAAGATGTGACAGAAACTGAAAAGGAAGATGAAACTGTCACTAAAAAGGAATATGTGAGAGTCATTGAAACTGAAGATACAACAGTTACTAGAAAGGAAGATCTGCCAATCATTGACGCTGAAGATACAACAGTAACTGAAAAGAAAGATTTGACAGTCACTGAAAAGGAAGATTTGACAGTCATTGATACTGAAGATACAACAGTTACTAAAATGGAAGATACAACAGTTACTAAAATAGAAGATTTGACAGTCATTGATACTGACGATACAACAATTACTGAAAAGGAAGATGAAACTGTCACTGAAAAGGAATGTGTGAGAGTCATTGATACTGAAGATACAACAGTTACTAAAAAGGAAGATCTCACCATCATTGACGCTGAAGATACAACAGTAATAGAAAAGAAAGATTTGTCAGTCACTGAAAAGGAAGATTTGAAATTCATTGATACTGAAGATACAACAATTACTGAAAAGGAAGATGAAACTGTCACTGAAAAGGAATGTGTGAGAGTCATTGATACTGAAGATACAACAGTTACTAAAAAGGAAGATCTCACCATCATTGAAGCTGAAGATACAACAGTAATAGAAAACAAAAAAAATTGGTCAGTCATTGAAAAGGAAGATTCGACAGTCATTGATACTGAATATACAACAGTAAATGAAAAGGAAGATTCAAAAGTCATTGATACTAAAGATACAACAGTAAATGAAAAGGCAGATGTGACAGTCACTGAAAAGGAAGATGTCACCGTCATTGATAATGAAGATACAAACGTAACTGAAAAGGAAGATGTTTCAGTAACTGAAAAGGAAGATTTGACAGTCATTGATACTGACGATACAACAATTACTGAAATGGAAGATGAAACTGTCACTGAAAAGGAATGTGTGAGAGTCATTAATACTGAAGATACAACAGTTACTAAAAAGGAAGATCTCACCATCATTGACGCTGAAGATACAACAGTAATAGAAAAGAAAGATTTGTCAGTCACTGAAAAGGAAGATTTGAAAGTCATTGATACTGAAGATACAACAGTAAATGAAAAGGAAGATTCAAAAGTCATTGATACTGAAGATACAACAGTAAATGAAAAGGCAGATGTGACAGTCACTGAAAAGGAAGATGTCACAGTCATTGATAATGAAGATACAAACGTAACTGAAAAGGAAGATGTTTCAGTAACTGAAAAGGAAGATTTGACAGCCATTGATACTCAAGATACATCAGTTACTAAAAAGGAAGATCTCGCCGTCAGTGATACTGAATATCTCACTGTCATTGATGCCGAAGACATAACAGTAACTAAAAAGGAAGATTTGACAGTCATTGATACTGAAGATACAACAATTACTGAAAAGGAAGATTCGACAGTCATTGATACTGAAGATACAACAGTAAATGAAAAGGAAGATTCAAAAGTCAATGATACTGAAGATACAACAGTAAATGAAAAGGCAGATGTGACAATCACTGAAAAGGAAGATGTCACCGTCATTGATAATGAAGATACAAACGTAACTGAAAAGGAAGATGTTTCAGTAACTGAAAAGGAAGATTTGACAGCCATTGATACTCAAGATACATCAGTTACTAAAAAGGAAGATCTCGCCGTCAGTGATACTGAATATCTCACTGTCATTGATGCCGAAGACATAACAGTAACTAAAAAGGAAGATTTGACAGTCATTGATACTGAAGATACAACAATTACTGAAAAGGAAGATTCGACAGTCATTGATACTGAATATACAACAGTAAATGAAAAGGAAGATTCAAAAGTCAATGATACTGAAGATACAACAGTAAATGAAAAGGCAGATGTGACAGTCACTGAAAAGGAAGATGTCACCGTCATTGATAATGAAGATACAAACGTAACTGAAAAGGAAGATGTTTCAGTAACTGAAAAGGAAGATTTGACAGTCATTGATACTCAAGATACATCAGTTACTAAAAAGGAAGATCTCGCCGTCAGTGATACTGAATATCTCACTGTCATTGATACCGAAGACACAACAGTAACTAAAAAGGAAGATTTGACAGTCATTGATACTGACGATACAACAATTACTGAAAAGGAAGATGAAACTGTCACTGAAAAGGAATGTGTGAGAGTCATTGATACTGAAGATACAACAGTTACTAAAAAGGAGGATCTCACCATCATTGACGCTGAAGATACAACAATCGCTGAAGATTCGATTGAAACTGAAGAGACAACAGTAATTGAAAAGAAAGATGTGACAGTCATTGATAATGAAGATACAACAGTAACTGAAAAAGAATATGTTTCAGTAACTGAAAAGGAAGATTTGACAGTCATTGATACTGAAGATACAACAATTACTGAAAAGGAAGATTCAACAGTCGTTGATACTGAAGATACAACAGTAACTGAAAAGGAAGATGTGACAGTCTCTGGAAAGGAAGATTTGACAGTCATTGATACTGAAGATACAACAATTACTGAAATGGAATATGAGACTGTCACTGAAAAGCAAGATGTGACAGAAACTGAAAAGGAAGATGAAACTGTCACTAAAAAGGAATATGTGAGAGTCATTGAAACTGAAGAGACAACAGTAATTGAAAAGGAAGATGTGACAGTCATTGATACTGAAGATACATCAGTTACTAAAAAGGAAGATCTCACCATCATTGACGCTGAAGATACAACAGTAACTGAAAAGAAAGATTTGACAGTCACTGAAAAGGAAGATTTGACAGTCATTGATACTGAAGATACAACAATTGCTGAAAAGGAAGATTCGACAGTCATTGATACTGAAGATACAACAGTAAATGAAAAGGGAGATGTGACAGTCATTGATACTGAAGATACAACAGTAAATGAAAAGGAAGATGTGACAGTCACTGAAAAGGAAGATGTCACCGTCATTGATAATGAAGATACAACAGTAACTGAAAAAGAAGATGTTTCAGTAACTGAAAAGGAAGATGTGACAGTCGCCGAAAAGAAAGATGTGACATTTACTGAAAAGGAGGATGTGACAGTGACAGAAAAGGAAGATAAACCTGTCACTGAAAAGGAAGATGTGAAAGTCATTGGAACTGAAGAAACAACAGTAATTGAAACGGAAGATGTAACTGTCATTGATACTGAAGAAACAACAGTAATTGAAAAAGAAGATGTGACTGTCGCTGAAAAGGAAGATGAGACTGTCACTAAAAAGGAAGATGTGAAAGTCACTGAAAAGGAAGATGAAACTTTCACTGAAAAGGAAAATTTCAGAGTCATTGAAACTGAAGAAACAACAGTAATTGAAAAAGAAGATGTGACTGTCGCTGAAAAGGAAGATGAGACTGTCACTAAAAAGGAAGATGTGAAAGTCACTGAAAAGGAAGATGAAACTTTTACTGAAAAGGAAAATGTCAGAGTCATTGAACTTGAAGAAACAACAGTAATTGATAAGGAAGATGTGACAGTCATTGATACTGAAAATTTAACAATTACTGTAAAGGAAGATGTGAGCATCATTGAAACTGAAGAAACAACAGTAAATGAAAAGGAAGATGTGACAGTCACTGAAAATGAAGATTTGAAGGTTACTGAAACTGAAAGAGTTGGATGTCCTGAAGCCAAGCCAATAAATGACAGTCAAGCACTAATTCATGAGATCATTGTCGGAGTAGATTTTTCATTTTCAAAATCACCTAGTGTTTTGAGTACAAAAGAAAAGATGTCAGTTAAAGATGATTCTGTCAGCATTACTTCTGTGGACCTGTACGATGATGTGTGCCCAGACATCACTGAAAAAACTTCCTTATCTTCAGAGGTTATTGAAGATATTCACCTCCTTGAATCCTTTGTTCCCACTGTTGAAAAATCAACAGAATTGATTGCTGAACAATATACTAATGATAGTCCAGCTGATCTTAATACATCCTTTGCAGAGAACCCTGAAGAAATCCCATCAATAGTGAACATTTCATTCAAAAAATCTCCCTGTGTCATAAGTTTGTCAGAGAGAAGCTCTCACACTGAAGAAACGTTCAGTACTACTACTACCACAGAGAGTCTCTCTGATGAATATTTTCCAAAAATTTTAGAAATAACATCATTTGTGTCCTCCCTTGCCAATGATTTGGACACAGCCCCTAAAGGTGAGGTTATAATTGCGCTGAGGCCAGCACTTGAGGAAAGTGAGTCCCCCAAAAACAATCTTGCACAGCCACAAACTGAACTAGGGGAACTGAAACCAACTGACGAAGAAAAAAGTCATTCAAATTCAGAATCGGAAGAGGCAGTTTTAGAATCGTCAATTTCTAACACAAACATAAAGGAAACTGAAGCTCCAAGTCATGAGATAATAGCTCAAATAAGAGATTCATTTGTTTCAACCAATGATGGGGAAGAAAATCAGGCCAAACCATTTATCAAAAAGCCAAAGCGAATCACCTCGACCAATTCTCCAGATGAAAACGAAATTAGTAAGTCTGAGACAGGTACAACATCACCATTGAATGAGAATGTTTTGGTTGATGCACAGGCACTGCCTCTGACTAACCAGGAATTTACGGAAGGTGCCACAGTTGAACAAGCTAAACCTATAGCTAGCCTCCCAAACGTTGTCGTGACAGAGACAGTCAGTGTCTCCATCACCACTTCCAAAATCACAAGTCACATGATCATTTCTCAAGTTCTGCCACATCCATCTGGAAGAAGCACGAGGCCAGCATCACAAATAGATGGAGGCAGAGAATATCCATCAGATGCCAGGGACACTCAGCGGACAGATGAGATGATGAGTCTAAATGAAAATGACACTGACTTATCAGGTCCTGAAATATTGTCTGATGCTGTGACACATTTCCTAGCAATAGATAGACCTCCCGCAGATCATCCCCAGCAGATAGAAGTGAAAGTCCTAAAGCCAGCATCTTCCATGGATGAATCTGATTCAAATGTTGGGTTTGAGATTTCTATCACAAAAATATCATATCTAGGTGCATCAGAGATGTCAGTGCCTGCTGGTTCCACAAATGTGACAAAGATTTATGATATTACTCGTGATGGTTCACCAGAAATTGCAGATATTTCTGAAGAGGTATCTAAAACAAATCTTGTACTGGACACTTCCATAGACAATCAGCTAGCAGATAACTTAAGTGAAATTGATAAGGATGTGAATGAAGCTCAACTTGAAAAGCTTAAAGAAAATAACAAGGATCAGCTAAAAGGTTCCCTTGAGTCTTCTCTTGTGCTTATGGACATAGATGAAGAATCATTTGCGACTGAAACATGTCTCATTGCCAACATAGATGACAGTAATGAACTGTTGGATGTGACTGACACTCTCCTTTCTACTGTTGTTGAGACAGTGAATGCTTATGGTGATGTGGAAAATATTAAGAGAGCAGATCAACCTACCGTTAATGAAAACGATTTGTTGAGGAGATCTTCATTTATTTCTGTCTCCAGAAGACTGTCCACAGATGCTAGTAAAACTTCACCACTACAGACTCCTGTCTATGACAGACAATATCCCACTAATACAAGGCGATGGTCTGATTATGATGAGCTGGTAATGTCTGATGATGAAACACAGATCCATGAAATTGCCCCCCCTTCACATGAAGTTCTTGCTCATACCAGAGAAACTATTCATGAAGATAAAAAGATAACAACTGCAAAGACTGTCATTGTGATGCCAGAGTACAAGAGGCCTCCAAAAACACCGTTAGTCAATATTGATGTCTCCCTTGATGAAGAAAAAGCTGAACGAATTCTACGAAAAATCTCTCGCCAACCAGAAATGACAACAGTCACAACAACTTTAAGAGAAAGCAATGTCTTCTCTCCTGATGATGAGGACTTCTCAAGCAGAACTTTGAACAGCAGCCAGGAATTGTTTGAACTGTTCAACAGACCAAGTAAAGAATCTACTCCGATGCCAGAGTCTAGATCAAGACGGGCTTCTTGCATTCGCAGGAACTCTGAAACAGTCATCATGGAATCTGTCGTGACAAAGCCCCAAGTGTTACAGCCAGAGGAAATTGAAGAGGAAATGGAGGAGCAAATTGAGGATGAAGACGATACGATACTACAAATTAATATCTCTTTTGATGGCCTGAGACAAAGATTAAGTACTGAAACAGTTCCAAAGTCTTTGGGGAGAAGGAGGTCAGTGTCCAGAAATTTTGAACTTGAAGATGAGGAGGAAGACATGAGTTTCAGAGAAAAATCTCCTTTCATGGACTTCACACCATCATCTGCTGATAGAGATGGGAGTCATGGGGATAGAAGAAAATCTTCATGCTTTGAATTGCCTAAAGTCACTGTTGAAGCAGATTCAGATGAGGATGCTGATGAACATGAGGAGACTGTTCTAGAAGTGGCCAATTTGGTGACTGTTACTGTCAAGTCGGAGAAGGCCACCAACACTATCTCTGATATTAGCATAAAAATTGCAGCTAAAGATTTAAGGGCTGGTGTTAATAGGCTGGGTGGATTGTTGGGGCTGCCAGAAATATTAGCAGGCAATTTTTCCAAAATTCCATCTAAGGCTGAACAAAGGCCAGAAAATTCTCCTTCAGGCAACGTATGTCAAGAAGGAGAAACATCCAACACTGAAAATAATGCTGGTCCAAGTCCTGGAGAGACACAAGGAGGTAAACAGGAAACGATGAGATCTTCTCCTGAGTTAGAGGACATTGTAGCTGATGTATGGCAGGCAGAAATGGCATCTAAAGAAATTAGAGATAAAGCACCCATTTTTGACAAGCAAAATACAAAAGATATAGAAAATACAACTGCTATTGAAAAAGGTGATGAGAAAACAAAACAAAACATGGCTTCAGTTCTTCAAGCTGATGCACCGAGGGGTGCAACTGAACATGTTTTACATGGGGTGACTGATCTTAGAAAACTCGAGGAAGGCAAAACGATTGATAAAGAAATAAAAGAAATTGAGGCATTGGAAAGGGAAGTCTTCAGTAATGAATCTATGAATATTAACCAACCAAGTGATGAGCAAAAATATTCAAATCTTGAAGGTGCAGAAAGCAAAATAAAAAGTAGCTCAACTGTGTCTGAAGATGATTTGAGCAATGGCAACCAAGCATACATTTTGCCAGAAGAAAGCAATCTGTACAGGTCACAGGTGGACAAAATAAACAAAGCCGGGGAAAATGACCTCACAGAAACAGACATTATTCACAAGGAGACCAATGTGGAAGAAGAAAAAGTGGACATCCTTCCATTGCTAAAGGAGGAAAGCAAAGAATTAGAGGACAGAGATATGTTAGTTGATATTCATGTGGATGTTTCTGAAGATTACAGTCCACTGCAAAGTGATACGACAACTGTTGAAGATGAACATGATGAGTTTGATATTCATTCTTCAAGTTTTAAAGCATTGGATGGAACTACAACAAAGTCTCCCATAACGTTTGATGAATTTGTAGCTGAAACCTTTAGAAGTGTGTCACCAATTTCATCATTGTCAGCATCCTCCGAAGAGTCAGGGGAGATACCTTACCCCACTGATGATACACCTGACCTGTCACAGCTGGTGGAGAATGTTTTGCTGAATAGCATTTCAGTCAGTCAACTACCTGTAGATGGTGACGACCAGACTAAGCATGAATACACATTAGGCAAACCACAAGCATTGGCCAGGGATGTGACAGAAGATGATGACACATTTGGCGTTTTATCTGCCATACCAGAATGCACTGAGGACTCACTCACAAATCCTTATAAGGATAGTGCAGAAGAAAAGGATGCGACTGGTACAAGATCTTTGTCAGAATTCTCTACATCTGCACATGAATTGGAAGCTCAGCTTTCAGGAAGAGAACATCGTGAACCCGTGGAACAACTAGTCCTCTCAGACATATCTAATCAGGACAGAGATTCATTTGATGGTCTTGATGAATTGGAGGAGATGGTGAATACTCAGGAAGAAGGAGATTGGTTTGTGAAGTATATCCAGGAACAGAACGAAAGTGAGGATGAAAGTATTGAGCTTCAAGTGTCAGAATCAGTTGGCTCTGATGAGATCGATGTTTGTTGTATGGACAAAGACAGTTCTATAGATTTTGCTGAAAGTGGGGACCTAGTAGATGACAATGCTTTAAAGGAGAAAGATGAAGGTATGGATGTAAAAACATTTCAAGAAAGAGGTGAAGATAGGACTGCAAGGTCTATTTCAGACATCTTGGAGCATGGCACTTTTAATTCTTTCACTGATTTTGAGACTCTGAAAAAATCTGACCTAAGTGTTGTGAACCATTGGTGTGAGACTGAAGCATCTCCATTTACATTGGATAAAAACATGACTCAGTCAGGAGCCACATGCGAAAAAGTTGGAGATTGGGTAGACAATCAAGATATTCTTAGAGAAAAATCAGTGGCGAGATCAACTTCTACAGATGAAGAAGACATTGAAGGTATACTTGATGGAGAAAAGCAGCAAAATTTGATGTTGCATTCACTCACAATGTTTCTGGGGCATACAGCATGTTGCCATGAAAACACTTTTTTTTATATATATGCATATATTTATGACATATTTAACAGATGTTTGAAAAGAAATAAAAACAATTGCTGTTATCTATGATTTATTATTTTTATAATACTAGGCAAGACACAGCCAGTTTGCATGACCACTTCTCACATCTGCACTGGTGAATTACAAGCACTTTGACCCTAAAGCACAAATAACTTTGGTGTTGTTCTTTCACAGCCCACAGTATCTTTTGGAACCTGGACTGGAAAATGATTTCTGTATTTATATAAAGGGAAATACTACGTTTTTAAAGAAAATTTAACAAAATATAATAATTTTAGATATTTTTATTTTTTAAAGCATGTAAATAATTTAGAATGACCAAACAATGAGAACTAGATACTCCAGTGTATTTTTTTAAGAGCTCTTATTTGTTCAAATTTTATTCTAAAAATCAGTCATTCAAATCTAATCCCCATCCCCAATGGCATGAATATACATATAAACACTAAACCAGCGTATGTATTGGGAGTCATGAACAAAAGAAACAAAAAAAGAAATGTTTAAAATAAACCTCAAAAAAAATGTTTAAGCAGGGAAGGGTAACCAAGGAGGTAAAAAATTATGGACAATAATTAGAAAACGGGTTGAGAAATGCTGCCCCAAACCAAGGATGTGTCTATGGTTTTATAAATAGTTGATATACATTGATGCATATTATGAATCATTGGTTTTTATATCATATTTGGTTTGGTGTCATAATAAAACACTTAAAATTTATTGTTGATTTGAAACAAATTTTATCACTCACTACTACTGGAAAGCTGTATGTCTTACCAAAATGTCATTTGCTTTAGCCTAGCCATAACACTTTTTTTTAATATTCCAACATGTCAATACATTATACTGTATTACACTCCACAGGTTATCATGGTTTTTATCACTGTTGTAATTACTCAAATATTCATACAAATAATTTGATGTCTCATCCTCACAATTTATTGCATGGATTATACAAAGTCGATTATTAAATTAATCCTCATTTATTTGTTCTCTTTGATATTTGATGTCAATGTCATGTTGCTGAAATACTTATAAAGTTCTTATGCTTTATGCTAGGATTGTTGGCTTTTACAGCCACTCTTTGCTCAAGGATAGGTTTTTTAAAAATTAATTTTAAAAAGGAACATTTTACTTTATAGTTTTTTATATGGACAATTTTTAATTGACAAAGTAGAGGAAATAATTATTTTCTGAATATTCTACTTGCACTACTAATAACATCACTTCTAATCAAAAGCACACCTAATTGTTTGGAAAAAAGATGATAACTCAATATAAATTGTTTCAACCAAATATGCAGTGTTTTAAAAGTAACAAATATCAAATGTCTTCTTAGATAAATTTATTTGGCATATTAAAGATAGTGTATAATTAATTTTTTGTAATCATGAGTTTAAAGATTTTGAGTTCTCTTTATACCTACTTTTTAAACTATTAAAATGCTATGACACATACATCGATGGATATGTAGTGATGAACATTTCTTTTACTACATTTGTGCTATATTTCATATTGTGAATGCATCTCATTTACCATAGTGAAATTCAGCATTAAAATTAAACTGTTTTGTTATTTTTCTCCTCAGTGTTGGCAGAGAAAGCAGAAACCTTGTCTGAGAAAGAGAAATTAGTCACAGCAGGTAACATACGATTCCTTGTAGTTTTCTCATTAATAACTGACACAATGTCATTCTTTCAAATGAACTGTTCGTTTTATTGTTTGGAAAATCTTTGTTTGGTGAGTAAAACAGTTGTGAGTGTGTTAAGTTTTCATTTTTAACTATCTTATTTCTTTTTAGAAATTGAGAAGGAAGAAGAATCAGATGAAGACAAGAAAGAGATTTCTCCCACACGACTTGAACAAGCTGTTGTTGAAGGTGATTTTAAAACTTGATTAATTGCAGCAGTTGTTTACCATTAAAGTGCTGCTATTTCCTGTACTCCTATAATGGGCCATTTATATATCTATATTCATATTTCAGAAGTAAAAGATGAGCGCTTCGCGCCAGTTATCAAACAAGGGCTTGCTCCCATCACAACCAAAGATGGAGGCCAGGCCCGGTTTGAAGCAGAAATCGTTGGTCTCCCAGTGCCCACCATCACATGGTACAAAGATGAACAACTCATCCATCCATCTGAGGAGTTTGAGATTGCTTTCAGTGAAGAAAACATTGCCTCCCTTTTCATCCATGATGTGTTACCTGAAGACGCTGGCAAGTATGTGGTGGTGGCCAACAACGAGATGGGAACAGCAACAACTTCAGCTAACTTGGAAGTAGAGGGTAAGCTAATCAGCTGGTGTATCGTGTTTGTTGTTTATCATTTTAATTTATTAGTTTTTACTTACAGAAACAGTGAAATCTGTGTAAGCTTTTTTTTTTTAAAGTATATTTTAGAAAAACAGAAGTTCAATTATCCATACTAATGGTGACCAATTAGGATTCCTGTGATAAAAAAATCAGAATAAAAGATCAAATGCTAAAAATGATAAAATAAAAGAAGTTTTTATGTATAACTGCTGGCCATAGTTTTGTGACCAAAACAAGTTATTTACATTTGTTAATCGGGGATTTTAGCAATATTAAGCATTAAGCAATACAAAAAAATACAATAGTGATTTTATAGTCATTGTATCTCTGTGGTTAGTCAGCTCCCTAAAACTGTACAGTATGGAAGGCAGATGGCAAACAGAGAGAATTAACTAATTATTGGGGATTTTTCTCTTTCAGCTGCTGAAGTCAGTGATGTGTCCCAGGAGGAGACATCCGGCATAGCTCCAGTGTTTACCATCAAGCCGACCTTCCAGTTAGTTGATGAGACAGAGACTGCAACATTCACTGCTACAATTGAGGCAGTGCCCCAACCCCAGGTTAGATGAGCGAATGAGATTCTACCTTTTTGGGTTAACTGTATTTGGAAGATTTATGTTATGACGATGTGAAGAGGTTGTGGAGAAATCTTTTAGTATGAAATATTATACTTAAAAGTTTACTTACCTTAAGTAAAATTATTTGCTTATCCTTTGGTGTAGATTTTGTGGACCAAGGACAGCAGTCCCCTGCCTGATGACGACAGATTTCAGACTTCATTTAGTAAAGACGAGGACACCTACCACACCAGCCTTGTCATCACAGAGACACGACCAGAAGATGCAGGAACATACAAGGTCACTGCCACTAATGACATTGGAGAGGAGGTGGTTAAGGTGTCCCTCATCGTTAACAGTAAGTTCAGGTTTTTCTTACTTTTAAGGAATTTTTTTTTTTTTTTAAGATTCGGACAATTTTTTATAATTCACAATAAATTCAAACTTGTTTTTTAGAATAAAAAAGAAAACTTAACTTGGTCAAATAATTTGTATTATTGTAGCTGAAAAATTTGAAAGTAGATGTTAATCTTAAGAGGTTGATTCAACATTGAATGAGATCTAATGAAGCACATCACCTAGTAGATTTAATAGTTGAATTGATTAATTTATTTAAATAAATCTACCAACTTGTACAATGGGTGCATGACTCTTCCTCATCCCATCACCCTTTACAATAATGTTTGTATACACTCTCTCATCCTGTTGTGTGGATGTCAAGGTTGCTTTGTTTTCAATGCAAGACATCAAGTTAATATTAATATTGCTAATTACTGAAAGCTTTTTACACAAAAGTCTTAAGAGCAAGATCGCAGCAATTAGGTCTTTCCCCACCAAGAATCTTTCATTTATTTCCAAAGAAATTGTAGAAGAGAAGAAAGACTTCCGCGACCAACTGGCAACTGCAACCTTTGAAATCCCACAAAAACCAGAAGAAGTGGAACAGGTTGACTTTAGAGATATGCTGCAAACAGAAGTGTAAGTAGATGAATGGAGTTTGTCAGGATGGATAGCTTTGATCCGGTCAGGATGGATAGCTTTGATCCGGTCAGGATGGATAGCTTTGGTCCGGCATGTTTCTCACTTTCTCATGTCATGGTTTTATTCTTACTGCTATTTTTTTTTTTTTTTTTACATTTTTTTAAAGTATAAACTATTTTATTGAGCATGTGTTTGCATTGAGGGAGGCAGAATTGTATTTAAAAGAGATTTGAGTATAAAATGATTACTATCATCAGCTCCAGGTTTTATGTCAAATGAAATAAAGACTATGTCAGGGAAATTTCTGATGGAACACTGCACAAAGTGGAATCATAATTTAAAATGCTTGATTGTCAGACATCTTAACATCCTGTCATACATTGTCTCCCTTCTTTTTTCCAGTTAGTTTATTTATTTGAATACCTTATTTATTGCATGCAGTGTTTCTTTCAGACTATTTGTTCCGAGTTTCAGAAGTTTGGATGGGCAGTGCCAGTGGCGTAGGAAGGGTGGGCTTGAAAGAAACACCGATTGCATGTCTAACTTCTCTACTTTTCTAATGAGTGCTGTAACACTACTTGCAAAAAACCTTGCCTTCATAGAACCAAAGAAAAGTTAGCACAAAAGATATAGAGCAACCGTTTCAAACAGATAAACATTTGTACCTTGTCAATACATTAGCCAATGATTAAACTTAGTTTCATGATTTTATCAAATTAATATTCACTGACTTTAAAATCTGAAAATGTTACAAAATGTTTGTACCTTTTAGAATATTGATGGTTTTTATAAATTTAAAATTAAAAAATTAAGATTTTATCCCCATAACCCTATATACTATCTTTGTATCTCCTCCTTAAGCAAATGTAAGAGATGAGATGTGGCAATTTTTTTGTTGTTAAATCCATTGATTGAATTCAAGGGTTAAAATAATAGTGGAAGACTGTCACTTTCTTTTCTTTTTTCTTCTTTTTTTGGTGTGTGCATGTAAATGCCTACTAACATGCAACTTTGCATTTCATCAACATTTGCATGCTAGGAAAACTAAAGTTGGAGTCCGTTTTGAAACAGAGCAGTTGGATTTCCGTCATTTACTTAAATCTTCAAAAACGAAAGCAAAGTAAGTGTTAGCTGATAGGGTTCTTTTGATGAGAGATGAGAAAACTATTTGAGAACCACTGGAACAATATAAAAACTGTTTAAATTATTGTAGAAAAACTGATCTCAAATCTTACTGATACACAACTGCCTGAAGTAAAGAACTATAAACAACCATTGCCAATTTTATTATATGATTAACTAAAAATAAATGATTAAATGGCTTTTCAAACCAAGATGCCGTAATTTGTTTTTATAGTCATTTGTTTCCATCGTGTTCATCAGGAAATTTGCCACTGACGTAGAAGGGGAAGCCACTGTTACACAAGAATTACCAGAAGCTGAACAGGTTGACTTCAGAACAGTCCTAAAGCGACCAGTAAGTGCAACACATTAAGGTTTGAGTTTTGGAACATAATGGATGGCATCTAGGTTTATAATGAGGATAACATAGAGAAATGTTATTACTGTTTTTCAAAATAAATGGTGTGTGTGTTTGGTGGATCAAAAGGATAGTTATAAACATAAATTAAAACGGCTCTTAAATATATCTATTTTCTGCCCTTTACAGTCTGTAGACAAAGAAGAACCCAAGAAGGAATCTCCAGTATTTGTCAGGCCTATCGAAGATGTTAATGTTCGTGAGGGGGAATCTGCTAGATTTGAATGCAAGGTCACAGGCCAGCCAGCACCACATGTCATGTGGTACCATGACCAGCAGCCGATAAAATCAGACACAATCTACCAGATATTGCCTGGGGAAGAAGGGGAGTTTACTCTGCTCATTTCTGAAGCCTTCCCTGAGGACTCTGGTGTGTACACAGTTAGGGCCTTCAATGATGAAGCTGAAGTTGAGTGTCATGCTACTCTCACTGTTGAAGGTTTGTTTAAGCTTTTTTTTTTTTAAATGTTTAGCTCTGTTATTAAGCAATATTTTTTCAATGTTATGAGTTATCAAATTTTATAAAACCCATATTCCTATATCGAAATGTTATTTCAATTTTTTTCTTTATTTCAACAAAAATGTTGCAAGTTTAAAAAAAGAATTATGTTAGTAATGTAAATACTCATTGATCACCCATAGCATATCTCTGCTCCTAGTTAAATTATTGCTATTGCTATGTACAGTACTTTTCTCATGGCCATCAGCCAACTCATCTCTTTAAAGATGAAACTTTACATTGTGCTTGCAAATCATTTAGAAGATGTTTACAATCAACTCACCCCACTAAATATTGCGTTTTAATTATCCTATTTGTACTGTGCTATAACAGAACTGGTATCTGAGACCAGCTCAGTCACATCTAAAGAAGACAAGCAGGAAGAGGAGGAGTCTGTTAAAGATATCCAGGTGGAAGCTGTCATCAAGATCCAGTCTGCTTTTAGGGGCTATAAGGTTATGACCATTTGTATTTCTGACTCACTCTATGTGATGAAGGGCTTTATCATTTTTGTTTGAGAGTGCAGGTGAAACAACTTACGGACACTTCTTACAAGGTTCAAGGTTATAGAGTTTATGATAACAATAATAATGAGATCGGGGGGAAAATGATTAAACTAATACAGAAAAATTAGATACATTTCAACTTTTAATGACATTTCAATAAATATCTGTTTTGCTCTCTGTATTGGTATACATGTTTAGCCCCTACAGTATCTTAGAAAAAAAAAAAAAAGAGTATGTGCTACCCATGTAGATTTAAAACATGTGATTTTTATCAACCTAATTAACTATATAACTAAGGATTTTGCTAAGTGATTTTATAGGAATAAACTTAATAAATGAGGAGTGCCTGGATTATAAGATTTGTTTACTGCAGGCCAGAGAAGAAGTAAAACACCTAAAGGAGACACGTTTGACTGCCACATCAGAGTTCACCGTTGACTCGACTGTCACTGTAGAGGAGCAAGAGGTAAGGTCATTTTAGTGACACTTTCAGTAATAGAAACAGAAACAAATATCTAGTAGAGATTTAAAAAATCCTTCGACTGTCACTGTAGAGGAGCAAGAGGTAAAGTCATTTTAGTGACACTTTCAGTAAAAGAAACAGAAACAAATATCTAGTAGAGATTTAAAAAATCCTCCCCCCCCCCCCACCCCTCTCTTTAAATAGATTATTTAGATATAATTGCATTTTGGAATTCAAACACCCAAAAAACTGAGAAACAATGAATGATCAAGTATCATTTTAAATGTGTAGCTCAGGCAAGATAAACTTTTTTAAAAAGTCTTTACAATAAATTATTTTAGTGGGTGCTGTTGTTTTTTTTTTTTAATTGTCTTTTTTGCAAGCCTAAACATATCTTGTTCCGTTATTGATGACTATTTATTTACTTCAAATAGCTTGGGGTTGAACGCAGTCCCCCAGATATTATTAATATTGTTTTAAAAATCTTTTGTTATGAGCTCTAAGTGTATTGCTGTCATAATAATTTACTGACCTCTACTCTATGGTGGCCATTTGTTTTGTTTATACTGATGTTAACCTTGAAACGGTCAATGAGGCAAATGGTCAGCTTGATCAGCATTTTGTGCAGATACAGTTTAAAACAGAAATTCATGCAAAAATCTGTATTTGCAAAATGTTTGTTTGTTAATTATGTGATCATAATTGTGTGTAATGAGGCGATTCTTTTGCTTTCTTTGACTTAACAGCATCAGCAAAGTCATTCCATTTCTAAATCTGAATAATAGTATTAATGGTGTTTATGTGTTCAAGGAACTGTTTGTGGTATTCCTCAAACAGCCAACTCACACAATAATAGGCTTAGTTTAAACTGCTTCTATGTGCACAGTTGGTTTATTGCAGCATCTGAGACAAACTTTACTATTGACTTATGTAATCTGAAAACTTGATTTTTAATAATTGCCAATAAGATTTGTAAACGGAAGAAATTCAAGTATTTGCTGTTGCATTTCCCTTAATTATTTTTTTTTAACAAAGGAGTTCACATGATTTTCTATTTAAAAATTATTTTTAAAAAAAATGGAATTCCTAACTTAATAATCAGATATTAATGATTAACACTGTTTGGCATTATCAGATGAATGAAGCACACAAACATTGAATATAACACAAACAAATAACTACAAAAGGCATTTAAAAATCCCCATGGCTTTAAATGTGTTTCTGCTTCTTTAAAAAAAAATTAAAATCTTTTATGTCACTTTTAAATAATTGATAAACCCCGATATGTAAAGTATAATTAATGTCTACATTTAAGCAATGTAAGATTGTAAAGTGATGAAAGATCAACATTTTTTAAATAACAAACAGTATTCAGAAACTATAGCTGCTCATGAGTTCTTAGCGGAGTCAACTTTTAAATGCTGAATGTAAATAGGATTCATGCAACATAAGTTTCTATTATCATGCTGTTTATCACATCTGTATCTATTTTCATATTCATAATATATTGCTCTGAGCTAATTTGTTTCACAAGACGTTCGTAAATACTGCATAAGTCTTGATCAACATCTTTATTGTATGAGCTTAAATTTTTTTGTCACCCTCATTCTGCATGTATGCTCTCTTTTTTAAAAAAAAAAAAAAATCTTTTAACTTGTGGGAAAATAATTGTTGATCTGCTAATGATCATACACTGAAACAATTGTTTCTTCCTGCTGGTCAACATCTTGAATCTCCTTGACCTAATTAATACACTCCAAATAAAGCATGAGCATCCCATCTGCCCCCCTACCTGTCCTGCATGTTTGCAGTTTCTGCTTTCATTCAACACACACATGCTGACTGGCTGGCTTTCACCGGATGTGGGTGTGATTTGATAAACAAACAAAAAACAAATACTCAACCGATTAATCCACTGGATTACAAATGTCCTAATGGTTTCATGACTTTCTTGAAGGATCAACGAATAGTTGAGGATGTTCCCATTAGTCTGGACAAACGTGAAAGCCCAAGAGTAGATGAAACTGTCCAGCTCAAACCTGTTGAGGAATTAACTTCTGACATTGAGCAGGAGGTCCCAGAGGAAACCGTTGTGTTTGAGATGCCACACTCGGTCACAAAAACCGATGAAGTTGTACCAGAGAGATTGGCAGCTGAAGTAGATTCACAGGAAGTTAGTGACACTTTAGACAAAATTCAAGAGCAACCTGTTCAGTTTGTATCAGAGTCTGGGGAATCTGTGGTGGAAGTTGTGGAAGAGGTAAGTGTTGAAACACGAACTGATGAAGAAATTGAGCAGACAGAAGTGTCTAGACATGTTAGTGAAATAGACATCTACCCCACTGAACAGATCACTGAAATAAGACCACAGATCATCAGAGAAGAATTGGTCATTATAAAAGAACAAGAGGAGATGGTACCAGAAGAGGAGGAGGTCCTTGAAGAAGTTGAAACAGAAATCTTTGAGGTCTGTTCTGAGAAAGTTGAAGAAGAAATTTTACCGCAGAAAGAAACAGAAAAACCATCACTTACTACGAAAGAAATACATGTAGAAGTCAGTGAAGAAGAACAAGAAGTTGAAATAACAAAAGAAATACTCCTATATCCAGAAGAGACCATCACAGAAGAGAGAACCCAAATCTTTAAAGAAGAATTGGTCGTTGAAAAGGAGAAAGAAGAAATGGCACCAGAAGATATTGACGTCACTGAAGAAGTGCCAACAGAAGAGATTGAGAGTATCCCTTCAGAGAAAGTTCATGAAGACATTGTATCATATGACTTTGGAGAACAGCCGTCCATCACTGCAGATGAAACAGAGTTTGGGGTTACTGAAGTAGACAAAGAAGTAGAGGAATCGATGAAAATTGAAGACTATGCTGAAGAGACTGCAACAGAAGTTATCTCACAGATATTCAGAGACAGGTTGGTCATCGAAAAAGAACAAGAAGGACAAGCACCAGAAGAAGAAGAGGTGGACACTGTATTGGAGACAGATGTTATTGAAGTGAAACCAATTGAACGCATTGAGGAAGACATGTTACCAGAAGATGTTTCAGACAGACTCACAGTAACTATTGATAAAGTACATGTTGATGTCACAGAAGTAGAAGAGGAAGAAGAGGTAAGCAAAGAAATTCCCTTATATCCAGAAGAAATCGTTACAGAAGAAAGAATTCAAATTTTCAGAGAAGAACTGGTTATAGATAAAGAAAAACCAGAAAGTGTTCATGAAGTGGAAGAGGTAACTCAAGAAATTCAGTTGGAGGAATTTGAGATCACACCCGCAGACAAAGTTGAAGAAGACATGGTCCCATTTATGGAAGCTGATAAACCCAATGTCATAAGAGATGAAATACAAGTGGAAACCACTGAGGGAGAAAAAGAAGTTGATGTTATCAATGAAATTCCTCTTTATCCAGAAGAAACTATCACAGAAGAGAGATCACAAATCTACAGAGAAGAATTGATCATTGAAAAAGAGGAGCCAAACCAAGCACCAGAAGATCAAGTGTTAGCAGAAGAAGAACAGCTAGAAGTCTTTGACACTATACCTTCAGAGAAAATTGATGAAAAGGCAGTACCTTTTGAAGAGGCTGATAGTCCTTCCATCACAACAGATGAAATACAAGTTGAAGAAACTGTAATAGAAAAAGAAGCTGAAGTTATCAATGAAATTCCTCTTTATCCAGAAGAAACTATCACAGAAGAGAGATCACAAATCTACAGAGAAGAATTGATCATTAAAAAAGGGGAGGAAAACCAAGCACCAGAAGATCAAGAGATAGCAGAAGAAGAACAGCTAGAAGTCTTTGAAATGGGTCCTTCTGAGAAAATTGAAGAAGAAATTGTAAGACATGAAGAGGCTGAGCACCCAACTATTACTGCAGAGGAAATACAAGTAGATGAAACAGTTATAGAAAGAGAAGTTGAAGGTATCCATGAAATTCCTTTATACCAGGAAGAGACTATCACAGAAGAGAGATCACAAATCTACAAAGAGGAACTGATAATTGAAAAACAAAAAGAAAAATTGACACCGGAAGTTCAAGAGGCAATTGAAGTGGTCAAAGAAGAAATACTTGAGATCACTCCATCAGAAAATGTTGAAGAAGAGATTGTATCTCGAGACAAAGATAAACTCATGGTCACTCTGGATGAAGTGCGTGTGAAAGAAATGGAACAAGAAGAGGATGTTGAAGGACCTAGAGAAATTGATGTTTACCCAGAAGAGACTGTCATAGAAGAAAGAGCACAAATGTTCAGAGAAGATCTGGTCATTGGCAAAAAGAAGGAAGGAATGGCACCAGAAGACCAAGAATTAACAGAAGAAGTTTTGTTAGAAGAATTGCAGATAAATCCTTCAGAGAAAATTGAAGTAGAAATTGTACCTGATGAATCTGGTGTGAAAGCTTCAGTGTATGCAGATGAGATACAGGTGGATATAACCAAAGAAGAGAAAGAAGAAGATGACATTAAGGATTTAGATGTACACATAGAAGAGACAGTAACAGAAGAAAGAACTCAAATGTTCAGAGAAGAATTGGTTATTGAAAATGAGAAGGAAGAAATGGCACCGGAAGACAGAGAAGTAGGTGTTGAAGTTCAGTTACAAGAATTTGAGTCTACTCCTTCAGAGATGCTCAAAGAAGAAGGTGTACCTTTTGAAGAGACTGTGAAACCATCTGTCAATGCAGATGAAATGCAAGTGGATGAAACTACAATAGAAAAAACAGTTGAGATTACCAATGAAATTCCTCTTTATCCAGAAGAAACTATCACAGAAGAGAGATCACAAATCTTTAGAGAAGAATTTATCATTAAAAAAGAGGAGGAAAAACAGGCACCAGAAGACATAGAGGTAGCTGATGAAGTTCAAGAAGAAATATTGGAGATCACTCCATCAGATAAAGTTGAAGAAATTGTACTAGAAAAAGATACTGAAAAACCTTTAGTTGATGCTTATGAACTACATGTGGACTTAACAGAGCAAGAAGAGGATGTTGAAGGATCCAGAGAAATTGATGCTTATCAAGAGGAGACAGTCATAGAAGAAAGAATACACATGTTCAGAGAAAAACTGGTCATTGAAAAAGAGAAAGAAGAAATGGCACCAGAAGATCAAGAGGTAACAGAAGAAGTTCATTTGGAAGAATTTGAGATTGCTCCTTCCGAGAAAATTGAAGTAGATATTGTACTACAAGAAGGATCAGAGAAACCATCTGTGACTGCGGATGTGATGAAAGTGGATGAAATAGTAATAGAAAAAGATGTTGAGGTTACCAATGAAATTCCTCTACATCCAGAAGAAACCATCACAGAAGAGAGATCACAAATCTATAGAGAAAAACTGATCATTGAAAAAGAGGAAGAAAAACAGGCACCAGAAGCCCAAGTGGATGCACAAGAAGTTCAGTTAGAAGTCTTTGACATTACTCCTTCAGAGATACTTAAAGAAGAAATTACAGTGTCTCAACCTGAAGTAGAAGAAGTTGAGGAAGAAATTACAGTGTCTCAACCAGATATAGAAGAATTCAAAGTTGAAATCTCTGTACCTCAGCCTGAAATAGAAGAGATTGAGGAAGAAATATTAGTGTCAAAACCTGAAGAAGAAGAAGTTGTGGAAGAAATTACAGTATCTCAGCCTGAAGTGGAAGAGGTTGAGGAAGAAATTACAGTTTCTCAACCTGAAGTAGAAGAATTCAAATCTGAAATTTCTATATCACTGCCTGAAGTGGAAGCAATGACGGAAGAAAAAACAGTGTCTCAACCTCAAGTTGAAGAAGTTGAGGAAGAAATAACAGTGTCTCAACCGAAAGTAGAAGAAGTTGAGGAAGAAATTACAGTGTCTCAACCGAAAGTAGAAGAAGTTGAAGAAGAAATAACAGTTTCTCAACCTGAAGTTGAAGAGGTTAAGGAAGAAATTACAGTTTCTCAACCTGAAGTAGAAGAATTCAAAGCTGAAATATCTGTTTCACAGCCTGAAGTTGAAGAAGTTGAGGAAAAAATTACACTTTCTCAGCCTGAAGTGGAAGAGGTTGAGGAAGAAACTACAGTTTCTCAACCTGAAGTGGAAGAAGTTGAGGAAGAATTTACAGTTTCTGAACCTGAAGTAGAAGAATTCAAAGCTGAAATCTCTGTTTCACAGCCTGAAGTGGAAGAAGTTGAGGAAGAAATAATAGTTTCACAACCTGAAGTAGGAGAATTTGATGAAGAAGTTGCAGTGTCTCAGCCTGAAGTGGAAGAGGTTGAGGAAGAAATTACAGTGTCTCAGCCTGAAGTGGAAGAGGTTGAGGAAGAAATTACAGTGTCTCAGCCTGAAGTGGAAGAGGTTGAGGAAGAAATTACCGTTTCTCAACCTGAAGTAGAAGAAGTTGAGGAAGAAATTACAGTGTCTCAGCCTGAAGTGGAAGAGGTTGAGGAAGAAATTACCGTTTCTCAACCTGAAGTAGAAGAAGTTGAGGAAGAAATTACAGTTTCTCAGCCTGAAGTGGAACAGGTTGAAGAAGAAATTACAGTATCTCAGCCTGAAGTAGAAGAAGTTGAGGAAGAAATTGCAGTGTCCCAGCCTGAAGTGGAAGAGATTGAGGAAGAAATTACAGTTTCTCAACCTGAAGTCGAAGAAGCTGAGGAAGAAATAACAGTTTCTCAACCTGAAGTCGAAGAAGCTGAGGAAGAAATAACAGTGTCTCAACCTGAAGTAGAAGAAGTTGAGGAAGAAATATTAGTGTCAAAACCTGAAGAAGAAGAAGTTATGGAAGAAATTACAGTTTCTCAGCCTGAAGTGGAACAGGTTGAAGAAGAAATTACAGTGTCTCAGCCTGAAGTAGAAGAAGTTGAGGAAGAATTTGCAGTTTCTCAACCTGAAGTCGAAGAATTCAAAGCTGAAATCTCTGTTTCACAGCCTGAAGTTGAAGAAATTGAGGAAGAAATTACAGTGTCTCAACCTGAAGTGGAAGAGGTTGAGGAAGAAATTACAGTTTCTCAGCCTGAATTGGAAGAGTTTGAAGAAGAAATTACAGTTTCTCAACCTGAAGTAGAAAAAGTTGAGGAAGAAATTACAGTTTCTCAACCTGAAGTGGAAGAGGTTGAGGAAGAAATTACAGTTTCTCAACCTGAAGTAGAAGAAGCTGAGGAAGAAATTACAGTTTCTCATCCTGAATTGGAAGAGTTTGAAGAAGAAATTAAAGTTTCTCAACCTGAAGTAGAAGAATTCAAAGCTGAAATCTCTGTTTCACAGCCTGAAGTGGAAGAAGTTGAGGAAGAAATAATAGTTTCACAACCTGAAGTAGGAGAATTTGAGGAAGAAGTTGCAGTGTCTCAGCCTGAAGTAGAAGAAGTTAAGGAAGAAATTGCAGTGTCTCAACCTGAAGTCGAAGAATTCAAAGCTGAAATATCTGTTTCACAGCCTGAAGTGGAAGAGGTTGAGGAAGAAATTACCGTTTCTCAACCTGAAGTAGAAGAAGTTGAGGAAGAAATTACAGTTTCTCAGCCTGAAGTGGAACAGGTTGAAGAAGAAATTACAGTATCTCAGCCTGAAGTAGAAGAAGTTGAGGAAGAAATTGCAGTGTCCCAGCCTGAAGTGGAAGAGATTGAGGAAGAAATTACTGTTTCTCAACCTGAAGTAGAAGAAGTTGAGGAAGAAATTACAGTGTCTCAGCCTGAAGTGGAAGAGGTTGAGGAAGAAATTACCGTTTCTCAACCTGAAGTAGAAGAAGTTGAGGAAGAAATTACAGTTTCTCAGCCTGAAGTGGAACAGGTTGAAGAAGAAATTACAGTATCTCAGCCTGAAGTAGAAGAAGTTGAGGAAGAAATTGCAGTGTCCCAGCCTGAAGTGGAAGAGATTGAGGAAGAAATTACAGTTTCTCAACCTGAAGTCGAAGAAGCTGAGGAAGAAATAACAGTGTCTCAACCTGAAGTAGAAGAAGTTGAGGAAGAAATATTAGTGTCAAAACCTGAAGAAGAAGAAGTTGAGGAAGAAATTACAGTTTCTCAGCCTGAAGTGGAACAGGTTGAAGAAGAAATTACAGTGTCTCAGCCTGAAGTAGAAGAAGTTGAGGAAGAATTTGCAGTTTCTCAACCTGAAGTCGAAGAATTCAAAGCTGAAATCTCTGTTTCACAGCCTGAAGTTGAAGAAATTGAGGAAGAAATTACAGTGTCTCAACCTGAAGTGGAAGAGGTTGAGGAAGAAATTACAGTTTCTCAACCTGAAGTAGAAGAAGTTGAGGAAGAAATTACAGTTTCTCAGCCTGAATTGGAAGAGTTTGAAGAAGAAATTACAGTTTCTCAACCTGAAGTAAAAAAAGTTGAGGAAGAAATTGCAGTTTCTCAACCTGAAGTGGAAGAGGTTGAGGAAGAAATTACAATTTCTCAACCTGAAGTAGAAGAAGTTGAGGAAGAAATTACAGTTTCTCAGCCTGAATTGGAAGAGTTTGAAGAAGAAATTAAAGTTTCTCAACCTGAAGTAGAAGAATTCAAAGCTGAAATCTCTGTACCTCAGCCTAAAGTGGAAGAGATTGAGGAAGAAATATTAGTGTCAAAACCTGAAGAAGAAGAAGTTGTGGAAGAAATTACAGTGTCTCAGCCTGAAGTGGAAGAAGTTGAGGAAGAAATTACAGTTTCTCAACCTGAAGTAGAAGAATTCAAAGCTGAAATCTCTGTTTCACAGCCTGAAGTGGAAGAAGTGGAGGAAGAAATAATAGTTTCACAAACTGAAGTAGAAGAATTTAAGGAAGAAGTTGTAGTTTCTCAGCCTGAAGTAGAAGAAGTTAGGGAAGAAAGTACAGTGTCTCAGCTTGAAGTGGAAGAGGTTGAGGAAAAAATTAATGTTTCTCAAACTGAAGCAGAAGAAAATGTGGAAGAAATTACCGTTTCTCAACCTGAAGTAGAAGAATTCAAAGCAGACATTTCTATATCACTGCCTGAAGTGGAAGCAATGAAGGAAGAAAAAACAGTGTCTCAACCTGAAGTTGAAGAAGTTGAGGAAGAAATAACAGTGTCTCAACCTGAAGTAGAAGAAGTTGAGGAAGAAATTACAGTGTCTCAATCGAAAGTAGAAGAAGTTGAAGAAGAAATAACAGTTTTTCAACCTGAAGTTGAAGAGGTTAAGGAAGAAATTACAGTTTCTCAACCTGAAGTAGAAGAATTCAAAGCTGAAATCTCTCTATCACAACCTGAAGTGGAAGAGATTGGGGAAGAAATTACAGTTTCTCAACCTGAAGTAAAAGAATTCAAGGCTGAAATCTCTGTTTCACAGCCTGAAGTGGAAGAAGTTGAGGAAGAAATAATAGTTTCACAACCTGAAGTAGGAGAATTTGAGGAAGAAATTACCGTTTCTCAACCTGAAGTAGAAGAAGTTAGGGAAGAAATTACAGTTTCTCAACCTGAAGTAGAAAAAGTTGAGGAAGAAATATTAGTGTCAAAACCTGAAGAAGAAGAAGTTGTGGAAGAAATAACAGTGTCTCAGCCTGAAGTGGAGGAGGTTGAGGAAGAAGTTTTATTGCCTCAGCCTGAAAAAGAAGAAGTTGAGGAAGAAATTAAAGTTTCTCAGCCTGAAGTGGAACAGGTTGAAGAAGAAATGACAGTGTCTCAGCCTGAAATAGAAGAAGTTGAGGAAGAATTTGCAGTTTCTCAACCTGAAGTCGAAGAACTAAAAGCTGAAATCTCTGTTTCACAGCCTGAAGTTGAAGAAGTTTCTCAGCCTGAAGTGGAACAGGTTGAAGAAGAAATTACAGTTTCTCAACCTGAAGTGGAAGAGGTTGAGGAAGAAATTACAGTTTCTCAGCCTGAATTGGAAGAGTTTGAAGAAGAAATTACAGTTTTTCAACCTGAAGTAGAAAAATTCAAAGCTGAAATCTCTGTACCTCAGCCTGAAGTGGAGGAGGTTGAGGAAAAAGTTGCATTGCCTCAGCCTGAAGTGGAAGAGGTTGAGGAAGAAATTACAGTTTCTCAGCCTGAAGTAGAAGAAGTTGAGGAAGAAATTACAGTTTCTCAACCTGAAGTGGAAGAGGTTGAGGAAGAAATTACAGTTTCTCAACCTGAAGTAGATGAAGTTGAGGAAGAAATTACAGTTTCTCAGCCTGAATTGGAAGAGTTTGAAGAAGAAATTACAGTTTTTCAACCTGAAGTAGAAAAATTCAAAGCTGAAATCTCTGTACCTCAGCCTGAAGTGGAGGAGGTTGAGGAAGAAGTTGCATTGCCTCAGCCTGAAGTAGAAGAAGTTAAGGAAGAAATTACAGTTTCTCAGCCTGAAGTGGAACAGGTTGAAGAAGAAATTACAGTGTCTCAGCCTGAAGTAGAAGAAGTTGAGGAAGAATTTGCAGTTTCTCAACCTGAAGTCGAAGAATTCAAAGCTGAAATCTCTGTTTCACAGCCTGAAGTTGAAGAAGTTGAGGAAGAAATTACAGTTTCTCAACCTGAAGTGGAAGAGGTTGAGGAAGAAATTACAGTTTCTCAACCTGAAGTAGATGAAGTTGAGGAAGAAATTACAGTTTCTCAGCCTGAATTGGAAGAGTTTGAAGAAGAAATTACAGTTTTTCAACCTGAAGTAGAAAAATTCAAAGCTGAAATGTCTGTACCTCAGCCTGAAGTGGAGGAGGTTGAGGAAAAAGTTGCATTGCCTCAGCCTGAAGTAGAAGAAGTTGAGGAAGAAATTACAGTTTCTCAGCCTGAAGTGGAACAGGTTGAAGAAGAAATTACAGTATCTCAGCCTGAAGTAGAAGAAGTTGAGGAAGAAATTACAGTTTCTCAGCCTGAATTGGAAGAGTTTGAAGAAGAAATTACAGTTTCTCAACCTGAAGTAGAAGAATTCAAAGCTGAAATCTCTGTACCTCAGCCTGAAGTGGAAGAGATTGAGGAAGAAATATTAGTGTCAAAACCTAAAGAAGAAGAAGTTGTGGAAGAAATTACATTGTCTCAGCCTGAAGTAGAAGAAGTTGAGGAAGAAATTACAGTTTCTCAGCCTGAATTGGAAGAGTTTGAAGAAGAAATTACAGTTTCTCAACCTGAAGTAGAAGAATTCAAAGCTGAAATCTCTGTACCTCAGCCTGAAGTGGAAGAGATTGAGGAAGAAATATTAGTGTCAAAACCTAAAGAAGAAGAAGATGTGGAAGAAATTACATTGTCTCAGCCTGAAGTGGAAGAAGTTGAGGAAGAAATTACAGTTTCTCAACCTGAAGTAGAAGAATTCAAAGCTGAAATCTCTGTTTCACAGCCTGAAGTGGAAGAAGTTGAGGAAGAAATAATAGTTTCACAACCTGAAGTAGAAGAATTTGAGGAAGAAGTTGTAGTGTCTCAGCTTGAAGTAGAAGAAGTTAGGGAAGAAATTACAGTGTCTCAGCCTGAATTGGAAGAGGTTGAAGAAGAAATTACAGTTT